GCCAAGCGACAGGCGTATGCCCACTATTTACAGTCCTCCTTTCGCATTTTAGCTTGTGTCGTGAGCTCTAATCAACACTCCTTTCAACACCACCCTACACAGAGAAATGCTCAGCGCCTTACAGCGCACTGGCGATCCGGACTTTGCCCAGGAACTATTTCCAAATCTCCACGCACCGTGTATTCGTCCGGCCAGCAAACTTCCTCCGCCGAAACTCACAAGTCATTCCCTCGCTCTTCTCAATGTCTTTAAGAATGGCAGCGTTAAAAAAGAGGACGTAACTAAACCTGAACTATCATCTTCTCAAAGCACAGCACCTCGTCCAAACCATGCCCAATCTCAACACCATGAGAATCTCCTGGGGCTTCTGAAAAAGCCTCAAGCTCCTCCTCCTGTCCCAGGTCATGTGGAGTTGGCTGCTCGGCCCAGTCCTTCTTCTGATCCCGCAAGAGTTCACCTATCTGGGGTTTCGCAATCACAACCAAGAACACAAACCCCACGCAAGTCTACCAACGGTGTGGCGAGAACCTCGGCCACTGTGTCAGGTCCCCTGAACATTCCTCAGTTCGAAGCCATTGCAAAACCAGTTCCTAATAAGGTTGCGAGACAATCTCCCCGAAATATTGGCAAGGGGGAGGCTACACCGCCAAAAGGAAACTTCGTTATCCTCCCACGCCCACCTCCTGCGAAGGATGCGGTACCACCCCAACCCGCCAACGCCAGACCACCACCATCTTCATCCCCGAGAAGAAATGTCAAACTTTCTGAGATCACAAAGCCGTTTCAACCGAAAATCCTCCGCCGTCCTGTTAAGGAAGACCTCCAGGCTTCTCTTCCTAATGGCACGGTGACTGTTAGTGCGTTTACTCTCTCTGAAAAAGCTACTGTGTCTGATCATCCGCGGGGGAATTCTGTGCAAACGAATGCGAATTATGACCGACGCCTGAGTCGGACGGCCTCCCAAAAGGAAGCTTTGCTATCTCTCTTTGGAAAAGTCTCTCCTTCTCCCCCCCCGGTCTCCGTAGAACAAAGTCGACCTTCTCCCCCTGCACCAAAATCTCCACCACGTTCAGCCATCATTAGCCCAGTTGATTTGTCTTCGCCTAAAGTTGGCATGCGAACAGCACACGGTCCCGCTCCATTGTCTACTGGTGGAAGCATTTCTCCCATTGGTGGAATCGATACTCGTAAGACGGCTCCAACATCACCGAGTAACAAGGCGTTCTTACTCGGGTATCTGGATAACATTGCCAAAGGTAAACATTGATTGTGTAATGCTATCTACTCTGAGAGTTTTGTTGGTTTTATGGCCGTTTTGATACAAGTGTGGACGTTCCTCGTGAAGATTTGAAATGGCGTGTTAGCCGAAATACAAATGGTTATTTATTATTATCAATTGAGCGCAAAACTATCTTTATCTTTTTAACCTCAAATTATTTTTCTACGCGTAAAGATGGCCAGTAATCTCATTAATTCATTAACTTGCGCATCAACCCGTTGGCAATCCGCTCGTTAACCGATAATCTGCCGTATCGGACCGCCTTTTTAATTCACTAGTTAACCTTGAGCATTGATTACACTTCCGAATGCATTGTACGGTGCATACAGAAGTATATCAAGCGTGTTACAGCACCGCCATTCAAAATGCTCTCTCGAGTGTCTTTTGGCTCGATATGTAACCGTTGTTTGATATCTAGACGACAATTTTCCACCTTCCCCTCTCAGCATCAGCAATCCACGCCGTCCCTCCCATCACTTCCGCCACTCTCCGGCTATACTCGACTTCCAACTCGAGCCCTCATCGCTGTAACTGGGAAAGACAGCACGACTTTCCTTCAGGGACTAGTCACGCAGAATCTCCTCACCGCACGGAATACACCGGTGCCAAAAAGCGGATTTTATGCCGCGTTCCTGAATGCGCCAGGGCGAGTGCTCCATGACGTCTTCATCTACCCTGTCCCACCGAACGACAGTTACAATGGGACTTCAGACCTCGCATATCTCATTGAAGTGGACAAGAACGAGGTTCAAACCCTGCTGAAACACATGAAAAAACATAAATTGCGGTCAAAACTTGCGTTCCGTGCCATGGACGAGGGTGAGCTTTGTGTCTTCAGCTTGTGGAATGAGGAGGATGCGGGGCAGTTGACGGAGTGCGATTTCCAACTGGATAATGGAAAGTCACCGCCTTTTACGTGCGTGGATACGCGCGCTCCTGGGTTTGGGTTCCGCTTCCTCGCGCCGGAGAAGGTCGTGAACGAGCAGCCGATTATGCCCGGTGAGATGGTTGATTTTGCTACATATAATCTACGTCGGATTTTATATGGTGTGCCAGAGGGCCAGAGTGAGATTATTAGAGAATCTGCGCTGCCGATGGAATGCAATATGGATATAATGGGGGGTATTGATTTCCATAAGGGCTGTTACACTGGACAAGAGTTGACGATCCGCACTCATCATAGGGGAGTGGTCCGTAAGAGGATATTGCCGGTGCAGCTTTATGATATAGACGAAACGATGCCAAAGACTGAGACACCGTATTACTCATCAGAATCTAAGTTGGTGTTACCGCCTGCTGGAGCTAATATAGCAAAGGTGAGCTCAAAGAAGGGCCGGAGTGCTGGAAAATTCCTCTCTGGCGTGGGGAATATCGGGCTTGCGCTCTGTCGGTTGGAGATGATGACGGATATTGCTTTTACGGATGAGTCATCGCAATATGGCCCCGACCAGGAATTCAAGATATCCTGGGAGGCTGATCCAGAGGCGGGAGTTGAAAAGACTGGGGAGCTAAAGGTTAAAGCGTTGGTCCCACCGTGGATGAGGGATTTTATCGTTAGTGGAGGGGCGAAGAAGCCGACTATGCCAACCCCAAAGAGCGATTGAGAGATTGTAGTAGAATTGGAGAAGCTGGAGGGTTAGATTAAGGACGTTGAGGGCCGGGAGGGTGAGTAAAATGTTCTGGCATTCATTGTATTTATAGTCTTATCCTTTGTTATGATTCCGAGGATTTAGCCTTGACGGCGGGTCGCTATTTCGAATAGGAATAATAAGGCTGAGAGTCAGTCGCTGGAGTCCTGTGGATGAAGCCTTAATTAGAATATGTATATTTGTAAAGGGGTATCTCTAAAAATTTAATATATATGATTCAAAAGAAGATCCATACAGGCTCGGCTGCTTTCACGGTCATGTATTTGATCCAGACAGCACGCCAAATTCACGCGATTTTTCCTCCTGCTGCAACGGCAGCAGCTCATCCTCTTTCCTAATCTGCTCTTCCAGCTTTTTTTTCTCAGCATTCTTTAACCGAATCATAGTGAGCTCTTCTAAACTAGGGCTGTTTGGCCCAAGGCCGAAGTGTCCTGTTGAGGACGAACCATTTGGACTCTTGAATTCAGCGGGTGAGAAAGAGGCAAACGATGGAGTCTTCTTCAGCCCATGTTCTTCTTTAGCAGGAGACGATGATGTGTTGAGTCCTGGAAAATTAAATTTATCCCTTGATTTGATGGCCGAGATATAAGTAGGCACGGTTGATCTTGTCTTCTCTTCCTGTTGGTGTGGACAAGCTGATGGTCTATGGAAATCGGGTTCCTTATTCGAGGCCCAATATACTGATTCGATTATCTCCCAGTCTTTGCCCTTTTGGTGCTTATAGTCTCCCACTGCAGCATGGGCGCCAACAATGGAGGCGAAGACAATAACTCCAGTCGCCATAGTCTTTCTTTCCTTCTTCTCACCCACTCTTTGTCTTTTGTCTTTAAGTGTAAACGCACTTTCAACCTTGCCGAAGACGGAGAAGAGTGATTCGAGACGATCCTTGTCCAATTCTAATCCAGCACCTTCCCGAGGCCAACGGACTTTGACAGTTCTATCAATCTCAGGAACCGATGTACCTCCGACATTTGGGTGACGGGCTCTACTCTCGCGCTGGGCGGCACGTTCCCTCTCTTCCTTTTCCAACTCCAGCCTTTCCTCTTCCTCTAATACCTCCCTCCTCAGTAATTCTTCCTTCTCTCGTCTTCTCCTTCTCCCATCCTCTGCTAGTCTCTTAATCTCTTGTTCCAGCTTCTCTTCCGCATTATCATCAACACCAAGATTTCCCTGCATGGGAACCCCAGTCCATGTCCGTTTCACACCACGCTCCCTTGCCTCTAAGTCCTCCTTCATCTTACGCCTAACCCCTTCCAGCATCTCAGTCTCCCTCTTCTTTCTCTCCCGTGCTTCGCGCGCATTGTCGTAGAGTTGTCGTATCGACGGATCTGAGAGCACATCGTAGGCGATCTGAAGAAGATGGAATTTGTCGATGTCCGCAGGCGTAGGGTTCGTAAGTTTATCCGGATGGTATTTTAATGCCGTCCTCCGATATGCGCGGCGAATCTCCGCTTCCGCGGCGGTGGGAGACAAGCTTAGTAGCGCGTAGAAGTCATGAGAGGAGGCGGCATGCGATTTAAGGTCATCAGAGGGTGCCATGGTGGCTGCGGCTTCGTTTTATATGCTTAACTTCTCAAATGATCAGCGCATATAGGCTAAAGTGGAGTTTAAGATAACACCGTAATTTCCAGGAAGCCTTCATTCAGGGTGATTATTATTTGTATTCAAGATGTTTGCGCTCTGCTAGAAATAATGAATCGAAAAATGGCAACCTTGGAACCGGGGATCTATATCACGTGATTTGACCTTTAGTGCTCATCTCGCTATTTATGTGCTTCCTTCAGAGACAGAGAACTGGATCTCCTCAGCAGGTTCTGGTCTATTTAGAAAAGGATATGCTATCGAATCAGGTACGCATTACCAAAGGGATGGTTTATTACAGCTGTTTGTCTGACTTCAATTATCCCTATTTAAAACTTTTTTTACACAGTTAAGAGGCATGATATCAAAAGTCATCTAAAAGGGATCAACATCTCAAACCCCGTCTATCTTGAACGAAAGGAAAGTGAAAAAGAACTTTTGTACGGTATCCTGAACTTGGCTTAATCTAGATAGGCTCATAGAAACTTGTCAAGGACGCAATGGACTTCGGGACATTTTTGATTTGTGTGTCTGGAGTAGGAATATCTTGCCCCTTGATGAGAATAAGATATTCTACTCGCTCGTTGTGGCTTGGGCCTGGTGTCCTATTATCATATCCTGTTTGGACTGCTTGTCGATATCCAATTCATCGTCGACTGAACTCGTTGGGTGCTTCAAGTCTGGCATTTTTGGGTTATGCCTCAAAATGCGGCGCTTCTCCTACATTATTTGAGTGAACTACAAGTAGTTACAGCTATATTTCAATATACATTCATTGGTATTATGTGATACCGGTGATCGTGGAAAAGCGCCTGTGGACAATTTGGCGGCCTCCCAAGGGGAAATAAATATATCTGCCGTTGAGCCTCACTATTTATTTCCTCCACAGCCTCCACAACCACTCCTCTTTAATTCTGTTTACTACTTCAAACAGTTTGCTCATCTTCGACATCCATGGCAATGTCATTCAGTCGAGATTGGACCTCACGCTGTTCTCCATCTCATCCTCAGCTGGCTCTTGCTTTGGCTATTGTCAAGTCGAAGCCATCAAATACAACAATAAAAGGTCTCTGCCACACATAATCTATTTCGAGCTTAGAGCATGTCAAACCTGCTAACTATTTAATTTAGATCATATTCTCGAAATACGGCGGCACATTCATGACGGAAAAGCATATCGTTGCCCTGAATTTCCAGAAAAACACCTGGATAGTATAACTTTCTGGCGAGAAGCATATGAGAAGTCAGAGTCTGCTCAAAGTACACTCCTCGATAAAATATACGAACTGGAACAGCGGAATGCAACCTTGATTCTTAAGAATGGAGAGTGCAATGCTTCTGAACCCAAATCATCACTGACAAAACGGAAGATGAATGGAGATGGGGATTCATCAAAACTGAGTCATTCCCAAAAGAGGTCTAAGACCATGAAGAATGGAAGACTGAATACGTCTCGGCCTCAGGGTAAGTACTTCTTGAGTGGCATGGCAGATGAACTTGGATTTTCGGAGAGTGGTGTGTGTTCCCTTTGGTCAATTCACCCCTACGCAGTTGGCACTGACAATATCAAAGCTACAACTCCCTTTCTAAGGCATTTCCATGCACTCCAAAAACAACTACTGAGAAAGTTTGACTCCGATGCTCTTGTGTCTTTTGCTGTGGGACTCTGCGAATCGATCGACACGACCGTTCGGCTCGAATTAGGAGACAGGGGTATCAAAACCCGCATTTCAACTCAGGAGAAGACGTTGCAAATACTGGATCCTGATTTACAACATGCTTTACAAGGAATACGTTCCTCGTATCCTTGCCTTCTACAGGCTTTGAAAAAGCTATCAGTCAACGATGACACAGGCTCTGCTAGTGGAGTAATCACTTACCACATCATCCAGCTTTTCCAGAGAACTCTCGGCCATATGCATCGGTATATAGTGTTGAAAGGAAAAGAGAAAATAGCTCAAGGAAGCTTTTCTGGAAAAAAGATCAAGCGATCCAAGACAAAAATGCCAAAGACATGCACAAGCCAAGCATATCAACTCTCGTTTGAGGAAGAAAAAACATTGAACCTCTTCAGCCATTTTCTCGCTAGCATGATACTCTCTCTCAATCCCATCAGACTGCAAGAAAATAACTTGCTAGAAGGATTTCTATGTTCCATTCTGGAGCATGTGGGTAGGGCGCTCTCCCTCTTCGTGTTTAAAGAATTATATTCTAATCCGGACCTACGTCTCAATCCCACCAAACTTCCTATGCCCGGCAATTTCGATAAAGAGCATCCCACCAGGGAAGAGATTGCCGTTGCCCAACGTGCGGCGGAATGCGAAGCTAAGCATTTAATCTGGATTCTCGAACGGGCAATGGCATTCGCAGACCAATTCGAACGTCCGAGTGACGAGACGAAAAACGATATGATTTCAACCGAAACAACTCCCTCTGGAGGCCCATTCCAGGGAATACTGCATCGCGCAAGGACCAAGTTGCAAAATACTCTTTTGAAAAGTATTTTCGGGGAGAATGAGCCGGAATTCAGAAATTCCTTGAGGATGCCGGAGAAACCGCCGTATTCTCTACCAGAGGAATTGCCTGGCCGCGCATTTGTTTCAGCAGAAATAGACCCTGCTGAGTGGTTTACGCAAGAAGTTTGGAGAATAGTTGGGTGGGATGTGTTGCTTAATGAGAAGCACGGATAAAAGGGAATGATGTTGTGTGCGTGGTGTATATTTTCTGTTCATCATGACGTTTTACCACAGAATCCGATTTATTTTTACCGTGTCCGTTGTTCCAGAAGCTTACTCTTGTTTCTTGCCATTTGGTGGGTTGTTTCCACCGCTGGGCTATTTCACATTTGCTATTATCTTTACTGCTCTTATATCGATATCTATGGACGGGCCGAATGTGGAACGCCGACAATCCGATACCGATCTTAATACTAAATTTTTCGGCTGATGTTCCCGTCGAGGGGATGTTGCATAATTACATCGCTTGTACTGTCTAAGGATGCTCAAATTATAATCTCTGATAGTTTCAAATTTCTACGTAGCATTGTCCTTTCCTCCTTTTTGGATTTATTTTGCTTTCCGTTAACCATCGAGCTTTAAAATCCTGACAGCATTGCCTCCTAAAATAGCTTTGGCAGCATCTGACTCGGTTCCGAAGGCGCCATCAATTGCTGTTCGATTAGTCAAGACACTAAGCCATTGCTCATGTTTACCATCAAGAGGAGGAAAAAAAGGGTGATCGGTTCCTGATATGCCAGTGACATAAGAGGTGAGTTTCTTTTTTAAATAGTAAATCAATAGCGTAGAACGTACACTGTTGCGAGGGGATTAATTCATGCAACTTACCAAACAGCACTCGATCCGCAGACCCGGATCCGTGCACTGCAGCCTTCAACCCTACCTCCCCGTAAATGACAGCATCCAGGTAAATATTCTGCTTCAGTACATCCCAGATACTCTTCTTTGGCCCCACAACACTACCGCCATTAGCGAGAAACCTCCTCTCATGGGCAACGCAACTTTCAATCCTGCCCGCTAGGAACGGCAGCGTCCCACCGGAATGGGCGAGCAGGATCCTCAACCTGGGAAACCGATCAAACACACAGGCAAGATACATCCTCGTCACGGCAATTGTAGTTTCCACGGGGAACCCCAGGGCGAGAGGGAGAACATGGCCATAGCGCTCCATGGCCTCAGCACCACCGAAGGCGTCATCGGGGAGCCCGTAATGCGGATGCAGGAATAGAAGCGTTTGGGCATCTTCCAACCCCGCCCAAACGGGATCGAGCGCCGGGTCGTCCAATCCATTTCCCAGCCCCGAAGTTCCCATAATCACGCCACGGAGATATTTCAACGAATTGAGACGCTGGATCTCGTCCACGATGATGGCGGGATCCGGCGCGCTGAGGGGTAATGCACCAAAGGCAAACAGTGAACAATGCTCGTTCGATGACATTGTCTCGCCGGCACTACCCCTGCTCTCCTGTGCGTGTTGCTCAGCACAGATCCTCTCCAGATCGTCATTGATTTTCTCAGCCCAGATCGCCGCGTCTTGCGCGGGGAGGAAATCCAGCCACGGATTCGCGAGGGATATCACGCTTGTGGTGATATTGTGCTGGCGCATGAATGAGAGCTTGAGGTTGATGTCTGAGTAGGTGGCGTCGACGGGGCGACCACGCTTCTCCTTCGGGATGGAGGGGTTGTCGTCCGAAGAGAGGATGATGAGGCGTGCAGGGCTGCCGTCCGGTGGATCATAGATGTAGGGGACGGTTGTGCGCGAACGGAGGAGGTTGAGATAGGATTTTGGATAGATGTGGGTGTGGATATCGACAATTGGGTAGGCGGGCATCTGCCCTTTGGCTGCCTCTGGCATGGCTCATGCGACAACTGGGCAGTTAGTTAGTAGGGGTTGGAAATCTGAGCATGCTTTTCAAATTTCCCCGAAGTCAGGAGGGGTTATTCTCCTGAGAGGTATTGAATAGTGCGATACAAGAGCTTGGTCGCTCAGTAGAAGCGCACGCAAGATATGGTTGACATAGTATGTGTCTAATTGAGAATCGCGTTTGTAGTGGAGGGGCATACTGATGCCGCTGGCCAAGCCGGCCTTAGGTAAAGCCATCCCCGGCCAGGCCTAACGATCCAGGCTCCGTCCCGTTAAGCTCAGCGGCTCCTTGTAGCTCTCCCGGAAGTGCGGGGCACCAACATCTGGCAAAAACCTTTGATGAGATAAACTTCCCGCCGTGTACCAGCTCAACCGTTATGCGACGGGAAGAAAGTGGGATGTAGAAGCATCAACGGTCCACATGTTCCTGTCATACCTGAGCGATTATGGACGGGAATCTACGAACTGTGCAGTGCGTCTTACTCCTGAGCCGGATGGATACGGATGGTGATTGTGTCTTGGCGACAGTCTTCCTTGCTTGATGAGGCTTGGTGCGAGGTTTGGTGTATGCCAGCACTCACTCTCTTCCATAGCGTTGATTTACCTCGTCTCACTTGTCCATTTGTTGTTTTCTGCCCCGTATAGACCGAACTAGGGCCTCTCCACAACTACCCCGCCCCCTTCTCGTACTCAAAGATTGGTATTAAGAGAATCAACCACCCTGAGAAGAAAACTACCAGCAAATATGGCTCCCTTGCAGGAATGTAATCCCGTTTCAGAAGGCGTCTCCAAAGATGACTTGGTAATTCCCGTAAGCCGGCTTTCAAAATCCAGGTTTTCAAGGTTTCTGAAATGCGCTTGGGGGATCACATCTGATAACACCTCGTTTCTTAGGTCATCGATTTCCAGCCCTATCTTACTGGCAGCCCCGATGATAAACATGCCGTGGGAATTTCTATAACCAAGGCCTTCAAAACCTCGGGATTCCTTTACCTGAAGAACCACGGAATCCCTCCGTCGGTTGTGAAGAATATCTTCGACACATCTGCCAGGTTCTTCAAGAGGCCTCAGGCCGAAAAGGACGGTTTAGCATGGACAACCCCGCAGGCGAACAGAGGATATACAGCCGTAGGTCGGGAAAAAGTCTCCCAGTCCTCCGACAAGGACGAGATTCAGAAGATGAGGGTGACAATCCCCGATTTAAAAGAGAGTTTCGAAATCGGCCGCGATGATGAAGCGGGCTTGCCGAACCAGTGGCCGGACAAACTAGACGATAAGGGAGAGGAGTTCACAGAGATCATGAAAGCATTCTTCCTCACGTGCAAAGAACTGCATATCAAGGTCATGAGCGCCATAGCTGTTGGACTGAGTCTCCCCGAGCACTTCTTCGACGAGTACACAGGCGTGGGGGATAACACGCTGAGACTTTTGCATTACCCCTCCGTTCCTAAATCCGTCTTCAGGGACAACGCGGGCCAAGTTCGCGCGGGCGAGCACAGTGATTACGGCTCTATCACGCTACTCTTCCAGGACGCCCGGGGCGGGTTGCAGGTTCGATCGCCCAAGGGAACCTTTATCGACGTCACGCCCATTGCCGACACCATTGTGATAAATGCAGGCGATTTGCTCGCGCGGTGGGCGAATGATCAAATCAAAAGTACTCTCCATCGAGTTGTGGAGCCTCCTTCGAGGGAGGGGGTGGATGAGGAGGATCCAGCCGTGCACCCAGCGCGCTATAGCGTGGCGTATTTTTGCAATCCGAATTTCGATAGGTTTATCGAGGCGATTCCTGGTACGTATGGTGGGGAGCTGGGGGAGAAGAAGTATGAAGGGATCAATTCGGGGGAATATCTTGTTCGGCGGCTCGCAGCAACGTACTGATCTCACCCAGCGCATGATGGTAGCGATGTTGACCCCGAGAGGTCCCAGAGTATATTGATTCCCCATTGGCTTGTAGCCGGCAACATTTTCTGTAGTTTTTATTTTATTTTATTTTTTTTTTTAAAATTTTTTCTTTTTTCGCTGGTGAATTCGTGAGCCATTAGTTTTCTATTCTGTTAGCAAATGATACCGATGAGTTCCACACTAAGATGCCAAAGAAGTGAAAGTTATTGGCAAATTGCATCCTGCACCGACTCTGATATCATAATAGTTATCTGGTGAATGACAGCCATGAAGCCCTCTGTTCATCCACTGTATTGAGCCTGATGAGGCAAGCCTCTAACCTAGAGTTAGACTTAGTAGAGTATGATGTATAATGAAGTGTTGTAATTCCAAGCTAGTTTAATATTAGTTGGCCAAATTTATCCTGTAGACCCATCCACGAATCCCATGTTCGTATGGACCCCTTAAAACTGGCCATTTGCAGGAAGAGGAATCTCCGCCATATGTAGTTATGCCCAAGCGATTCGTAACCTAAACTCCATAGCCTGGCGTGTCACAGAAACAGCTCCGAAAGTTAAGCACTTGTTGGCTGCAAATCAAGCCAGGATGAGATTTTCACAAGGCTCCGCGCCCCCCAGAATCCGTCGTAGAATGGCATGGGATTCAACCAGCATAGTACAAATTCCCAGTCCCACCCTCCAACCCCGTAAATTCTAATTTTCATACCAACTTCAGAATGATCTGCCAGATCCGCCTTATCTGACTGCAAAAAAGAGCGACCCCACACAATTTTCCGTACAATGTAAGGTTTCTCCAACGTACTTAAAGCTCCAGCTCATAATAAAGTGAGATATGGAACAGCATTTATCCGAAATGAGTGACAACAACTTCATCAAACTGCCCAAACTGCCGGTCGAATTGGTGGAACAAGATACTCGGGAGATGACAGGAAGAGTTTCGCCAGTTTTGTGAACGTCTGCCGAACGATCTGCTCCATTGTCGAACCGTATCTATACAAGGCAATCAGCCTGACTCCATCAAAGGCTGCCTATCGTGAGGTGTTGACCTTATTGGGAGCCATTTGTAAACCGCCTCATATGGCTTCGTACCGAAACACTCAATATGGAAGAGCCGGAGAAGGACACAAGTGATGTGATGGAACTCGTTCAAATGGCTGGTTTGGATACATAACCAAGTGCAAATGAGAGCATCTTACACACCTGCTGTCCAAATTGCCCAATCTCCGCTCCCTTTTCACCTCCACGCTTCCAGGAGCAATTCGGGTTTCACTATGAAACGTTTGGACAATAAACCTCTCAACTTTTTCCTCCCTAAGGAAGCTCGTAACGCTTCGGTTGCCGGCGCATTGTCTGTTCATATGCTTATCCCCAACACCAGTTTTGCCTTCGACACTGGAACGCCTCGATGTGAAAGAGATTGATTGGATCGACGGAGAACAAATATGTCAAGCAGAAGCCTGTCGAGGGTACAGATGTATGCGCATTGAAATTCATCTCCATCGACTCAAGGCGTGCTTACCGAGACTTCAAAGAAGTCGAGTTGCGTGCCATCTGCAATGACAAGGCGGTTGGCGCTAGAACCGAATCATAAGGGATTGCAGTGGGGTCGTGAACCTTGGAGATATTAATTGCAGGCTGATTGAGAGTGGGCAGCGAAAACATGGCCATCATGGGTGCATGGAGAGCGTTCTTCGTTAATTGATGTAGGAACGAACATATGACAGCAAAGCGACATAAGTGACGATAGTTAACTACCATTCAAAACTCGATTCTTTATGCTTATATAATCTCTTTCAATGGCCTAGTTAACTATGAAATTCTATTAGGCCGCTGGGCAAAAGAGCTTGATCATTAGCGCCAAGCCGGGGGCAGAGGGGACGAACCAATCCAAAGCCCCCAGGGCACGGGAGGCGCCGGCGGCCCCTGCCCCATGTGACCCACATCTTATATTAGCTGCTGCTAGGAACGACGCTGGGGATAGATCATAACAACCAACCATGTCCAACCTGCTTCAAACTACGTTACAGAGCTAGTAAGACTTGCATGAAGTCCCCCACCCTGGCTAACTCCTGATGGAGGTGGAAGTTTGGTTTATTGTAACTATCTAGCGAGCGCAGCACTGCTTAAATAGGCCTGGTCACGTCTGATAAGCAGGCATTAGGATGCCAACAACTTGTTAGGCAATCACCACCAGCGCCATGGTGGTATACAGGGGATGAACCACCCAACCCAATCCCTCCAACAGTTCTACACAAGCCCTATACCACGTGACCCTTACACACATCCATGGATCCATTATTAGCTCTTACAGCAGGCATTAGGTTAGGCCACCGGCGCCATGCCGGTAGTTCAGAGGACGAACCACTTTTGACTGGTGAAATACGCAGCGTACGTTAGCCCTTACTGCTGAAGATCACTAATTTGATAGTCAAAACGTCAACCACAAAATGAAGTCAGGCCTTCTATCAAGAAGGGATAATTCAAGCAGCCATCCAGGCTTTGGAAAAGGGGTCGAATTTCGGATGCCTGAGCCACAGCACGTGCGTACAAGACGAATCCCTCTCCCAACACCAGCTTGGTTGAGCGACTACACAGCCGTAAAGTACCAAAAGATTCTTGGCATCAAAACTCGAGAGTGCAGTTCTATAAAGGAGTCAATGCTTCTCCGGGGGATAATGTATCATTGGATGAACGAGACCAAGAAGTATCTCACGCACCTTACACAGAGCCCACCAAGTCAAGCAAGGGCTGTCGGAGACTAAATAGCCATGGAGAGTGAGTGCTACTGTTCTAAAAAGGGAATATAAGGGGGTCAAGGCCCATGTGAATGCAAGAAATGCATCATACATACGTAACCCAGCAAGCAGGTCTGACAGTTCAACAAGGGATTGGTTTCATATGAAGGGGTGATGAAGAGGAACGAGGGGTAGTTGAGATGCTGGAGGGATGGCAAAGTGTGCAGTCGGAGTACAGAGAATAATTTTATCTCTGACATGCATCTTGATGAAGTAGATAACAGAGAAGCACGTCATGTAGCTGAAACAAATTCTGAGTACGAATGCCTCCTAGTCTTCGGCACAGATATAAAAATTCAGACCTTAAGAACCTCGGAGACAATCTATGTTAGGCATGGATGTTCTCGGATACGTATTGATCGGAGATAATCTAGGTCGGGCATGTTCCTGAATATGGATTGATTACTACAACACTTACTGAGAACTAAGGCAATAATAAGGGTAAAGGTGAAGAACACTAGAATGGAGAGTATTGTTCTCTATTGTTCACCGTTGAATTCAAAGCTATAAGAATCCTCCCTTGTTTAAGAAAAGCGCAACTGAATGTGCTTTAAGACATTTACTTTGAAAATTTTTCAATTATAATATCATCTTTACTTTCAGGGTGGTTTTTTGCGTAGACTAAATAAAATATCAAATTCTCACTAATAGAGCTCCATCCCCTCAACGGAAGTTCCAGAATGAACGGACACCCAGAAGCTAGTAGCACTGAGGGTCGGGTAAACGGTCGATCTCCAATTCAGAATGGCACCAACGGCTTGAGCAGAGCCATGGGCGAGAAGGACTCTCCCATAGCTATATGTGGAATGGCCCTACGTCTTCCCGGTGGTCTTGCAACCCCCCAAGACTTTTGGGAATTCCTCCTGGCGAAGGGCGATGCGAGGGGCCGTGTTCCCAAGTCACGCTACAAAGTCTCGGCCTACTACTCAGAGACTGGGAAAGCAGGGTCTGTCATCAGCCAGTACGGATATTTCCTCGATGATAGTGTCAAAATTGGAAGCCTTGATACTTCCCGCTTCTCCATGAGTCGCGCCGAGCTCGAATCCTCTGACCCTCAACAACGGCTCATGCTTGAGGTTGTCCGAGAAGCTCTGGATGATGCGGGAGAAGTTCCTTTCAAGGTACACCCATCGGACTCATGCCACTCAATAGCAGCAGTAGTAGTATTCTGACATGTTCCATTGCAGGGAAGTCTCACTGGTTGCTACATGGGCACTTACGGTGAGGACTGGCTCGAGCTGCAGAGCCGAGACAACCAACAGACCGGCATCTACAGAGTCGATGGCTATAGCGACTTCATGCTCTCGAGTCGTATATCATATGAGATGGACTTCAGAGGTCCCAGGTAGGGCCTGTAAATGCCCCATTGCCACGGGCCAATACTGATTGATTTCGATCAGTTTGAACATCCGTACAGCGTGCTCAGCCGCCATGATTGGCTTCCATGAGGCTTGTCTGGCTATGCAGCGAGGGGACTGCAATGCAGCTGTGGTAGGCGGCGCTAATTTGATCATGTCGCCCTCCATGACACAGTTCATGAGCGAGAAAGGCATTCTGTCTCCTGATGGCTCATGCAAACCATTCTCTGCGGATGCCAACGGCTACGCGAGAGGAGAAGCAGTTACTGCTATCTACATCAAGCCCCTGGACGCAGCCATTCGGGACGGAAATCCCATCCGAGCTGTCGTCAGATCGACAGCATCAAACCACAACGGCAAGACGCCTGGCATGATGCAACCAAGCACAGAAAGTCAAACCACAATGATCCGGAGAGCTTATGAAAAGGCCGGCATTTCCGTAAGTCAAAAAAAACTGAGGTGCCTAGGGCGAGAGATGGAGAATATGGCTAACATTTCCAATAAAACAGGACTTTTCTCAAACAGGTTACGTGGAATGCCATGGAACAGGCACGCCAGTAGGTGATCCGATAGAGACCAATGCCGTTGCCCGAGTCTTTGGCGAGAAGGGCGTATACATAGGATCAGTGAAAGCGAATCTGGGACACTCGGAAGGCGCTTCGGGACTTACATCTTTGATAAAGGCGGTCCTCAGTCTCGAGAACCGCACCATCCCTCCTCAAATCAAATTCACGAGCCCTAACCCCAAGATCCCCTTTGTTGAGGCGAAATTGACGGTGCCACTCGAGCCAACTCCTTGGCCTGAGGATCGTTACGAACGGGCCAGTGTCAATTCCTTTGGTATTGGTGGCTCTAATGCACACGTTATCCTCGACTCGGCACGAAGCTTCAATCTTGGCGTTCCCAAGTCAAAGGAGAGCCATGGATTCGAGTCCAACAAGCCACACTTGCTCCTATTCTCAGCCAACTCGGCCAACTCGCTGACCAACATGGTCAAAAACTTCCAGGGTTGGACCTCCGTACACCCAGAAAGCCTCGAAGACGTCGCTTACACGCTTGCCCACCATAGAGAGCGCCTTCCTCACCGGAGCTTTGCGGTGGCAAGCACGGATCGTCCAGCTGTAACGGCAACCCAGGGGCGCAAGGCCCCGGGCACTACACCGAATCTGGTCATGGTGTTCACGGGTCAGGGCGCCCAGTGGCCCAGTATGGGCCGGGGGCTCCTGGAGCGCGAAGACTTTTGTTTCAAAAGTACCATCAGGGCGCTCGACAAATACCTCCAGGCAGTTCCTGAAGCCCCCAGTTGGTCTCTGGAGGCGGAGCTTCTGAAGCCGGTACAGACATCCAAGGTGCAAACGGCAGAGCTGGCTCAGCCGCTCTGCACTGCAGTACAAATCGGTTTGGTAGATCTTTTCGCGTCCCTTGACGTCATGCCCAAGGCAGTTGTTGGCCACAGCAGTGGGGAGATAGCTGCTGCATACGCTGCCGGCGCCCTTAGCGCTAAAGAGGCCATCATCAACGCATGGCAGAGAGGCTTCCATGCCGCTAAGCAGACTAAGCTCGGAGCCATGGCTGCCATTGGGCTTAGCTGGGACGAAGTAAGCAGCTTCTTGGTGCCACCGAAAGTCGTGGTTGCTTGCGAAAATGCTCCGAAGAGCGTCACTCTGTCAGGTGATTTTACTGAGGTGCAAACAGCTGTTGCGCGTATCAAGGACGCTTACCCTGACATCACCGCCCGACTTCTCAAAGTCGACAAGGCATACCACTCGTACCACATGCAAGAAGTCGGACGAGACTATGGGGCAACCCTAGGTCGCGACTTTTCTGGCAAGTCGCCATGTACGCCATTCTACTCAAGCGTAACTGGCACGGGACGACATGAAGAAATTATCTTGGGAGCAAAATATTGGCAGAGAAACCTCGAATCACCGGTTCTCTTCAAATCTGCCGTGAAAGGTATCCTCGACAATGTCAAGGATGTGGCATTCTTGGAAATTGGCCCACACGCAGCTCTCGCTGGACCAGTGAGGCAGATCATGGCCCAAAATAACACCTCCGCTCCATACGTCGGTTCTATGATCCGTAGCGAGGATACTGTTGAGACCTTCTTGACCGCTGTGGGCACACTCTTTGAGCTCGGAATCCACGTCAACTTTGAGAGGCTGATGCCGACAGGAACCTGTCTCCCTGATCTACCGCGATACCCCTGGGATCACAAGTCCAACTACTGGAAGGAGTCCAGGATGGCCTACGAGTGGAGGAACCGCGAGTTTCCCGCCCACCCATTGCTTGGTATTCGTCAGCTCGAAAGCACCAGTCTTGAGCCCAGCTTCAGAAACAGACTCCTTATTGGCGACAGTCCCTGGCTCCGGGACCACCAAATCGAGGAAAAACCCGTTTTCCCTTGTGCTGGCTATGTATCCATGATCGGGGAGGGCATCCGACAGCTCGTTGGTTATCAGGCGAGTTTCACACTGCGAAACGTCGTCCTCAGTAATGCCTTGGTCCTTTCAGAAAACACACATACCGAGATGGTGACCACTTTCCGCCCGGTTCGACTCACCGACTCGCTTGATAGTCGGTGGTGGGAGTTTGTTATTGCCTCGCACAATGGCAATACTTGGCAGAAGCATTTTACTGGAGAGGTAACGACTGACAAAGCGGAGGTTTCTCCAACAAGTCCGGATATCCCGTCGTTGCCGAGGAGTCTCAACCAACGCAAGTATTATGACACTTTCGCCCGCGTGGGTATGGGATATGGCCCTTACTTCCAACTACTCGATGGTATTACTACCGGCACCGTGGAGGCTATGGCTACCGGCAAGATCTTGCGGTCGACCGCTGGTGATGAGAAACACTACCCCATGCATCCCACTCTCATCGATGCTGCCCTTCAATCCGGGCCGGTGGCCGCCATCAAGGGACGCATTGAAGATAAGCTCTTCAGGCGAGTTCCAACGAAGATCGAGACGCTCACAGTCCATCGTTGCGACGCTGATACAGACTTGCACCTCATCACGTCTTCCACTGTCATCAAAGGTAGTGGCGATGTCGTCAGTCAAATCCAGTGCAGCGCAGGCGGCAAGGTTGTGCTAGACATCGAGAATATCACCTTCACAGTACTCCTAGAGGTCGAGGCAATGGAGGGTGACAAACCCTTGACAACCGCGCGACTAGCTTGGGGTCCACACATTGACTTCCTCGATATCAAGGGCCTGATCAAGCCTGAGTTCCCTCGAGAGTTGTATGCGCCCGCCTTGGATGAGCTAGGACGGTTGTGCACCGTTTTTTCTCAGAGGCGTATTAGTAGAGCCACGATTGAAGTGAGCCACATGAAGAAGTTCATGAGCTGGATGGAGCGCGAGGTCCAGTGTTACGATGCCAGCTTGTCAATCACTGGTTTGGACGATGCTACACTCCAGGACAAGATCGATACTATAGCTCAGAGGCTTGCCGGATCCCCAGTGGAGCCTGTAGTTGCCGCCCTCTTGAAGGTACAGAACAACATTGAGGGACTACTGTCTGGGGAGGTGGATGCCCTTGAGCTTTTGAGGGCCGACAATACGCTCACGGACCTGTATGTTGTCATGGACTCGGTCGACAGGTCGCAGTTTATTCGCCATCTAGCCCATTCCAAACCCAATCTCCGCATCCTCGAGATCGGCGCAGGAACTGGCGCGTCGACTGCCGGGCTCCTGAAGGATCTCCTCGATTCCAATGGATATCCTTTGTTCTCCAACTACACCTTCACAGATATCTCCTCCGGCTTCTTCGTTGCCGCCAAAGAACGTTTCGAGGGTGTTCAGAACTTCCACTATCAGATTCTGGACATCAGCCGGGACCCCAAGGAGCAAGGGTTCGACGAGGACGACAAATATGACCTCGTCCTCGCGACTAACGTTCTTCATGCCACCAAGAGCCTGAACGAGACGCTTATTAATGTGCGCCAACTCCTCCGCCCCGACGGCAGGCTGCTTCTCCAGGAACTCGATTCCAGTTCCAAGTGGATCAACTACATCTTCGGACTTCTGCCTGGCTGGTGGCTGGGCGAGGAAGACAATCGACCTAACGAGCCATACGTGAAGCCTGCTCGATGGGTAGTCGAGCTAGCTCGTGCCAGCTTTAGGAAGCTGGATGCCGTTTACCAAGACGCAAATGAACCCTTCCAACTCAATAGCATCTTCGTTGCAAGGCTGGTGGCAAACAAGGAGGCGGATAAAAGCAAGAAGACTTTGTCACTTCTCTGTGATGGCAACAATAGTGGTGTTGACGTCTTTTCGCGCGTCCTAGAGGCCAATGGGTACTCCGTCCATCCTTTCCAACTTGGTCAAGAATTTCCAGAAGGCCAAGATATCATCTCCTTGCTGGACATCGCCACACCTTTTTTCAAGGATATCGAAGAACCTCGTTTCAAAGCCTTCCAAGGGTTGATGGATCGCCTTGGCCAATCTGGTCTTCTTTGGGTGACTAAAGCTTCGCAAATGCAATGCCACGACCCAAGCTACGCTCAAGTCATTGGCACAGCCCGAACAATCCGCAATGAGACGCTTCTTGACTTCGCAACTTGCGAAGTGGACGACCTTGATTGTTCGCTCGAGAAGGTAGTTGAGGTGTTTGCCAAGTTCCAGGCCAGAAGTGAGGAGCATTCACTCAACCCGGACTATGAGTACGTTATTTCCAAGGGCGTCGTTAACGTCAGCCGGCTTTACCCCTTTTCATTGGAAAATGAGCTTCTCTCTGATGTCAGCTCGGAGAGTCGAGTCGCTTTGGGAATGTCGCAAGTAGGACGTCTCAACACGCTACAATGGGGTTTACGAGAGGAATCCAAACTTCAGAAAGATGATGTAGAGGTAGAGGTTCATGCTGCAGGCCTGAACTTTAAGGTATGTTGGGAAGCCTCTCAGTACAGGCCGATTCTAACTCGAATGCGCTGCAGGACGTTTTGTGTGCGGCCGCGGTTCTCGAATATCCCGAAGACGGTCTTGGTGTTGAGGCTGCCGGAGTTGTCTCAGCGGTTGGGCCCGATGTTAAAGACCTTCGCATTGGAGACCGCGTCATGTTGTTAAAAAACGGCTCATTTAGATCGCATGTTGTAGCTCCTGAGAAGCTTTGTGCGAAGATCCCAGGTAGTCTCATTTTCGAAGACGCCGCAACAATGCCGACAGTATTTGGCACGGCAGTCTACTCGCTACTCCATCTTGGGGATTTGCAAAGACGTCAGGTGAGAGACCCAAGAAGAATGATGATATTCGGACATTAGAAAATTGCTATCTGTACATTGATGGACGTATCTCACCCGATATCGTGATCGACATCTTGCTTGACATTCTAGTCGAGTGTTTGGATCGCAATTTTCAGGTCTCGAATTAGCAGTACTCCCTAAAAATACTCAACAATACATGATGTCCACTGACCGTCGTCTTCACGTAGTCTGTCCTCATCCATAGCGCCTGCGGTGGTGTTGGTCTGGCTGCTATACAGCTTGCGCGCATGGTCGGCGCCGAGATATATGCAACAGTCGGAAGCGAGGATAAGGTCCAGTACCTCATGGATAATTTCGGCCTTCCAAGACAACGTATCTTCAGGTCCAGAGACACCAGTTTTGTTGAGGGAGTCCTGCGCGAGACCAACGGAAAGGGCGTGGATCTGGCTCTAAACTCGCTGTCTGGAGAACTCCTTCACGCCACTTGGAGTTGTATCGCTGAGTTTGGCAAAGTCATCGATATCGGCAAGCGAGACTTTGTTGGTTCTGCTAGACTCAGTATGGGTCCCTTTTTAGGCATGCGGACCTACGCCAGTTTCGACCTCGTGGCCCTCATGGTTAAGAAGCAGTCGGTGGTCAAAGAGTGAGCTTGTTGCATTTCACGACTCTCAATTTGTCCTTGATCATCCTAACCTTTTTTTTAGAGTTCTCCGGGAAATTGTGCGGTACTACCAATACGGTCACATTGCCCCGATCACACCGAAGAAAACGTTTGATGCTTGCGTTATCCAAGACGCCTTCCGATATATGCAGCAGGGTCAGCATCTAGGCAAAATTGTCATCTCAATGAGGAACGCCAGCGGGAACGTTAAGATCGACATGGCTCCCGTGAAAGCATCCAAAACGTTGATGCTAGACCCCGAAGCTTCTTACTTGCTTGTGGGTGGCCTTGGTGGCCTTGGGCGATCGGTCGCGAGACACTTGGTTGAGCATGGCGCTCGTCATCTGGTGTTCCTCTCCCGAAGCGCAGGAAGCGGCCCAGACGACACTGCTCACATCAAAGAGATCGAGAGCATGGGCTGCAAAGTCGTGCTGGTCAAGGGAAGTGTTGCCAATGAGGATGACGTTGAACGTGCTGTTTCAGAGTCGGAAAACCTTAAGGGGATCTTCCAATGCTCGATGGTCTTGCGAGATGAGAACTTCTCGCGCATGAGCATCGATGACTGGGTCACTGCTGTGAAGCCCAAAGTGGACGGAACGTGGAATCTTCATAATGCAGCCATCGCCGCGGGGGTTGAATTAGACTTCTTTGTCATGTTCTCGTCCATGCTCTCACTCTTCGGTCAAGCGGGACAGGCAAACTACGCTGGTGCTAACACCTTCTTGGACGCATTCGTTCAGTACAGGCGGAGCCTTGGCCTGGCGGCGTCGGCACTGGACATTGGTACCGTCCAGGACATTGGCTACATCTCAAGAGATGATACTCTCCTCAATAGACTCGCATCATCTGGTGTCCATGCCGTCACAACGCCCGAGCTGATGCAAGCAGTCACTGCAGCCGCGATTTTCTCGTCAGGGACAGGAGACACAAGCCATGATACTCTGAACAAACCCTTTGTGGACAAGAATGTATTCACGGTCGGTATGTCCACATCAAACTCGCTGAGTAGCTCTGAAAGCCGCTTCCCCTGGAGGAAGGACAGGAGAACGGCCATCTACCGCAACCTCACCGACGGCGTCACTGCCTCGTCCGGCGGCAGCAATGACAATTTCAAGGTCTTCCTTGCGAAAGCCAAGACAAACGCAGCCGTGCTCAAAGAAGAGAAGGCCGCGACCACGTTCGCCCGGGAGATAGGAAAGAAGCTAAACGAATTTTTGCTCAAGTCCGATGATGAACTCAACACCTCTATTCCCCTTGCCCGACTTGGATTGGACTCTTTGGTTGCTATTGAAATGCGAAGCTGGTGGAGACAGGTGTTTAACTTCGATATTAGTGTGCTTGAGCTGCTGAGCATGGGCAACCTGAATACATTGGGGAGACATGCTGCAAAACGGTTGCTCAAGAAACTCGGAGATGAGGCGTAAATACATTCTTTCTCGTTTTTTTTTTTTTCATCGGAGAAAATCCTCTCAAAATTAGATTTCTTCTATTTCCTTTTTTTTTTTTAAAAAAAAAAAACCAAAAATGCATTTTCTTCTGCTTAATCAGACCAGTTTAAATTTCAAAATCTGGTAATTTTTGCCGTGCTGCAACAGAGTAGATCTGTGTTCTAAATAAATTGATGGAGGTGGAAGGTTGGTTCATTGTAAGTCTTTAGCGGGCGCACTGCTAAAATAGGTGTTGTCACGTGGTATTATAGCGAGGGATAGAGATGCCAAGATAAATTCATATAAAAATAAAAGTGCTGAAGTATTGTCTCGATATTTTAAGTTATAAAATGTTTATCAGAACCGGAATAAAAGCTTCAATTCTTTATTCTTCTAAATTCTACTAGTCAATTAGATTTCAATGGCGTTAGTAAAAAATATTATTGATCAATAATATTTGAAAGAATGTTCTACAAGATTTTTACAGACCTGTATACTTCCGCAAGATGCCTGGCTCTTGAACAGAGCGAAGGGAGATTTAAGAGCAGAAAAGAATGGTGGACGAACCACTTTTTGTGGCATAGCATAGGATGGTAGCCACGCTCTGGTAAATATCTTTCGATTGATTGTGTATATGTTGCTTGATCGATGAGAGCTGCAGTTGGACAAGTGAGTTTAGACGGATAGCTATGTAGCTAGCTGGTGAACGGAAGCCTATAATACCACCAGGCACCGTCTCTCAGCCAAACTCCCAACTAGAACGAGAAGCGACAGAGGGGCACTTGTATTCAAGCTGTCATCAGATTGTGCTCAAACGTGGTATAATTAAGAATCCCAGAAGCGTCAAGAACGGCGTCATATATCCGGGGCCCGAATACGAGCATCACAAATAGCACATTTGCCATTACAGTCATACCAGCATGTGATTGAAAAGCCACAAGAAGTTCAACCCAAATTGATAGAATTGAAGGCATATATTTTTAATTCCAAAGCCAGGGTTTTTGAAGGCATCTGATGTTAACTAGCACATGTCTAGTCACTTTCCAATGCCGCCATTGTATGAAGTAGCATGAGGGAAGGGCAGGTTGGGAAATTTGGCACATCACTGCTGTCTGATTATTCTTATCATCTTTTCTTTTTTGTTCTTTTTTTTGGTCTCTTGTCTCAAATATACTTATGTTCCCCTGCAGGCCAGAAATGGAATGGATTGTATCAAGCAAAATTTATACCTGCCCTCTCGGATGACCATCAGTCAGTTCACAGTGGAACACTTCATTTATACAGGTGGTATAGTTTGTCATCTTTGCATTGTTGACCAACCATGTGGCAGAACAAAGTGAGAACAAGCAGAAGAACAGTGAAAGTGAAAAGTCATTGTCATTGGTGATGTTTTGAAAGCGAAAAATAGAGCCCAGTGATGATGAAAAGATGTGAAGTAAAGACAAGCAATTCATATCCAGTGCTGGCGCTAAGAGGATTCAATGAGTGTTTACAGATTACATCCCTGTCCATAGATAGTACTCAGTTGTCTCACATGCTGTGCCTGTCCCATTCATCAATCCCGCCAGCCTGTTGATAGGACAACGACTGTTCTCCGTATTAGCGATATAATAGACAAAGGGTGTTTAACAGTGGTCAGTCATTGTCAATCACATAAGACATAAAGCAGGCCCCTGGGGAGGTGGAGATACATCTCCTGAATGGATAAGTACTAGGAATGGTGTTTGGGTCTTCCCTCCAGGAGCTTCTTTTCCTACTCTTTCATCATTGGTCCGTTAATGTTCCGGTCCCGCGGCTCCGTTCCGCGAAGAGGGGTTATTGTCGGCTCTCTTCGGCTTGGCTGCCAAGATAAGGCCCTTTGAAGCGGGGATCGCCTAAGCGCGGGCTGGTGGGACTATGCAGAACTATTTGTCCATCAAGGCTGGTTTCAGATGTTTTTGACTCAGACAAAGACTTTAACCTGAGATTCTCTGGATGTTATCTGGATGTTATCTGGATGTCAAAGTGTAGGGTATGGTGGTGTTTATCCCCCTCTTCTTTTAGACATGCAAGTTAAACTTTGGACAAGTGTTTGTGTCCTTCATAAACCCGCCTGATCGCGGTAAGGGCACAATTAAGCTACATGGATGACATCATCATGGTGCGTAAACTGCCGCTGAAGCGACCCACACCAGCCTCTGGACCAATGAGCAGCTGCAAGACGTTAGCTTAAAGAAGAGGCTGCGATTGGCAACTTGGATCAAATCCAAACCACAGATCTTCCTATCCCAAAAATAACCGGCTGGCATCGGCTGGCGCTTTCCTTGGCCCTGGGATACAGCGGAATCACGGTGTGCTGCGGGAAGCTCCAAACATGGCAAATCCGGAAATCGGGCGCTCCAATCCAGAGCTATCTATCTATGGCTTGCTCGTTTTGCCTGTTTCCACGTCGCCGATATGAATGACGGCGCTGTCCCATTAGATTTGCAGCCTCCTTCATTCCCTCCTCATTTGTATTCAGTGTCAGTGTTTCTTCTATCCATATATTTCTCCTGATGTCTGTTGGTGATACGATCCAAAGACAAATGCCAGCTACCGTTGACACCCCTGCCCGCATGGGTGAACCAAATGCAGAGACCATTCAGCCAACTGGCGTCAAGGCCGTCAACGGTGTTAATGGCCATTCAAATGGCCATTCGAATTCTATCGACTTAGCAGAATATCTCTTCCGTCGTCTTTATGAGCGAGGAATCCGATCTGTCCATGGCCTGCCGGGTGATTACAATTTGGTTGGTGAGCAGCTCTCATTCAAATTCTCTTCTCGGGTTTTAACACCTTCTTCTTCTACCCCTAGTTTTCTGAGAGCTTAACTGACGGTTGCTTGTGCTTGTCTCGATAGCCCTCGACTATTTACCCAAGGTTGGCCTGGATTGGGTTGGCAATGCCAACGAACTGAATGCAGGTATGTTCAACTCATCACCCTACAATCTCCCAACATTACTTCAAGGCTGGAAACGAGTAGCTGACCAGTGTACGATCTGCCCAGGTTATGCCGCTGATGGATATGCTCGAGTGAAGGGTGTTTCGGCCATGATCACCACGTTTGGTGTTGGCGAATTGTCAGCCATCAACGCTATTGCTGGTGCATATTCTGAGTACGTTCCGGTGATCCACATCGTTGGCTCGCCTTCAACCGTGTCCCAGAAGGATGGAATTCTCCTTCACCACACACTTGGAGATGGCAACTTCGAGGTGTTTGCAGAAATGAGTAGACGTGTTTCGTGCGCTGTTGCCATTCTAGATGATCCGTCAAGTGCAGCTGCCATGGTTGACAACGCTCTGCGAACCTGCATCCTAAAAAGCCGCCCAGTTTACATTAGTCTCCCTACCAATATGGTTCAGGCAAAAGTGGATGGAAATCGGTTGAAATATCCGATAGACCTAAGTGTCCCACCCAATGATCATAAACGGGAATCACACGTTGTCGACTTGATTATAAAGCTGATCCAAACTGCCCAACGGCCAGCACTGCTTGTTGATCTTTTAGCGTTAAGGCATCATGTAAGTACCAATTCTAACCCTCAAGATCGGAATAAATACGAATTTGTGCTAACACAAGCCATCACTAAACGGTAGGTTACCGACGACATTAACGAGTTCATCACCAAATCCAACATTCCTACTTTCGTCACACCCATGGGGAAAGGGGCAGTCGACGAGACGCTGCCGCAGTTCCAAGGCATCTATGTAGGAGAAGCATCTACCTCGATCATCCGCGAACATTTCCACGCATCAGATCTTGTCCTGAGCATCGGCCCGCTTAAATCCGACATCAATACTGGCTGCTTCACGTCAAAAGTTGACCAAATTACAAGTATCGAGTTCCACGCTGAAAAGACAATTGTTGGATTTTCCGAGTTCCCGGGCGTCAGGATGAAAGGGGTTCTGCGCCGGTTGGTCAACGCCCTCGACACGCTAGATATCCCTGCACAAATACCGTTAAACCCTGCCAAACGAAAGCGAGTGGAGGAGGATATTGCTGATCACCAGGAGTTGACCCATGACTGGCTCTGGCCGAAAGTCGCGGAGTTCCTGAAGACCAATGACATCGTTATCACTGAGGCGGGAACCTCTAATTTTGGCGTGTGGGAAACGAGATTCAAAAAAGGCACCATTGGGATAAGCTCTGTTCTGTGGAGCAGTATCGGTTTCTCGCTGGGTGCCTGCCAGGGCGCTGCGTTGGCAGCTAAGGAAATGACGGACGCCTCTCGAAGAACGGTGCTGTTCGTTGGCGATGGCAGTTTCCAACTCACAGCCCAGGAACTGAGTACGATCATTCGTCATAAACTCACCCCTACAATGTATGTTTCCTTCCCCCTTTCCCCCTCCCCTAACTTTTGTTATAGTCATCCTTTTTCTCGAAAACAAACTCATCCAAAACGAGGGAGGCATTTTTCCATCAATCCACACCAAAACTAACCTCCTCGGCCACAGTTTCATAATCTGCAACAACGGCTACGTAATCGAGCGATACGTCCACGGCATGCACGCGGCCTACAATGACATCCAGCCCTGGAAATTCAACGACATCGCTGCAGTCTTCGGCGCCACGCCGGATACATGCAAGACCTTCCAAATCCGCACCTGCAAGGAGTTGCAGGATCTATTCAACGATCGCGAATTCTGCTCGGGCAAAACTCTTCAACTCGTCGAGCTCTATCTTCCTGGTGAAGATGCGCCGATGTCGATGAAGATGCTTGCCGCGGCGGCTGCGAGGCGGAATGCGAAGAAGTGACGACTTACTTTTATTATTATTTTATTATTAATTTTTTAATTTTTAATTTTCGGAGAAGGGTTTTCTTGTTTGCGGCTCGGCCCTTGAGCGAGGCGTATATTGATATATTATTTTCACCGTGGCTTTACTCGTTGGCATTAGGGAAAGGGATTCCGTTTTTCGGAGTTATTGGTATTGCTCCTATTTTTCTCTATTCCCTTTTTCGACATTTTTCTGGAGTTAGAGAGCATTACACTTTTGAGCGTGCTTGTCTGTTGTTCCTTTTTGGCTTTGGTTATTTCCTTTTCCATTATCCCTACTTTGCTTTCTAGTGACCTGTGGCCTGTGTGGCCTGTGACCTGGTCCCCTGTCTTTCCCTTTTTTGAACTTTTTACATTGCTGTCTTTTGCTCCTCTTATCTGCTTGGTTCCGGTATACTTGTGTGTAACTTTCTTCTTTCTTCTTCTTTCTTCTTTCTTAGCTGTTGGCTGTTGGCTTTTAGCTTTTCAGGATACGGACGGACCTTTGACGACATTTAACGACCCGACATAATAAAAATCAAATTTAGAAAACCCTAGTGGAAAATTTGAGATTTGAGATTTTTTTGAAATTTTGGCGAAAATCAGATGGAATTTTATCGGCCCGAACGTAGTCTTAACTAATTAGTGGAGAATCCTGACACCTGCTTTGCTATTATCCTTCGTTACTCTCCCCACATAGCAGCGGCTGGCGGAGATCAAGAGATCGAGGAGGGAAGTGGTGGGCCCTAGTATGTATCGTTTCATGGCGGAGTGGAGTAGAGTAGTCGTTGCAAGTTGTTGCTTTGGCGGACAAGGAGGGAAAAAGAAAAGAAGGAATACAGCGGAGAAAGGAGAGGAGAGGAGAGGAGAGGAGATGAGGGAGGAGTGGGTGGTGGAAGAAGTAAATTCAAGTTTTCGATCGAAGCCATAACTAGTTCCGTTCAAGAAAGGGGATGTCTCCGTCTCAATCGCGTTTTCATTGTACATGTACATGTACGATTACTATCTCCCATCATCCATCACTGAGGCGACTTCCCTGCTGAACGTTGGGGGGGTTACAGTATTTCCTTTCGCTAGTTAGTAGATATACGCCTTTGAAGGATAACAGGCCATCTCTGAACAAACCCTATATACCTATCTAGATAATATAGTTAACTACTAATCTGTAGTACTTTTTTATATAAAACTTACTATCAGACTGAGATCCGGAATTGCATTTTTCCGATAGTCCCTCAAGGTAAGGATCCGCCCTCGTAACTTGGAAGTCGAATGGCGACGAAAAGGTGATGAAAACATCGTAGGGTTAAGTAGTATACAAGGGATATGTCATGCATGGTTTTTGCCACACCCTACAGGGTACTGGTACTCTCCTGCAGATAGGCGTGGCGTGGCGTGGCATTTGAAGTTCTCTGCAGGCTCTGAATCACCGCAAGGGTTCAAGGTCCAAGGTCCAAGGATTGTCAAGATGCCCACACACTCTGCATCTCCAGGGTTTGCGATCCCTTGAGGCGGGGTCGGTAGGCAAAAGCATGATCGATATGCAATTCCCCATTCCTTTCTGCCCTTTTTTTCGTTCATGCAGCGACCACGATATAGTTGTAGTTATATAGTTAAATTATTATCGCCAAGAGAAATGGAAAATGATGTACTCAGCAAGGGGGTCCCTTGGGTCACTTCCCCGCCTCCACCTGGTCATAATAATATATCCTCTGTACAACGAGTCCAGGAATAGGAGAATAGGATAGGAAAATTGGCCTGAAGAAGCAAGGCAGGTGCATGATGCCACTCGGCTCAGCCTAGCCAAATCCAGGCCTTGAGCCCTCCCCGCAGCCCTGGAGAAAGGCTGGGTGGATGGGGGATGGATGATGGAGTAAACGTACTGTACAAACATCCATACATATGTAAGTGCTTCTCTGACCATATTGCAGGGCCAAGAGATGCTGCTTGCCACCAGCCTTCATCTCAGCGACGGCCTTTGTGATCTAGTGTTATGCAGCCCACCTGCCAATGGCATCCCACGGTACTGTGCTTGTTCTCTTTCTCTTTCCATCGTTGATGAAACCCCGGGGTCGAACTAACACCCTAGCCGATTCACGAACGAACGCAACAGCGATGGTAATATAATAACAACTATGCAGAAAGAAGAGCAAGCCCCTTGCTTGTGGCAGCGAAATGTGGCGGCATCGGGAAACAACGTGGCGTTCGTCGGGCAGCGGGTGACCTGCAAAAGGTTTTTCACGGGCACCGCAGTCCAGGGCGTAAGCAGACACACAATGCGCCCAGAGCATGCTGATGGATGCGCCCGACGGATGCCCTGTCTGTCTGTCTCGGCCCAGAGGAGCTGGACACTGGACAACAAACAACCTGACAGGGCAGGATCACCATTTGCTCCGCGGAGGGCAATGGATAGTGGAATGAATGAATACTGGTTGCTCATGGTATTGGAAACGCTCGACGGGGGACGCGCCCTTTCCCTTCCCTTCCCTTCCCCTGTTCTGTTGCAATGCTGCTGCTGCTGCCGTCGTCTCATCCATCTCAGGCCAAACCCCTTCCTTCTAATAACGGCCGCCCAGTGACGCAACACTGGCCAATGGCTGGCTCCCCGATTCCACCCGTTGAGTTTTGTGTTCCCCCAATTCCCCCCAATCCCCCCCACCAATTTCCCACACGCTGTCACCCTCCGCAGCTCATTCGACGGCCACCGGGTACTCCCTTGCCGGGCGAATTGGCGAATTGGCGAATTGGCGCGTCGGCACGCCCTGGACGGTCTGGACGCCGGCAGTTCCAACCGCTGCTTCCTTCCCCGTTGGCTGCGCACGCGCCAGATGACGCCGGTGTGTCACTGCCGCCATCCGATTCGTCGATCCGCCGTGCCGCCCTTCCCGAGGCCCCTCGCGCGATTGTGCGTGCTTGATTTGATAAATATGCGGAATAGCCTGCTCGTAGCCTGCTCATAGCCTGCTCCACCGAGTCCACAAACACGCTCAGTCTCTGCTTATTCCGGGTCTCAGCTGTGCTAGGCCGTTATATCTTTCGTTATTTCCCCCCGCGATGGAGCACTCCTCCGGCATTCCCCGAGCGAGGGAGCGGGAATCCTCCTCCCTATCATCCCTATCATCCCTATCATCCTCGCCATCATCAGATCCATCACAATTCATCAGCGTCATCAGCATGGACGTCGGGGGGCCTGGTCCCGGGGCTGGTCCCCGGGCTGTCCAGGTGGTGTGATCGTGGTTCCACCTGCCTGACCAACGGAGCCAATGGAAGTGGATCAATTGCAAAGTCTTCCCTGTCCATGCCGTTTGACGTTTCCCGGGGGCGTGTTTTACTGATTCACTTGGTTACTATTATTTTCCTATCCTGGATATCTTTCTTGCCGTATAAATACCTCTGGGCCACTGCGAGCCATGGATCAGTATCACGATCACGATCAGGCCACTTCCGCTGCTCCTCCGCAACCCGCAACCCGCAACAACAGAGCTTTCCCTATTTTCCCCCCAGTTCTCGGATCGATCTTCTTTGCTGCGGGACTCTGCGCTCCCTTGAGCATCTCAATCGGAAAGAGTTTTGATTTGTACACATAGCCCGCCATGATGGAGTCCCGGTTTGCCCGGATCGCTTGGTCGCGTTCAATGGAGAACGCATCGTCCAGAGGGCTGTGTGTATCTTGCAGGTACTGACTGGAACACCTGTCTAGTCTAGTCTTCCAGCTGTTTTATCATCTTCGGTTACAGCTCTACTAACCAACATGTGTGTCTGTCTGTCTGCTAGGTCTAAAGCAGCTATTCCCGCTCGACTAGCCATTGTCGCCCGAAACCAGCGCTGCAACATGTCCACCGAGGCCGGTAAGTGGCCAGACACTTCCATCCACTTCCATCGCTATACACCGTATGTGGAGGTGCTAACGTCAGAGATGTGTAAACGGTTGACCGTTTAGCGCCTCCAAAATTCCCCTTCTCTCGCCCGTCCGGAGCTGTCCCGCCGCTGGAATATGCGAAACTCAGAGCCACAAATCCCGTGTCCAGAGTTACTCTCTGGGACAACAGTCAGCCATGGCTGGTTGTCAAACACAAGGATATCTGCAGTGTTCTCACGGATCCGCGTCTGTCCAAGGTATGAATCTGAACCTGATCCTGATCCTGAGAGTGCGAAAGAATGTCTAGTAAAAGGCCGGCATCCAACTATTCTATTCTAATCTTCTGCAGGAACGGACACGCGCTGGCTTTCCCGAAATGAATCCCGGCGGCAAGGAGGCTGCCAAAAACCGCCCGACTTTCGTTGACATGGACCCTCCAGACCACGGGCGTCAAAGGTATGAAAAATTATCCTTCTTTTCTTGGCTTGGAAGGTTGAACTGTTACATCAAGCTCACCGCACATACCCTCTATGCAGGAACATGGTTGCCTCCCTTTTCACAAGGGAATCTTCTGAGACAATGCGCCCGCATATCCAAGCCACTGCAGACGCCCTTCTCGATGAAATGATAAAGCAGGGCTGTGAGAAGCGCGTTGACTTGGTCGAGAAGTTTGCTCTACCGCTGCCATCCTATGTTAGTTTCTGTCTCTGTTTCTGGAAGCTGGATTTCCAGGGCGAAGTTTTTCTTTTTTCTTTTTTTTCTTTTTTTTTTTTGAAACCGACCTAACTGCTTTATTTACATCGCACGAATTAGATCATATACGGGATCCTGGGTGTGCCAAAGGAAGATCTGGCATACCTCACTGAGTGTAACGCCGTCCGTAGTAATGGAAGTTCCACCGCAGCAGCTGCGTCTAATGCCAATAAGTGAGCTGCTTTGATTTTTTTCCTTTTTTCCCCGGGTATCCGGTTAGGTCATGCATGCTGATAGAATTCCGAATGACAATAGGGAACTCCTGGACTACATCGGCAACTTGGCTGATAAGCGACTTGAAAAGCCAGGAAACGATATGATTAGCAAACTTGTTGTGGAGCAGGTAATTCTGATATTTTCCTATTTCCCAGTGGATTGTGTGTATATATGCATAAGCAAAATGTATCGACTAACAAACCCCATAATGACAGCTTAAACCGGGCCACATCGACAGACTCGATGTCATCCAAATCGCCTTTTTGATGCTTGTTGCCGGAAACGCCACCTTGGTGAACATGATTTCGCTTGTATGTTCTCGCAGCTGAGCACTACGGTACATGTAGTTATGTCCAAAATGACTATGTTCCTAATGAATGAACTCCAGGGCATCGTCACCCTTCTCCAACATCCCAAACAACTCGCGGATCTCAAAGCCAACCCATCGCTCGCACCCAAATTCGTCGAAGAGCTCTGCCGCTACCACACAGCATCAGCAATGGCCACGAGGCGCGTTGCTAAAGAGGATATCATGCTTGGCGGCCATGTACGTTTCTGTTCCGTATACCCTTTTTGCATCCAGCTTCCGAAACCGAGGTGCTTTGTACCCAAATGCTAACTCGGTTATGTTTTCTCCCTCACAGCTCATCAAAGCAGGCGAAGGTATAATTGCCGCCACCCAGTCCGGCAACCGAGATGAAGACATCTTCCCCAACCCAGACGTCTTCGACATGCACCGCACGCGTGGCTCTGAGGTAGCGCTTGGCTACGGATATGGCGAGCATGTTTGCGTCGCTGAGGGATTGGCCCGCACCGAACTTGAGGTTGTTTTCTGTAAGTCGTCCTTCCTTAAGCAGACAAGGTGCAATTATTCCTACAGTTCATCACTGGTCCACTAACGTCTTAAACCCAACAAAAACAGCAACACTATTCCGACGACTGCCTAACTTGAAGCTTGGCATCCCGCTCTCCGAGGTCAAGTATTCTCCTCCAGACGCTGATGTGGGCATAACGGAGCTGCCTGTTGTTTGGTAGATGGTTCCTCTCACTGAACGCTCTCTTCTTCCGCCCAACTGCCAATAATAGGCGTTCCACACTCCACTCTTTTCCTATATGCTCATGGGTTTAAAACAAAAAAGAAAGGAAGGAAGGGGAAAAAAAAAAGGAAAGGTTAAAATAAAATAAAAAAGAAAAGCGAGTTTGTTAGAGACTTGGGTCAGAATAGAAATGATTCGAGATTAGATCTATCTGCATTTTGAATTACTAATATACATATCTACATACATTTCTGCTTATCCATTTGAACATAAACATACACATCATACGATCCGCTTTCATCGCCTGGTCACCACTGTTGCTTCTCTGTGTCTCATGTCTGCAATCGATAATAGACGGCCGATTTCAAATGTTTTTTTTTTTTTAACCGAAAGCCACAGCTCTCACATATACATCCCTCATAACCCTCTCACTAAGCCCCTCATCATATCCTAACAAGCGCCATCTACTACCAAGTAACATCACCCCTCAGACCTTCCTAAACCTTGACCAGACCAGCCCTCCAGCTCCAGCCAGTCACGTTTGACAATAAGGGACAAGGACAAGAGGAAAGATTGAGATTGAAGCGGCCTCACCTCACTCGGTTTGTTATATGGGAAGTGGATATTTCCCATGGAGTTATTATGGAAAGCCAGCGGTGAGTTAGGGATCGCTCTAATCTCTAATCAACTTCCCACAAGACTCCTGTCGAAACGTGGAAACGGCGGATGTCATTCATTCATTCATTCAGCAAGAAAACGGACTCCATGTTACGAATTTTGCTTAACCCAATTTTTTTTTTCATTCCTGAAGAAAAAGGTGAATGCGGTGCTTGAAAACTGGGGTAGGGGTTAAAGTAAGTAAGCGCAGTGTTATTACAATGAATAGTTAATCGAACAAAAAACCTCCCCCCCCCAAGGAACAAGCTCCAGCCAGCCGCCCACATATAACAATATCATAGCCAATCAGTTCATCGTTTAAAATGGCCTCTTGCTGCCCAACGGCTCTTTGCCCGGAGTCGTGCCCCGTATCTATAGAACAGGTAGCTACTGAGATATTAGGGGGATGCAACATGGAAAAAAAAAGGGAAGGGGGGTTAGATTAGATTTCCCAGCCATCACTCACGGAAAAGGCATCATTGCAACAGTCACAAACCCAAGAAGCGACGTTGCCCATTGATCTCCGAGCTTTTCGTACACTAATATATATATTCGGCGTGCGAAAGTTAGCCCCTTTTTTTCTCTCGCGGAGATAGTTGGGTGGTCATATAAGAGAACTTGAAAAGGGGGTCATATCATATTAAACACGCGCATGATCGCATGATGGCTTACACTGCATGCCAAATATGGGGAATGCGGCGGCGAAGATGCTCCTGAGGATCAAATTCGCACCCATGGCGCTTGCCGAATACACTGGATACGCATGTACAAGGAAGGTTAGGACACCGTTGAATGCGAGGACGACACTAGATCATGTAGTTATGTCATTTTGCGAGTGTCCAAAAAAAAAAAAAAAAGAAAAGAAAAGAAAAAACGAAAGAAAAAAAATGCCGGTCATTCGGGATGTTGGTTGACATACATACCCTGCACTAAAGAAGCCGCTGCCGATAATCGGGACGATCCAGTGGATGGATCCGTGCGTCGTCCAGCCAAACCAGAACATGCCCAGCGGAAGCAAAATCGAAGATGCAATTGCAGGGGGTAACCTGTATTCCGGTTCGCCGGCCCCTGGCTCTCCTCCACTCGCCTCCCTCTTCCGCACAAGCCGTCGATAATTCCAGTTCCAGAATGGATGTGTCGCAGCGGAAGTTACTGTCCCGAAAAGCAAACCGAGAAACGATAGGCCGACTTGATAGAGCTCAAAACCATAGTTGTTGGTGAATATGGCATAGAAGGCGTCTAGGAAGAGGTAGAGGATCCCGAGGGCTATGGATGTATAAACACACAGACACGTCACCATCGGTTCGAGTAATAGCAACTGCAACGGGCGCGAGAATGACCACATCACCTCCGTCGCGATTGATTTATCGGTCTTCTCGATCCAGGCATAATAAGCACGGCCGGTCTCCCTTCGCAGCCTCTGTGCTTTATGCCGCAAGAGAACCGGATGGTACGTTTCCGACATGAAAAGGACCATGAAGATCAGCAGGACGCTGCTCCAGATTATGGCAAAATAGAAGGACCATCGCCTTCGCGTGGCGATTAATTAATTAATGATAGCCATGGCCCAATTAGCTCGAAATCCTCGTGTTTTAAACAGCTGACATGAGAGGGAGTTATTATTTATTATTCACTTACCAGGAGGTGTATTGGTTAATGAACGCGCCAACCACCGGTCCAATTATGGGGCCTAGGAATGGAGTCGCCGTATAAACCATCATGGGCCGCTGCAACTCATCATGCGAGAAAAGGTCGCTAATCGACCCTCCAGCCACGGTCATGAATGCGCTGCTCGAGAATCCACCGAAGAAGCGTGCGACAAGCATTGTTTGAATGTTTTGCGCGGTAGCGCACGGGATAAGCCATAGAACGAAGAGTGCCATAGCTACTAGGTACAATGGGCGGCGGCCGTAGAACTGCAACTCAATTGATTGGCGTTGTTAGATTGTTCACCTGTTGTATATACATTATTAGGTGATCAACAAAACGGGGACTTACTTCGGACAATGGCGCGAGGAACAGGGGCCCAACCCCAAGACCCAAGATAAAGAGCGACAAGCCCAGAGTGGCAGTGAGCCTGGAGCAGTTGAATTCCACCGTGATCTGTTCATACGTCATCGTGTATAATGCAGATGTGCAAATTCTGTGCTTCGTTAGACTCATAGAGACCGAGAACCTTGTGGTAATGTTTCTCATCAGGGGGTTGGCGCTTACGTGCACAAGGAGCAGAGTGATATGATAATAACCATAGACCATCGCAGGATCAGAGGGAAGTTTCGTGGATTCGCTGGGTCATCCTGGCCATCCCAATGGACCTCGAGATCCTCATCGTCCCTCTTTATCGGGTTGGTAGTGATTGGGAGCAGGACAACTTCCCAAGCTCCGCCTCCTTCGCCAAATGCTTGCACCCCGCCATTCTGCTGAGGTTGGGCAATGGTATGGGTTGAATTCCTCTTTGCGTAGCATGCGTTTCCCAAATTATCCGTATTCACGGCTCCATCACTCAGCGGTCTACTATACAATTCTCCGTTGGTTGGCATGTCAATGCGTGACGGGCCCAAAAAAAAAAAAAAAAAAAAATCTCAAATGCGATCTAGATTTAGAAAAATGGGCACCGTTTTCGATGGCTGGATGATGTCACAGCACAACCTCAATAGTTCATAAAGCTGCACTTTCGAGTTAGAATATCGGTTGTCTGTAGATAACTTATCATGTATTAATATAGGATCTACCTACCTGCCTTGAGCAAAAAAACGAGTGAGACTATACAATATCGACATTGTTTTTGATCCTCCAATTACCAGTTAGGCCAAGGAGAGGACATGAGAGCCATTTATAGCCACTTGTAACGAAGCCCAGAAGTAACCACGAATAGCACATCCTTTTATATTTGCCCGGATGCGACTGGCACGCATATCGAGGAGACGATTATAGGGACAGCCATCTTAAATCTCTGGCGTCAGGCTGATCGGGTGCCATAATCCAAAGTAATATACGATTTCAAAAAGATTATGAGGCGCTTTTTCTTTCTTTTCCCACATCTCATAGAAGATGAGACGCCCCGCCTCCATATTCGTTGAAGCGTTCCCTCGTACCTGCTGCACGACGCGCTCTGCTTTGGGGATATGCATGGGCTTGCCTTGCCGTAAGTGCACCACTGAAAATGTTTTGGTCTATTTCAAGGAATTCTTAGTATACCCCCATCTGAAAACATCTAGTTCATAACGCCGATGAGAGGCCTGAATGCTATTGATGGGGTGAGCCGCCTGCTCGACGACGTAACTTAATATTAGAAGGGTTTCGCTCAGCCATTCTTCGACTTCGAGGTCACCTGAAGCAGCAGCCAATTGAATATCTTGATGGGCATTTGGGTTAATGAAGGTTAATTAACCAATAATATGCATGTGCAAAGATGATCAACACTCTGCCATTGTTCGAAGAGGGCTCGCGGCGCCTTACTTGATTTAGATAAGCTTAATTAAAGTTTACAACCTTAAAATATCGCAACCCCGGCATCAATCTTGTGCCGGGCCCTCCTCGCTCATTTGAACCGACGAATGCCCCCCCGTTAGCTTACTTTGAGCCCGCGGTTTGCTCTGGCAACAATATAACAACATCATATGCCTCCTCGAAACCGGAAAGAACGTCGAGCAGCACAGGCTGCATTCGCAGCAGGCAACGATGATTTTGACCCTGCATCAATCCCCCTTGGCCGCCCTCCGGCAAATAGCCCTTCCGAAAAACCAAAGACAAAAACTCTTTACGAACTTGCAGCTGAAAGAGAAGCGGAGCTAGCGCGATCCAGGCCAAAAAGTAGCCTCGAACCACAGCCAGATACAGAATTCGTCACTATCTCGCCTGAAGGAAACATAATACGAACCAATCCTTCCAAGTCACCCACGAATAGTGTACCCAGCAACCCTTCTACGGACGAGGCCGATGTTGATGAACCAATACCCCCGCTCCCTGACACGATACTCCTCTCTCTGCCTCTCTCCGTTCTCCACCTTACATTGTCATTTCTCGCTGCACACCAATATGCCCAAGACATCCCCCTCCGAAAACTCATCCAGAACACGGCCTTTATATCGTTCCCTGTCCTCACTTTCGTCATTCATCTTGCCCATGGCCACATTATCTCTTTTGACAGATTCGATTTCAGAAGCAAAGGATACAGGCAGCGGGATGGAGAGGACAAGAATACGAAAAAACGACAGGAATCTACGGGCGGGAGCAACACTTTGTTCGGAAGGGTCCTCAGCTATCTCTTTCCCCCTTCAGTAAAATCCATGGTATTCTTTCCCATGGCCTTATTTTTCGGTGGACGGTTAATAGCTATGACGAACGAGGCGTCCTATTACGCTGTTATGAAGAAGACGCCTTCTGTCGGCACACTATGGGTTTGGGCAGTACTGGAGCTTTCCTTGGTGCCTGCTATTTTCGGAGTTCTGACCCCAATCTGCTGGGCTGTTCTATATAAAGGATATGGGATTATCTGAGGGGCCCCTTTCGGAACGAATAGCGAGGTCGCGTAGGATACGTTTTTTATTTTTTTATTTTATTTTTTTTAATCGACGTTATATCATTCCTGCTCAGCGGGAGCTATAAGTACCTTCTGTTGTTCTCCTATTATTGCGCTCTATGGGAGCGAAAAACCATCCATCGGAAGTGGAAAGCTGAATTTCTGCATGGCACTTCTGATTTTAGAACAATAATATCACACGATATGGGAAATTATGCATGGGCGCAGGTACAGATTGTCTCTTGTGCCTGTAGTTCTGGAGGAAAGTGAAGAAAAAGGAGAAGGGAAGTCGAGCTCAAAATGCGGAAAAACTGATATCTCCGGAGACTCGTTGGAATCGACGGATCGTGATCTCCGTATGAAAACGTAATTCATTCAATAATCGTTTTCCTAATTTGAGGAATATAATTGTAACAGTACATTGATGCTATAAAACCAGACAAAGAATATAAGCCACTTTTCCCGGTGGCCCTTATGTGAGTCGCCATATGTGTGTCAATATCATTATTTGCCTCATTATCAGCACGTAGCGAAGTCTGTTGATATACATGGATTGGCAACAGTCGATTGGAATTGTAGCACACCACTAATCAAAGATTTCACTCCACTTCAGTTCCACTTGCAATATGGGTGCATCTCTTCGCTATTTTTATGAGTAGACTGCGCCGTGTGCATGGCAATTTGGCAATCCCAGAGAAGTGCGTATTTTAAAAGGAAAAAATAGAATTAACCCAAACTAACAAAGAGTTCGTGCATCAACCACTGGCCCAGAGGACCATGCCATCTGTGAAGGTTTGATTCAGAGCATCATGTCTTGGGCAAGATACATTATTACTTCTTTTAGACTTTTGCTTCATTGATTTCTACGATACGGTTGTTCGAGGAACTATATGAGATTATGAGAGTTATTATTATCATTTAACTATTTAACCCTCTATTGATTAACTATTTCACAACTATAGATAGAAAAGAGAGGATTTCAGTCTGCACTACCACTTCAATTGGATAGAAAAACGGACAGCCAATGAAAAGAAAAAAGAAGAAATAAAGACATAGTAAAATAGAAAACAAAGTCACGGGGTTTTTTTTATTATTTTTATTTTGGGTTCTCATTTTCGGTTTTTTTCACACTTTTTTTCCTTTGTGTCAATAAAACATGGTTACTTGATTTCTGTCCTACTTTCATCCTTCGAGGGAGGAAATCAACTGCAAACATGGTTTCCGAGCCCAAATAGTTGCTTCGTTTTCCTGCTTCCAACTCATGCTTTCGACCATTCCCATTCTTTAAGGGGCGAGTTCTTGACATAATGGATCATAGATAAAGAGAAAAAAGAGGGGAAAAATTCAGAACAAGGCAGGAAGGTGAAATGTCATAAGTATCGATGGGAAGACCATGCACTCCAGATGGATATAGTAAAAGAAAACGAGTTATGCTATTCCTGGCGTATACATCAAGCGAAGGTAAATAAAAAGGGGAAGAGGTGGCAGAGAGGAGGGTGGGACGAAGCATGACGAAGGGGAGGTAAGAAAGGAACAGGTAACACTATTCGAATGAAAATAAAAACAAAAATAAAAATAAAACGTTACGTGAAATAAATATTAATTCGATATCTGTAGAGAAAGAAATAAGTTTCTCAAGTCTTATTCCTCGAGTCATGTAGTCATAATTAATAAGACGACGTAAGGGTCCCCGTATCCCCAATATCGACCCGAACGCCGATGCTGATCTAAGCTTTGTTTTCAGGGCAAAATGGAAAGTGAAACATATCAAGAAAAACAATAAGAAGGCAGGGGAATTAGGGGCAAAGGTAGAACATATCATGGAGTAGCAGTTGAATAAAACTAGCTCTGAAATCGTTGACTCGTTTTCTCGTGGGTTCTGAATATATTTATGAACGGGAATACCTTTATTCACAGGTGATGGTAAACACATAGGTCGCTCGAGGGAAGGGGCTAATGGTTGCAAAGGGTGGGTGGAATAAGTAAGGGGAAGGGCAAAAGGAACAACTCAGAAGAAACAACGGAACGTGAAGACAGAATTATCGTTGTTATCGAAGCAGGCCCTCAGCAATATCAGGGACTGACTCGTCTTGGCTAGGCTCGCTCATCGCTTGCTGGTCTGTTTCCAGATCTTCTGCCGTAAGACGTTGTACCCGTTCCCGTTGCGAGGCTTGCTGGGAGGAGGCGTTACCAGGATTCCCTCGATAGTAGACGGAGTCGTCAAAAACATTCAATTGCTCTAGCTCCTCATAATCCGGTAACGGAAGAGGTGAGCCTGTGTAATCTTCCACGGAACAGGCGACTCTGTCTGGCATGACATACCCGGGGGGGCTGGCAGGCACATCATCATACACCGGTGGCATCTCCTCATCCCAACTGATTCCCAGGCCACCGCGTTCCGTGACATGAAGCGAGAACACCATACGCAGAACTCGCGCAGCCCCCGTTGGTGCGGGCAGCCTAGAGTGGCTATCTGGGCAAAATTCTTCTGAGACGATTTGTTCTATGACAATATCATGTTTGACCTCCAAACCTCCATCGGAGGTTGGGGAGACGTTACACAGCGGGTCTGCCCCTGGTCTTATGTTGGCTTCGAACTCCATGTGTATCTCCCCGCCAGTAGTCTCAAAATCACTCTTCCACCCGGATCGCTCTTCACCGTGGCCGATTATACGTGTCGTTTGGTGCAAAATGCCTTTGCCCTCGGCCACTTTGTGGGAGTGTTTGGGACAACCATGGGATATGATGCACTGATGCTCTTCGATCCGCCACATTGTCTTCCTTAAGCGCCATCTAATGTGGCCCTCATCCTTTTTTTCCACAACGCCACGAAGGGTGAACTGGATGGGAAAGTTTCCAATTGGGTAAATTACTGATGGTATTATAGCCTGCCCTATAAGGTTGGTGGGGGGGAAAATGCGCATCGAAGATCTGTCGGGTCCAGGCATAATTGCTCGTTTGATTTTGATGGGCTTGTTGAGACGGAGCTCCTGTCCCGTTGCAGTCACGGCTAACGCGGACAGGTTATAAGCCACCGAGCCCAGAGATCCTTGGACAGTTGGTTGCAAGTTGCCAGCAAACAAGTAGCTAAACGGATAATCATGAATTCCGCTTTTAAGGTGGGCAGGCTCTCTCAGGAATTCCCAGCTGGTTAGTTCATCGATTTGAGCTTTGCAAGCCGGGCAATCCCTCGATATGGGTTTTTTCGTAGAGACTTTGCGGGTCAAGCACATTCGTAATGCTTTGAGCGTGACTTGGCCTGTTCCATCCGATACCGAGAGCAGGATACGGCCTGACATCAATGCGCCGGTAGAGCGACTGGGGGGACCATATAGAACCAATGGCGGGGATTCGATGGTGATATCCAAGCTGGTAGCGGGCAGGTGGCTACCTGATGATTTATCTAAGGGGCGCAAATGGATTAAGCTACGCCGCTTCTCCTTATGTTCTCGGTTGTCCTTATGTTCTCGGTTGCGGTTAGGATGGATCAAATGATCCATTGAGAAAGAAAGGCGTCGCTCAGAAGCGTCTGGCACGGGGGATTGTGGTCTAGAATGGTTGTTTAGGGAGGTTGTGCTACTTCGGGAATAGGACGAAAGGGCGGACCCAATGGTATCTCGATCGTTGTGCTCATGAAGTAGGGAGGAGAAAGCGGGTGGTGAGAGGCCGGCCGACGCCCACACGAAATTGGGGATAAGTCTTCCAGGCATGGTCACGGCTCGGATCTGTATTTGCGGGCAGTGACTGCCTTCGAAAGGATATGGAATAAGTAGGAATGATGGCGCAGGCGAAACCGACGGTGAAGGGCCAAAGGAGGCCGGCTAAGGAGCAGCCAGACAAGACAGCAAGATGACCGACTGCTGTCTCCTCAATTTAACCTTACTTCTGTTGTGTCTTCGTCTTTCTGCTGATGAAGTCTTTAGAGCTTCTTTTTCATTCCCGTTCGACGTTTGGGGCTTGCCAGTACTGACATTCTGCAACGAACACTTGGGCTCACTTCGATACTCCTGAGCATCAATTCGCTATCCCGATGGCTGTTGGAGACGACAACGGCGGCGCGGAACGAAGAAGCTTTGCAAGGGAATAAAAGCAAAGGAAGACGTCCTGTTTTGTTTTATGGAACCGGGAAGTTTAAATCACGGGATCGTCAATTAAGGAGCACCAAGGTGGCAACCACCACGGCGGGTATCCGCCCAGCTAAGCTGTTCTAGACCCCGTTTCAGGAATTCGGAGCCAAAAAAGGTTTTCTTTGCTTCCTGCTTGTTTCCTTGGGGTGGGTGAGGGTCAATGGTCCCCGGTATCCCAACCCAAAACCTCCTCAGGCCTCTGGACTCCTCTTTGAATTCTGCATGGATAGGGATATTGATGGCAGAGCAGCCAGGTTCTCTCGCAGCTCGCCGAGGGCACTCCATCGCCTATAACTTCGACAGCGATCCCAGTCTCCGCGGGCCACCAGAGTGCGTGTCAGCAACTACCTCTCAAATTTGGAATACGAGAAATCCTAGACCTGGTGACCGTCATCCCCGCTGCCATCGTTGTTCCTCAACTGGGCAGCCTTTGCTGCCACAAAATGTCAGGGCCAATTAAGCTATGACTCAGGCCACCAGTTCAGGCTTGGCGCGTTGGAATGCGGTTCCACTAAGAAACTAGGGCTAAAATAGCCCGCATATACTCCAAGAACCAGCGGAATTCAAGCTAAGAGCAGGTGGATCGGAGAACAGCCGATGTGAGCAACGCGACAACGCGGCAACGTGCTGGGACGTTCTGTCACACATTGCCAGTCAGGGGAAAGAATTTAGCCAATGGCGGACCTGAACAGCGGGGGAGCTTAACCTGATCTCGAGTGCGTCAAAGACTCCAAACTGCCAACTTTGAAACTTGAAAACTACGTAGGGGGCAAGCTAAGATCCAGTCATATATCGACCCATGGGAGGATCATTTAGAAGCTCTAGCCAACGTCAGCTTTGGCCTTCCAGATTCCAACCGAATTAAGTTTGAAGCCGCACTGACCTGGATTGATTGCCGTCACGGACATGATCCGGATTGGACCATTCGAATCCCATAATTTTTGTACCTGAGGTTCTACTTATTACAGTCATCCATCCAGGCTTAGCAGTTGTGGTAGCGGGCGAATCTCATTTCATTTGCGTATTCCATTTGAACATACAAGCTCGCATCCGGACATTGTCACCCTGATGTCAGTGACCAAGATGTCTAAAATTAACCACCTGGCAGGAACCAATTAAATACACAGCAAAGAAAGAGAAATAGCGTTAACTGAGCAAGGAAAAAGAATCTTCTAATAAAAAGCCCCAAATGATTTTCGGTGTGTTGATAAAGCACACAACGAAATAAATTTAAAACATAAAATAAATAAATAACTAAATAAAATGATCTCTGCGGCCCCGCACTAAGCCGTCGATCATGCTAGTAACTGTGAGGATGTCCTTGACATCTTGGTGGCAGCGTGTGGCGTCGTGTGGCGGCGTGGGGGGGAGCTGTTGGTCCATGCAAGTTAGTCGGGAAGAAAATTTTTTCCAAGGTTGATACGATGATGAAATCGAGAACGAAAGTTAGTCCCTATATATTCGGAGATACGATAAGACAATGCAATGATAATCACTCCATCAACCATGCAAAGTATCATACATTATCTGTTCAAAAATTTTCCTCTTCAATTGCCAATTTTGTAACTATGCTCCGTGGGCTGGGGTATGAATACGAACCATCCATGCGGCTTGATTTTCTCCTCTGGGCGTGAAAAGTTATGTGCGAACCGGAAGCTATTAATAGGAGGAGTTCTCACTGTGTGGCGGGATAAACACGCACCGTGGACTCTTTCGGGGGTTCGCCGTCGCCTTCAGGCGTGCAGTGGTTATCCAATAGGATATATGGCATCATATTGTAGGAATCTGGCACACAAACCTGTTAGTCACTCGAAGAAAGAGAAAAAGGGGAATACATGGACAGGGTGTGTGTCCTAAGTTAGTAGTAAGTCCGCCCCTTTCATCAATGGAACAGTTGTAATGGTACTCAGTAGTGGTTGGGTCTCGGAAAGGTACCCCTGGCGTTAAAGCTGCATGAACGATTTCTCAGTAGCTTAAGCACTTGAGCCCCCCCAGCTAAGGAGGTATATAAAACATTCAAACTGTCTGATGCCGGAAATAACATGCAATGGGTGGCAGGATCCATGTTGAGCAATACGAGGGCATCCGCCCTGCAAGCCAAAAGTTATCAACAACTTGATGCATCACAGTTGACAAAGTAGCTGCTCAATTGGGTCATTAAACGTCGAGACAATGCAGAGGTCCCAGAAACTATATGGCCCTTGTATCTGCATTCTTCAAGCATCTTATCGTCGTGGCCTTCGCGCCCCCGGCCTCCCCTCTCCCCTAAAAGAAAAAAACACACCACCCTTGCAAAATGTGGAAGAGAGGAAGTAATCCCCGTCAAACAACACATGGCGTCTGCGCTACACACTTTCGTGGAATCTGACCCGCTGCATCATTGATCGATAAAAGAAAAAAAATGTTTTAATGCTAGTATGACATGCAAGAAATTGAACAAGCCCTCAACAGGAACTTGAAAGCCTATCCCAAACCCGGGAATGTCCAGGCCATCGATATAATGCGCAGGGGTCTGTTCGTAGCAGGCGGCATAGACCTTCTATGAGAAGTAACAACCCTTTTCAGCTTCGGAGAAAACGTATATGGCATGGCGTTCTTCCATCACGGACTTGTTTAAGGACTCTGGCCCGCTTCTATACTCAAAGCTAAATCAAAATGAGAAATTCCGGGACGGCCAACGGAAGAACAGCAAAAGATGCCTGCCCCCTCGATTTGCAGGGTTGTTGCCATTTGGGGAACCTTAGTATCAACTGGACAGGGCGTTGCGTGCGTAAACTCACCCAGAGCCCCTGCTCACCTTCTAGGTCGCTCTATGTGGTGGACCACAGCTGATTCGATTTCTTCATTCTTGCGAGTCTGGAATTTGATTTTAGAGAGCAGAGCCACGTATCCGGGTGGGTAGTGTCAATGACACTTTGAATGCATGGAGAATTTTAAAGGACGAATGTCATCCGTTCAGCCCTTATACCACATGTGTAGCGTGAATGTTAAGATGGAATGCCCAGCTGGCGGTTTTGCTGATGTGTACTAGGTTATTCGGGGGGGGGGGGGGGGGGGGGGGGGGGGGTTATTTTTAAAATTTCCTATATCGGTAACCCAGACAGGTATCCGCTGCTGAATCGATTGTAGTCTGAGAGAAAGTTCTTAGGGCTTTCCGAGCAATATTGACCACTCCAGGACAGGCGTGGTCGCAAAGACTTTCGTGAGATTGTGAAAGTTAAAGATTCGTCAATGGGGAGAACCGAATAGCGGAGCTTATACAGATCTGTACACTTAGAGAAGATACTGGACATATCTGAGAATTGAGTAATGGACCCGATTCATACTCTGCTAGCAGGAAGTCGGTTTGATCCTCTCCATCCTCATTCTGTCGATTGGGAACGGTGCTGAGATGCGGCTCTAGGCGCGGCTCTTGGGGTATATCAGTTATTGACTTCTCCAACCTCATACTCCTATCCTCGTTTTATATTCATTGTATGTTCTTCAATATTTGACCTGATGGAGCATTCCTCAAGAGCGAGAGTTGGCTCAGGGGAAACTCGCTAATTGCTTAGTGCCGAATTAAAATCCCCGAACAACGCCAACAGCGCCGAGCCATCTTGATCCCCCCTATTGAGATTCACTAGAGCTGATCATGCCACGTTACCCGTTCCCGTCGAGTCCTTTGGCGGATGGTGCTGTGATGTCTTTCAATTGATCACGGCACCTCCCTCTGCTATCGTCCACGAATTGGGGAGAGGGGAGTGCGCGTTCCCCGAGTGAACTCTGTTTGTTCGCTGAGGCGCGCAGCATTGGAATCAGTTCGTCCCGCCATCTACTAAATACTTTATAGTTGAGAATTTCGGATATCGTGTTTCCTTCGCCGCGGCCGTTTTACATTATTTAGGCTGTGACACTCTTGTAGTGGAGGAAACACAAACCCGGCGATCGTATGGAAATTTGCTCAATTGTCGAACTCTCTACCTACTTTTACACGAGAATTCCCAGCACCCTGAGTACCCCGAGTCTTCCCCCAGCGCCCGGCCATGGATATCGACACCAGTCCAACTTTCCTCACCCTCGCCATTATCCCTGCGTTCCTCCTCTTCTTCTGGACTATCTCCGCCACCACAATCAAGTCGTCATTTGGCCTTTCGTTCCCCAGTGTTCAGAACAAAAGGATATGTCTTTTGATCGCCCATCCCGACGATGAGGCAATGTTCTTTGCGCCAACACTGATAGCGATGACCCGGGCGGAATTGGGAAACCATTTAAAAATCCTTTGCTTGAGCTCTGGTATGCGTGTTTGGGGATTTTTTTTCCCCTCTTCCTACTTGGAGAAGTCAATGTTTCGATTATATCTCTTACCCAAGTCTACCATGAGTAACCCCCCACTAACCAAAGAAATTAAACGAAATAGGCGACGCAGCCGGCCTCGGCCACATACGTAAAAAAGAATTAAAAGCCAGCGCCCTCCGCCTCGGTCTCCGAAGCGAAGCTGACGTCTTCGTCGTAGACGACCCATCCCGCTTTCCAGACAGCATGACCGCAACCTGGTCCGCCTCCGACATCTCCGCCCTCCTTGCCTCTGCCTTCGCGCCCGACCTCCCCTCCGCTACGGCCAACGGCTCCTCCAAACCAACAAACAATCCCCCAACAGCCACCATCGACATCCTGATCACCTTCGACCAGTCCGGCGTCAGCAACCACCCAAACCACCGCTCCCTGTACCACGGCGCCCGCGCCTTCCTCCAAAACCTCATGAAGGGCAAATCTGGCTACGCCTGCCCCGTCACTCTCTACTCGCTGACGTCCACAAGTATCCTGCGCAAATACATTGGCATTCTGGATGCACCACTGAGCATGGTGCATGGGTTTGTTGGGGCTGTCTTTGATCGGAAGCCGGCTGCAAGTACAGCTAAGGATAGACAGCCGAAACGACTGCTCTTTGTTAGCGGGATTACGGATTGGTTGGCTGGCGTGAAAGCTATGGTGCGCGCACACAAGAGCCAGATGGTCTGGTTTCGCTGGGGGTGGGTATCCATCGGGAGGTATATGGTTGTTAATGATCTGAAACGGGAGGCGGTATAGATATTTGAATGGAGTTTTGGGACCTTCAAGGAGGGAGTTTGGATGAACTGTAGCTTGTGGTGATAGAAGGAGGTGTTGAAAGGTGTTGATAGATTGAGACATGTGTAGTTGTAATACCCATCTGTAACATAGTAGATGTTGTTGTAAGTTTATATACTGTACATACTATAGTTATACGGCATTTTTATATAATATAAAGCTGGTTTTTTCTAATGGTTCAAGAATGGTGGTTTGATAGGCGGGATGCTTTGTGAAGTGAACAATGGGTAAAATCCAAGATAGTTTTCTGAACAAAATCTAATTGTAGATCCATCCTGGTAAAAGTGTACTGTACATTACCCCGTTGCAAGCTCTGGAATCTATAAGACGAAGTAAAGATGGTAGAAGCAAGAGTCCATGAGGGGTGCTTTAAGGCAACATGGCCTTGACGGGTTTAATGCTAGAGAGAGACAATGGCAGGAGATCTGGGGTAAATATAAGGAGACAGGTTGGCCGGATTTTCATCTAACGTACATACATTTAACATGGGGTATCAGATATGTGGTCTGATGTGAGGCGGGATTCGGTAAGAGGTATCGAATATATTATCACTCCATTATGCGGCTATAAATTGTCAAGGAAGAAAGTATTAACATAAACACCAAACTAGTATGTTCGCGCAGCATCCAGCTCATAAAACTCTGTGTCGTGGGAATCATCCAGGCGCGCATTCGGACGTTCGCCAATGATTTCAAAGTAATCCGTGAGCAATACGCCCTCGTCTGAATCGTACAGACCAAGTTCCCGATCAGTGACGCCCTTCTCCGGGCGCTCACGTTTGCCGTGGGGCCAGAAGCTGATAGGAAGGAACTCCACAATCCCTCCTCTAGTCTTATAGTATACGTTCTCCGGTAGAAATGCTTCCCACTCCCGCAGGAAGCGCGGGAGGAGTTGGCGTTCCCAACGGTCAGTGTCCGGGACCCATCGTCTGCCAACAATCAGTAGCCGCACCCATCGCTCGATAAATGATGCATCTCGGCTGGTATTCAGTTGCTCTAAATTGAAGGCAGCCTTCATGGCTCTGTACTCCTTTATCATGGATAGACTGACCGCCGGCGTGTCGACTTCCTCTGTGTCGTTGGCCAGGTCCGGGTCCATTGGGTCCTCCGCTTCAATCGCGTTCAACCGAGAAAGTTGCCTTCTTACCCACCTCCGGTTAAGATAGCTAGGAGCCATCCCCGTTTCTTTGGCCTTAGCCTCTTCACGCCAGTATGGCATCAGCCGATTAGCCAGGTCTAGTTGATATTGTGCTCTTTTGGCTTCTCGAATAGCTTCATTTCTAGCGACTGGGTCAAGCGGCGCACTTGTATAATTTCCCATTCGCGCCCCTAAGCCAGATTTTTGGAGGTTGGTTATTAAGCGCTGGTAGTTATTCTTCAGCGTGACCTGCGTTCGAATTTTTTCTGGTAGGAAATTCAAAAGATGATCAACGAACGCGTATTTCGCCGTATTTCTTCTCCTTAAGGATTCCTGGAATAATGCATATCCTTCGCGCATATATTTCAAAGTATCGTCAAGATTGCATCGTGACCAGGATGTGGAAATGAGCATGTCGTATAGTGGTAGCGTCGGCTTCACATTATATGGACTAGAGGTCATTGTATCAAACAGTCTCTTGACAGTTTCCTTGGGAACCTTCCCCACGCTGTTTTCCTCAGCTCTAGGACCCCACCTCTTGACGGACAAGACATAGGCCCATTCGATTAATTCCAACCAGACGGAGTCGGGAATAGGAATTTTGTAATGGGTAGAAATGAAGTCAACAAGTCGAAGCGCGGTGGAAAGATCGTTGTTCGAGCCAAAGATGTGCGAAACTGCATACAAGATGCGAGATGTAGGATGTAGCGGGTCTGTGGGGTTGAACTGTGTAACGGGAGGGATGTTGGCAGGATCCTCACGAGTCAGTATCAACTCGACGTCGATATTCCACACTGTTTTCAGGACATTTTCTACGGCCACAATGTGGCCTTCTCTACTAGAAGCAATCATAACATTGACATAGGTAGCTTCGTCGGGCTTTTGGCCGCTTGAAACCATTTCGTCAAACAACCGAAGCACTTGTTGCCGAACACTGTTTTCGCCGGCAGTGCTGTATCCTTGGTAACCAACATTCTTGTCGCTATAACTTCGCTTCCTATAAACCCAGGGCGTGAATCTTAAATTGAATTTCTCTTTCGACACGTATGCATGGTGCCACGCTTTTGCTTCCATGCAATGGTTGTAACAGGCAGTATTTGGCTCGATTCCGTCCACCCTCATATCATGCCACAGACAGTCCGCCATGTCCGCATCTCCCATTGACCGTGCGCAATCCAGAAGATGAGTATATTCGGAAATTCCCAATTTGAAGCCAGCCCCGCGGCGTTTCTCAACAGCGAAATGGAGAACCCGTTTGAACTCGTCAAAGGTTACTTCGAGCGTCTTATAACCCTTGGCGTGTGCCACGGCCGGATGAAATCTTCTGTGTAGTTTTTTATGAGGCTCGATAAAATGTGAAGGGGTAAGGAGGGAGAGTGCTACAGCAAACGCCGAGTCGGGTAAATTATACGTGATAGACTGGATTTGCTCAGGGCCCAAAAAGGCATATACAACCATATCTGGATTCTCTCTGTCAAAGTAATCAAGAATTCCATCTTCCATGGAGTAGTATGTATCCATTAATTCGGTAGTGAAGGTTTTGTATGGTCTGCCGTCTTGTCTCTTCAAATCGGCTTCGGTCCGTCTATGCGTGTCAAGATTGAAGGACAGAGCTTGCAGGAGGAAAGGGGGCTCTGACCCTTCCGGATCTTTGAGCTTCGACGCATTCCATGCTGTTTTAAGCCGCTTGAACGACCACGGACTGTACGCTCCAGTCGAGAGCTTTCTTGATTGTTGGGCAACAAAGCGGGCGCGGTGACCAGGGCGAACTGTATACCAGCGGAGGTAGCCATCACCGGTAAGCCGCGTGCAACATGACGGGCAGACAAAATGAGAGCTCAGGGCCTCACTTCTAAAACCAATTCCTCGCATCAATGCGTGATGTGCTAGAATGGGTCGAATCGGGAGGATCAATCGTAGCTGGCAATGGATGCTAGCTGTTGGTGAAGTTGCTGCCGCTTTTTTTTTTCTTGAGTTTTGGATCTTCGTCAAACTGTCCGCACTAAACCGTTTTGGATTGCCGCCTGTCCACACCCGAGATCGATCGCGACCCCCCTCTTCGCGACGAAACAGAGAGAACACATGAATTACTTACTCTGTCTGCGCGCCATTATCGATTTTCCCCGTCCTGAGTTTGCCTGCAGCCGTCATGGCTGACGCAGATGCCGGGGCTGCAGCTCAATTTTCGGAACCCTTGGATCTTGTCCGCCTCTCTCTCGACGAGGTCGTCTTCGTGAAACTTCGTGGAGATCGTGAGCTCAAGGGCCGCCTACATGTCCGTGTGATTCCCTCAATTGTGGTTAACTTGTGATGGTTGGATGATAGCATTGACGTCTCTCTTCTCTAGGCCTATGACAGTCACTGCAATTTGGTCCTAGGCGACGTTGAAGAAACAATTTATATCGTCGAGGAGGATGAATCTGAGCAGGAAGTCATTAAGGTCAGGTCTTGACCAAGTATTCATTGGCATTAGCTCGCCTCGCTTTTCTCCATCGCTAACACCGTACCGTTTGAAGACAATCAAGAAGCAAGAAGAAATGCTTTTCGTAAGAGGTATGTAGCCAATTTCCTTCTACGCCACTAACAATCCAGTCCTTTGAGCTAACTTATGTGTATAGGGGACTCGGTTGTCTTGATATCGCCTCAGGCCCCGTCATAGGCGTGCACAGCGACTAAATTTGGAAAACCGTAAGGTTTACGATTCAATAACATCCTACCCAGAGGGAAATATGTTTTGCGCCGGAACGGCATATTGGGCAGCAAATACTTGGCTGCGGTTTTCGGTTTAATCGCTCTGGGATACAGATCAGTGGGATTTCCGTATTAACAGCAACATGTGTTTATTGTTTTTAAGCCACGCATAAGTATGTGGAATTTGTTAGATAGATCAAAAAGATGACTCGATCGTCTCCTTCCAATGGCGAAGAGAGCACTCGGCGTTCCGAATTAGGCAAAGCAAAGCGACTTGCTCTGACCCATATCACATTCTAGTGTGTTTAGCGGAAGAATCTAAGAATCTACAAGTAATATCTCAGGCTTCAGATACCGTTTATTTTTCCTTGAAAAAGAAAAAAAATAATAATTCGTTGGCGTTTATGCGTTGGTAGCTGTGAGTCAAAGTCGTCGGTTTTGATGACTCCTTCAATTTGACACTTTAGATCAGTCCACAAAATTCAAGTATTTAAATGTATACTGACTTCTCTTCCTTCCACTGTCAACGTCGCCATAGCATATTCCAACATATTTTTCAACGCATAGTTCACTCATTATTCTTATTTTCAATTCAAGCACAAAGAAATGATACTCCGAATACACCTTTGAACCCATATCGCTGGTGACCAACCCCAGTTTCGTCGCATGCAAGTATACGCCACGACGCAAATAACATGACGCACGGAAATCGCAAGCAGACGCTGGAGGAGCGACGTAAAGGTGAACTGGTATGACATTGTTCTTCACCTCTAAAACTCGATTTCTACCGTAATTTCCGTACGTATGTAGCTACATTTCTAATCTACATATAACTAGGCGCTCAGCGACTTTGTCGAATATGTCGAGAAGCAGCAAGCGCATCGCGCTCCTCTGCACCGTGATGTCCGTGGAGCATCCGTAGCACCCAGCGACAGCGGCTATTCCACCGTGAGCCAGGTGACGACAACAGAAGACCATGCGGAGCTCGATATTCTTGACCAGCTAGGGCTGTCTGACAATACAGGCCAGGTAGAGCTAAAACAACTGCTTCTGGATGACTCGGCTACCGCAGATGATACGCTGCAACAACTCGCCGGTGTAGTACAGGCTCGACTTGGTGAAGGTCGTGGGGAAACAATTTTCGACCTTGGACAGGAAGACAATGGGGATTGGATGGGCTTCAACAAAGCACAGTGGGACACCGCCCTAGAGCGGCTCCGCAGAGCCGCACAAACGCTTCGGGCTGACTGTAAAGTGCTACTAACCTACAATGTCGGTGGTCCAGAAGAGGTGGAATCTAAAAACGAACGGATCAAGCATGCTTACGGCAAAATTCTCATTCGACAAGCTCCAGCGTCGCCTGAGGACGTGATTGAAACTAGAATTGCGGTAGTTGGAAATGTGGATGCCGGAAAAAGCACCTTGCTTGGTGTTCTTGTCAAGGGTAAACTCGACGATGGCCGTGGAAGAGCAAGGATCAATCTCTTCCGCCACAAGCATGAAATCGAGAGTGGTCGAACGAGTTCAGTAGGCATGGAAATAATGGGATTCGATACCCATGGTGAGATTGTTGGACGTGGGCAAGGACGCAAACAATCTTGGGAGGAAATCGGCAGGCAATCTGCCAAAGTAATTTCCTTCACAGATCTGGCTGGGCATGAACGCTATCTACGTACCACTGTTTTCGGATTGTTGAGCAGCAGCCCTAATTACTGCCTGCTTATGGTTGCTGCAAATAATGGCATAATCGGAATGAGCAAAGAGCACCTTGGAATCGCATTGTCTCTGAATGTTCCCGTCATGGTGGTCATTACCAAAATAGATATCTGCCCGCCCAATATCCTCCAGCAGACCCTCACCCAGTTGACTCGCATCCTCAAATCTCCAGGTGCTCGGAAAATACCCATATTCATCAAAAACATGGAGGAAACCGTTAACACAGCGACCCAATTCGTTAACCAGCGGATATGTCCTATATTCCAGGTGTCCAACGTGACAGGAGAGTCTCTTGATCTTGTCCGGACCTTCTTAAACATCCTTCCACATCATGGACAGTACGACGCTGACGCACCCTTCGAGTTCCTGGTGAATGATACCTTCTCTGTTCCTTTCGTGGGAACTGTTGTTTCTGGCGTTGTTAAATCAGGGGTGGTCCATGCCGGAGATTCCATAATGATTGGCCCAGATTCGCTTGGCCAGTTCCGGACAACAACTATCAAGTCTATTGAACGAAAACGTATAGCCGTGCATGCCTGCTCTGCTGGGCAGTCTGCTTCTTTCGCCCTCAAAGGTGTTCGTAGAAAAGAGGTGCGTAAGGGCATGGTCGTTCTCCCAAAACTTGACCAGCCTCCAAAAGTGTATCGCGAATTTGTCGCTGAAGGTATGTTATATTACCGCCTCAGATGTTCCCAGGTCACTTCTTGTACTTCTCATGGAAAATCAATACCCTCAGCTAATCATTATCAACACAGTCCTGATTCTTTCTCATGCAACTACCATCAAAACAAAGTATCAGGCTATGCTTCACGTTGGCGCGGTGAGTCAGACTTGTGCCATAATCGACATAGACCGTGACTATATCCGCACTGGGGACCGGGCTCTAGTTGCATTCCGTTTCATTCAACGCCCTGAGTTCGTATCAGTTGGCGATCGGATCCTGTTCCGCGAGGGTAGAACTAAAGGGTTAGGGATTGTGAAAGCAGTGTGCTATGACCCCAGCAATCCACTGAACCCAAAAAGTAAAGAGAACGCCGAAGGGAACGGTCAAGTACCACAGCGACAGACTAAATAACGAATTCATGCTTCTCTTTTTTTGTTTGGACGGTATGTGTATCTGGTCCCATCGGCGTTCCTACATTAGCCATTGATCATCTGATAAAAGTTCTGCTCTTTGCGGACTTATGCAATTGGTGTTCATAGACGACTATCACGACTGTTTTGGATGCTTTATTCGCACGTTTTGCTCAAGTTCACTACTTTCCCATTGTTATTTCACTCAGCTTCACCTTTGATGTGCATATTGATTTTGCTTTTTTCTACTTCGTTTGGTTTTGGGGTTCCTTCGTCTCATTCGCTCCAAGTTGCTCAAAATCTCACGTACAAGTGCGGTAAATACATAAGAGCCTTGTACAATTTTTGCGTTGGAATAGATGAAGCAAGTGTTGGAGATATACACTTGCTTTGTCTCTTTATTTAATGCTGATCAAGTACTGAAGTGATTGTATTGTGTCTATCCCCAATACAAAAATCCAGCTACATCTGCGATATTTTTGTCAAAATTTCGAGCCCTTGGATACCCAAATAAACTACAACCCACAACTTACGCTGGGCTTCCACCTCCAAGGATTCTAAGCTAAGTGGGTCTATGGTGCTTGGGCTTGTGCACAGAATTCATCCAACTCAAAAGACTTCTTGCGTTCTTCCACCTCCAGCTGCTTTATATCAACCTCTACGTTGCTAGTAAAGTGGCACAGAACAGAACTTTGCGTTAGTATGAAAAATGCGTTCCGTACCAGTAATTCCACTTATCTCAGCTGAGGAGCAACCGCGGATGGACTCCCAGAAACATCCGCCAACAGTCTTCTCAGGCCCAGTTCAATGCACTCCAGCAATACTGCCGAATGATCCGAGTGAAGATTTTCAGCGGTCTTCTTTAAGACATGGCCACAGCAACCATCGCCAGAAGATGTTTGTGCCCAAGCTCATGCTCAATATTTAGCGGGGTCTGGCCCGGACAAACGAAAGGTTTTAGAAGACACAGGCTCACATTACAATCCACCACCTACTGTATTTCTGGGAATGAATTTGTTTGTCAAGTGGGACTCCAATTTTACAATTGCTGAAGGCCACACTTTATCCCTTTTTAAAAGGCAGTGTGCCAGTTCCTGAAGTATATGGTTGGCGGACTGACGGAGGGGAGATCTTTTTATATATGAAGTTGATAGATGGACAAAGTTTGGAGAATGGTTCACTACTGGTGATCCACTGCAATATATCTTCGCACAGCATCCCAGAGATTTACAGGGTTAATTGAGCTCACGATTATGTATTTATATGCGAAACGTGAGAATGGACCAGCGTAACCCCTGAGTATATTTAGAAACGATGCTTTTGGGGGCTGTTCAAGGATCACTGCAAAAAAGTTAAATTTCGTGGAGGCGGAGTGATGTACTGTACATCTTTAGAATATCTGATCGGTATCCAACACCAATTGGCAATATCGCTATGCCCAGGCATATCTACAAAACCAAAGAAAATCCTCCTGATAAGCTCTACTCAAATAATAGCTTCAACTCCTCAATCCTTTCCTTCCTCCGCTCTTCCTCGCCCCCATCACCTCCAACCCTCAATCCCAATGATCCCGCAATCATCATTTTCCGTTCTTGAATCCTTAAAATACGACCCTCAATACTATCCTTTACAATAAATCTGGTCACTGATACATCTTTCAGTTGACCCATGCGATGAACCCTATCGATCGCCTGAGCTTCGGTTGCAAAGCTCCACCAGGGGTCCATCATAAACACCTGATTGGCAGCGGTAAGATTCAACCCGACTCCCCCAGCACGAAGACTGATTAACAAGACGTTTGGTGGGGGGGCTTTAACGTGAGAGCGTGACGAGGGAAATTTCGATTGGCGCTTGTTGTTACCATCTTCATCGTCCTCCTCGTCAGGGAAATGTGCAGAAGTGAATTTGGCCAGGACTGCCGAGCGCGCTTTCTGCGCCATGGTGCCATCGAAACGGAGATATGGAATTCCCGCACGGGTCAACTGCGGTCCAATGAGGTCGAGAAATGAGGTGAATTGTGAGAAAACAACGGACTTGGTGTTTGGCGGAAGGTCTGTCAGATGTGAAATTAGGGCATGGATCTTGGCGGAGGTTTGAGCTGTCGGGGATAGAGGGTTTATCCGACGAAGAGAAATGCGAGGTGCGGGAGAGGATGACCCCAGTGGTGCACTATCGTACAAGTCTCCTTCACCAGGAGTCTGGTTGGGTGATCTGTGGCGGATAACTTCAAAAATATCTCGAATCGTGATGGTCTCACGACAAGAGAAGCAACGAGGCATTTGACCTTTGTCTCTTTGGTGTTCTACGTAGTCTACTAGGCATTTTTTGCAAGCACTGTGCCAGCAGGAGGTGACTGCAGGGTCAACCATCGGTTCATCCGTGCATATAGGACATTCCCCACTTGTCTCGGTCTGTATCTGTCGTAGAGCATGCGTAGTGAACTTGCTAATAGGGTCATGCTGACCGTCAGGATTCTCGCTAGAGGTAGCCATCGTGAATCGGTCAATGAGGTCCTGAAGGTCCATATCATCCTTGAAAACGTTAGCATCATCGGCAGCGATGGCTGCATCCTCTTCTTCTGCAACTATGTTTTGATTTCGCGTGAGCACGGGATGGCAACATGTTTGGCGCAGACGAAGAATTTGCGCAAAAATGGTCGTATACGATTTTAAAAGTGTGCCTGCCGCCACATTGTCATTGAATGTTCGCTTAGCCCGAGTGAATATCAAGTCATAAATTTCGCGTTCTTGGCTTGAAAGTTCAACTTCAGCTATTTTAATGGTTCGAGGGGGTAGAGGGACGAGTGCCTCGCCATCGGGGGTCTTCATAGTCTTGGTTCGACGGAGGACAAGCGGTTCAAGGACAGTTTGCACAACATTTAGCGCACGCAAAAAATCCTTCGATTCAAATGGAACGGTGATAAAAGTTTTCCAGAAAGAAAAGTTGCTCCACGGCTCTACTTTGAGGAATCGTACCAGGCTGAAGAGATCTTCAAGTCGATTGACGATAGGAGTGCCTGTGAGAGCCCATCGATGAGTGCCTTTAATATCATAACATGCCCGCGCAGTTTTAGAGGCCCTGTTCTTGATATAGTGCGCTTCGTCGAGAATAACACGGAAAAAGTTCACAGAAAAAAGACCCCCACTCGAATTCATAGCAGACCGACCAGCGAGCTGGCTATGTTCTGAACGAACAACACCATAGCTCGTAATTATAAGGTTTGGAGAAGAATTTGGATTGGACATGGAGCAGAGCTTTCTCAAATCTGCTGTTTTATCACTACCGTAGTAAACCAAAACCTTCATTGATCCTTCTTTTGAAGCCTTCATTGCCTCACTCTCCCATTGGGCGAGAAGAGAAGTTGGAGCCACAACAAGGGTGGTATACGGAGCGGGCACGGGTCGAGCGGTATTGAAAAAAGCTCCCGATAAGGTATCAAACCCTGCGGACTGACTTTTGACTACCTCAGGTTTGTGAGAGTGGATCAAGCTTAACATCTCAATAGTTTTCCCAAGACCCATTTCGTCTGCTAGAATCCCGCCTAAACAATTTTGTTCTTGGACCGGAAATTCCAGACTGAGCTCACCAGAGTAGGGGTTGACATAGAACTTTTCACGATTGGGCACACGAGGTAGTGGTTGACAATCCATATCCTCTGTTGGCCAAGAATATTCTTCCCACAACGGGTGCATAGATTGCTCACGTTTCGGCTGGGCATCTCTCTCTTTACCTAACATCCAATATAAAGCCTGTTTTTGGTATTTTCGAAGGTCCATAGCGAAATCAGGTCCGGGTTCCATTTCAGGCATATTGAAATCAAAGGATTGGGCCTTCTTATACAGGGTATCAAGCTGGTCTTCATCGAGCTTCTCGCCATCTTCCTCATCTGAAGATTCGCTAGCTCCACTTTGCTGGGCCGTAGAGTTTGATGTCCTTTTGAGCCTCTCACTCAACTTCTCGCTCATCTGCGCCGCCTGAAGCAAGCCTTCCTTCTTGTGACGCGCCATCATTTCATTAACCGATGTTGGTTCAAGGTGGATTTCGCTAAAAAGTTTAACTAATGCGACTTGTCGCAAGCGAAGGGCCTTTTCCTCGGCAGTTTCTTGCTCCTCGAATATTCTTGGAGGGGCATTATCATCCCCAAGCGCCGTAAAAGACTTCTGCTGAAACACACCTCTCCATAGAAAACATTTCAACTGAAGGTATATGGTTTCATTTACACGGATCTGATCCGGGGCAAAAACACATACACCTTCAAATCGGCATATTTTCTGATCAATCAATGTCGAAACCCACTCAGCCGTTTCCCGGGGGAGTCTCCCAATCTCCTCGCCATCTCCATTAGTGAACCGCGTTATCACATCGCTTTTTTGATTTGACATCCGTGCAACCGGTTTGCCTCCCCTCCCAGGTTTCATGGTTGGTTGTAATTTAGTCCGCTCAATGTTGACCAGCTCTCCGTGTTTCACTAAATTCGTGCCACTCTTCGTTGACCATGCACCAACACCAAAAGAGCCTATATAGCGAAATTCAGGATCAGTCGTGATAATATTAGGATCATCTTCGGCATCGTGGGATGCGTCTTCGACTTTAGTGATTGGCACTTTTGCATGAGGATTCGTAATTGGTTCGGAGGGCGTTCCATTTCGTACAGGGGATGTTACCGTAGACCTCTGTGTTGCGGCGTCTCCGCCCCAAGAACCGTCAAGATAAAGATTAATTGCTGTTTGCATGTCACCCTTTGCAGCTATTCGAATTTTTTGAACGGTGCTTGCATCAACCGGTTGCCCGACGATGCTAGTGAAAAGTTCACTGTCAAATCCATCCTCAGCCGCAGCGACAGTTCCAGCTGCCAATCTAGTAGTATCATGAGCGGTGAGAGATGAAGCTTCAGAATTCAAGACGCCAGGTGTTGGGCTTCTGGCCGAGTGAACAGACTTGGCCCTCTCGGACAACGCGTCCATAGCCTGTGTGGCTTCATTCGAGGGGACTGCACTGTCATCTTCAACAAAGAAACGGCGTTTCTTTGACGGTCGCTCGATATCAGCACAAGCCACGCCGCGGGTGGCCATATCGGCCTAATAATAGGTGAAAGGGGCTGCTGTGATGCTGGAATGTCGCCAACTTCGGAGGACTTTTGATCAGTGGCCGAGGAGACGCGATGAGCGCCAAATCACGGGAACACGGCAAAAACGCGACTTTCCGACTAGCGACGTCATGGCGACAAAAAATATCGGAGTCGCCAATGGGCACGGTTGCGTTACAGATCAATGGATCTCGGGATTGATTTCATCGTTGCAGGCCAATCGTTGCACATTCGAGTCAATGTCAATGCCTTTAACCGTCGCCGGAATGATTTGACTTGGTGATTGCATTTTTTCAAGTGCGGGAATTTTTGCATGGGTTCCTTGAACTAAAAGCTCTTGATACTCCCCGACAACTAAATATCACCGCGCCAACTTGCTATCTGTTACGGTGCAAATGTCCTTTAAGACACCTGTCGCATGCCTGCGCTGCGCTGCTCGACGCTTGAAAATACATCAAACACACACTTCTCTTGGAAATTTATACCAGACCGGCCGGCATTTTTCAAAATCTGCAACACTGTCATCGAATTATTCATTACCAGCAGCCAAATCGGAGTTTGAATCGTCCCATAAATATTGTCTTGACCTTCTCCGGCGAGTAACACTGATCTTTCAGTTTCCCTGAGAATCAATCAAGATGGCAATCTAATTGAAACTAGAAAATATGACCGGCCTTCCTTCACCCTTAGTGCGTTCATCCCCCGCCAAACCCTCAGCTTCTACCTCGCCGTTCGGGCCCTTAACGTTTCCCTCTCCATGATCCCCGACACCACCTCGACCCCGACAATCGGACTGATGCGTCTCCAATTCTGGCGGGATACAATCACACGAACGCTAGCCGGTCAACCGCCAAAGGAGCCCATTGCCATTCTGCTCGCATCGGCGCTCTCAGAGCTTGACACGCGCACAGGGGGCCAAGCACGAATAAGCAAAGGATGGTTCCTGCGGATGATAAACTCGCGCGAACAATACCTTACAAACACGCCTTACACATCCATCTCTGCGCTGGAGTCATACGCTGAAAATACCTATTCCACCCTGCTCTATCTAACCCTCAGCGCCCTGCCCCTGACTTCCGTTACAGCAGATCACCTCGCATCGCACATAGGAAAGGCAGCAGGAATCTCCACCGTGCTACGAGGGATACCACTAATTGCTTTCCCGGCCCCCCCAAACCATCACTCGAACCAGCCTGGGGGCTTGGGCGGTGGAGCCGGCGGTGGTTCTGGCGCTCGGGTCGGAACCATCACGCTTCCGCTCGACGTCATGGCAGAAACAGGACTAAAGGAGGAAGATGTCTTTCGGCACGGCGCGGAGGCCCCAGGGCTTCGTGATGCGGTGTTCACTGTTGCGACTCGTGCGAGTGATCATCTCATCACCGCCCGCCAAATGCTTAAAAACCTGCGAGCCGGGCAGGGTGTAGGCCATGATTTTGAGCATGAAGGGGAAGAGGGACATGAATACAATGATGTCAGTAGCAATGGTAACGGTGGCGATATGTCAACTTCCAGCGCACAGCTGGCAGAGGTGGAAAGATCGTTTGGTGTCCTGATGCCTGCTGTCTCGACGTCCCTCTGGCTAGATCGTTTGCAAGCGGTGGATTTCGATATTTTTAAACCCGAACTTCGCACCTTTGATTGGAGGTTGCCTTGGAAGGCTTACTGGGCTAATAGGCGCAGGGCGTTCTAGACGGGGATTTTGTGCCCCTTGGAAAGTTGAAAGATTTAGTTGCTGTACTAAAGATACGCGTGGTCGGCAGTAGAGCTATATCGAATAAATGTATTTCTATTTCTATATTGTATTGATACAGCGTGATACGACGCATATACGCGTATATGTTACACACGTCAATATGCTGCTCCTCTAACATTTCTATCAAGCTGCCACGAAAAGGAGAGGTCAGCATTCTAAGGACTGCCAAATTAAATCATGCGGGAAAAACATATCTCAAATAACCACCCATATGCAACACACATGAGACGTCATCAGTTTTAAAGTAGTAGGATAGTAGGAGACATGGCTACGCTGGTTGGGATTCCTGCCGCCGTTTCCGCGACGTGTGAATCATATGTTGTTGAGCAAGTTTTATAAAGTATCGTTGAATCATATCACGCCTGTTGCCGAAATATTAGAACCCTTCCTTTAAACCTGATGATCCATCAAGACTAGACGAAAAATAATGTCTATCACTCACATTAAAATTGCCGTCGTGACAATGACGAACGGAACGGCTATTGGCCAGAAGAAGCTGATGGGATAAACAGGGTAAGCAGGAGGAACAATCCATACAGATGGCTTGACAGAGGAAAATAACCCCATAAACACATTCCGTGCGCTTGGATTTACGTATCAAAGATTCCCACGGGATTTATGGAAAACTTACGCATCGCTATGATTTTGTACCCCTTCGAATCGTACGAAATTCATCCCGAAGTAGCCCTTCACAGATTTAGTTAAGTATGAACGGTCCTGGTATGTGACCAGTTTAGATGTTGCTAGATTATAATAAGAACCACGAACCGTAAGGAATGTCAGTGGCAAAAACATGCATGTCACGATGGTAAGTTGTTTCATGCTTTCATTCTGGTAAGCTCCTGTACGAAACGGACAATAAGTCAGGGATTGCGTTTCCAAAAATTTGAGTGGAGTTGAAAATATGAATAAAAGGAATATCAGGTCTTACCAATGGTGTTGAAGGTAAGATCAATCATATTATCAGCAGATCGTCTCATTTGATCATATCCTTCCGTAATGGTGATGCAATGGTCCAACACATCACCTAAATAAGTATGGCAAATAGGGCTGATCCGGACGACAGTTAGCATCTTAGCTCCTTCCGGATAAGAATTGTCCGGTTTCGTATTCACCGGATCTAAGGGGAGCGTATTCATGGATGGAGAAGACAAGTTTTTCAGGGGTGTTGTTCCTGAACGAGAGGCTAGCCCAGATGTGTGGTCCCGAAGAGTGTTCACAACGCCGATTATGGGTTGCATTGCGTTACGCAAAACAGCAATTTCGGAGGTCAAAATATAAAGACGCGTCGATTGGTGGATTTCGGGGTCAGTGAGGACACTTAGTTCCAGGTCCCCAATCGCATCCTGATATGCCATTGTGACAGGGATAGCCAGATCGACGATAGCATCGAGAATAGCTTGGACGACCATACTTGCATCGCAACACTGGCGTAAGATAGTTTCAGGGGACATTAGCCGTTGGACGATCGGTGACTCGATATCTTGAGCACTGGCCTCGAAGAAAGAAGTTACGGTGTTATCTGCGTGAAGGAATATTGAAACTTGTTCGATGGCAACGCCCAGGCCTCTTGATGCGAGGACAGCATGCCTCTCCATGAAATCAATGCGATCCTCATTGGGACCGCTTCGGTAACGTTGAAGGGAGCGTAGCCTGCTGCGCCTTGAGCCACCCGTCCGGAGGATTTCACCTCCACGAAAAGTATGATCAAATGGGAGCTCAGATGCTTTTGTCCCAAGTTTTTTCTTTCTCCCAGAGGGCTTTAGAACATCCATAAGAGCTGACATAATAACCGCTCCGTTTTTTGACTGTTTCCGTTTTTTCTTGGGCTTCTCATTTGATTGGCCATTATATCCCTTCTCGCTATCGCTTTCGCCGGAAGAATTAGCAAACTGTCCGTCCGACTGAAGCTTGACTAGTTTCTGCATCGCAAGAACAATAAAGGTGTTGTCTGGAAACCAGTCAACTTTTGTACGATTCACAGAGTGCAATAGATCCTCGATTGCCAATCTGTGCAATCCCTTATAACTAGCAAGCAAGCTAACAACATCCCAGCTCAGCCCATTCACATTAATCCATCGACATTTGACCCAAGGCTGCCTTGGCTTACTCAAAAACGACCCCAGGGTAGTATTATCCAGGTGATACATTTGCATATCATGCTGAGAGAAATCCACAACTGTAATGTCGCATTGTGTGCTTTTGACTCGAAGAAGTGTTTCTCCTCCTGTCCGGTATGGAGGAAGAGGCTCTCTAGGATCAAGGCCGGGCTCTTCTCCTGGGTGCCAGTTATCACTTTCTGATGTGCTTCCCTCACGGTGATAAGAACGAGCGGTATCTGAACGTTTTATCCGCCGCTTTATGAAATCCTGCGACTCAACACGTTTGAAACTCCCAACGTCTGGAAGCGCAGTCGAAGGAGTGGGTGAGTGCTCAACTGTCGGGAAGGCTGGTAGTGCCTCGATATCGGGAGAAGAGCGGCTGGCAGACGCTGCCGTGCCATAGTCACGCACTTCAACAGACATTGGGTGAGTGTTGGAGGAATCGAGGGAAGGAAACTTTGCAGAAAAGTTGAGGAAGTTAGAATCAGCTAGCAGAAACGTATTTTTACTGAAAGGAATGATAACTCCACACACTCAATTGGGGCTCTCTAATGGAGGGGTCATATAAACGAGGGACGAGGGGAAACAAACGCGACCTCTGCTTTTAACTCACTCATTAACAACAAAATTCCGATGGATAAATGCTCGTAGCACTCAATTCTAGAAGATCATTTGTCTTCAATCCGTCACCTTTTGAACAAAGCTTGAATTCTGTCTTGGAGGTCGCAGGCTCATAGCTGGTATTGTGGGAAGCACAATTGACCTGGGTATGCGACCATAAAGGATATAGGAGAGGCCACGCAACGATGGCTTCTCCACTAGCTGGGTTTGAAGGATATGGAAACGGGTAAGCAGTGAGAACAGCTGAGTTGAATGCGCGGCAGTATTCTGATGTCGTCTATCTCGATTCCTCAAGCCGCACCGCAACTGCCGATTGATAGCTTGGTAACTTTCGGGGCAGGCCGAAATGTCTTGGCACACTAAGTTCCAAGCTATTTATATCTATCCATTGTAGCAGAATTTAAATATATTTAAGGGCAGTAATGTTCAGGAGACGCCAACCATAGATCATACAGCATTTTTCCTGCGCCCTTTTTCCTTCCTCACCCCAATAGGGCACATTTTTGAAGTGAAAAGCAACACGCCCCCTGTCAGACCATCATGGCGAATCATATAAACATGACCAGATAATTGTACAAGAGTAACCGATAACGTTGAAATGCAAATCAGGAAGCATATGAGAGACAATAGTGTTAAAAAAAAATATCCAAGAAGCAAACGAGAAACTTAGGGAATATTAGTTGTAAAATAAAATGGGCGATAATGTCAATATAATCTGTAAAAATATTCACCGAGAATGAAATCTGCTCGCCACAGGGGTCGATATCTTATCATTAAATGAAAAGTACAAAGCAAATATGAACACAAAAATGAAACGCAGAATCGTGGCGTAACAATCATGGGCCCGGCGACGGCCTTGGTTTCCATACAGCTCGATGGGCACTAAAATGTGGCGATTTCACAAAGTTGGCCGCTTGCTTCGTCGAGCCGTTGAGCAGTGCAGGCTGGACTTCCATGAGAATTGCCCTTTGTGGCTCGGCGTGCGGGGGTATAGTTGATTTAGTTCGCCGGCTCCGAGCATAAGATGTTGTCGATTTTGTAACTGAAGATGAGGAATTGGACGCGGGCTGTGAAGATTTCATGGTCATCCCCTTGATAATTTCGCGAAGTTCCTTGTCGTCATTGCATATCTGCGCTTTTATATAATTTGGATCTCGGGAGCTCTGTAAGGAAGACAGGACGGGTTTTCGGGGGGTGTAGTGGTATTTTTCTGGGGTAGGAAGGCTAGTGGGTTCAATGGAAGGATCCAACTGGGCCTCGAAGCCTTTTTTGAGGAGGTTTTCGATATCCAAGCTTTCACCGTGGGGTATTTTGTTGGGGTGAGACGGGGTAACGCAATCCATGTCAACCTCCTTTCTCAGCACCGTATCAATATCGACAGCAGAGAAATAAGCACATGACTGGGGGAGGTCATCAATCCCCATCTCTTGCGAGAACATAGCTCGAGTCCAGAGGTTCGCAACCTGTAACGCCATCGCGGCGCGGTACTTGTCATGTTCTTTAACCAAATATCTGATTTCATCGTGGACAGTAATTGCGAGACGTGCGTCCAAATTGAATCGCCGAATAAGGAAGTCCATGGAGATGATGAGCAGGTGCAAATAGTCCACACCAGATGATTGAATCGCCCAGTTTATTCGCGATGTCATGAAGCTTCCCTTGTTGATGAAGCGGCGCATGAGGGCTTCCGTAATACCTGCTCCAAGTACAGGCGTCCTCGGTCTCTCTTGTTCCGCGAACTCCTCAAGCTTATTGAATACGAATGATTCGGTGCCTCCCCTCCAAAAAGGGTTGTCACTCAATATCTTTCGATTGGTTCGGGTACCCTTGGTTTCCTCGTATAGTTTCGCAGCAACCCGTTTTGTCTCTTGTTCTGACATAGAAGGGTTAAATTGGCGAAGGAGCGTGGCTGCAAATTTGAGGCCTGCCCCATATATTCGGCCATAATTGAAAACTTTGGCATCGTTCCGAGAGATTCCCAGGATGTTCGCCGTTTTTGAATGTAAATCTGTACCAGCTGATTTTGTCCCTTCCAGCGTCATGAAGCCGATGGCGTTACCTCCGTGAATCTGAAACTGTGCGTCTCCCACAAGGCTGGCAATCCAGAGCTCCTCAGAATCCACGTCTGCGCCAACAAAAACATAGCCTGGGGGTGCCCTGACCATGGCTTTAAGCTCGGATCCCACCCTATTTGCTTTAGCGTTGCTCGCAGTTAGCCAGGTGTTTTCCACCGCTCGTCGAGTAATAGTGCCCATTGGAATAATTTGCGGTAATATATAGCCCTGCTTCAAGGTGGAATTCGATGACGATTTGTTTTGAAGTCGTTCGATGTCGTTGTGATAAACTACCATCTGGCTCATAATTCTGTCCCTGGCACTGATCCAGTAAGAACACGAAGCGTTCATTTCCAATGCTTCCTTAGCTAGAGCAAATTGGGAGGAAAGTTTTCCTCCTTCAAAATACTGTAAATATCCTTTCGCAAGCGGACTCGAGCAGCGAGCGTCGGGTCCATCCTTGTGTGGGAGTTTAAAATATAAATGCTCTCTATCATCTCGAAGACTAAGATTCTTCTCTTCAGCCATGTTACATGGGGCAACTGCCTGGTTCTCGAAGTTCTTTATTTCTCCTTTGGGAACCTGGAAAGTCCATCCATGTACATCCGACCAAACAAGTGGGTACCCAAGCCATGAGAGTTTCAAGAGAATTGGTGCCAAACGTGTGCGAACACTCAGGTTAATAGCGGAGGTGCTTGTCGGAAAGAGGGCTTTGTACCATTTTGGCATTCCAGGCATTTTCTGTCTTGCAGCAGGTCGAGGAGGGTCACCCTTCTTCCTCCCTTTAACCATTCTTATTTCCTGTCCGGACCAGTCCAATTGCCGTAACCATGGGTCATTCTCGTATACTTCGGGTTTATCCTTCACAGCTAACGCGCTGTCGCAAAGTTCCACCAGCCGCTTCTGTACATATTCCAGGCGGCGTTGATAGGTCTCCTCCGCATTTTTCAAGTATTCGTCCCAGGTATTGTTTACAGGCAAAATAACAGAGGAAAGGTGTTGCAAAGCTCCAAAACTAACCGGATGCGGGCATACCTCTAAAAAGTTGGGGAAAACCTGTTTGTAAACACGATGGGTAATCGAGACATCGGCTGCACAATAATCTAGAAGCTCGTCGAGTCGCTCCAGGATACCAGAGCGATCGAGATCACCGAAATGATCTCGCTGGGCTTTATCTATTGTAACATTGCAGTGGAATTTAGCAACGTCACGTAATGAGTTGACCGAGCTCCTGCCTACCCAGAGCTCTTCCTCTTCTTCTGTAAGCAGTTTGTTCTCAAGAAGCGCGGCAAGTTCAATCGAATTATTTTCTTTGAGGAGTTTATCCCTAAGGTCTCGATTTTTCCTATGCCGCATCCAGGTGGGCCGCTGTTGGGAGCACATCCCGTTAACGGCAACGTGAAGGGACATAGTATCAATGAAGAAGTTGCGGGTCTTCTTGATGTTGTATTCTTCCAAAGTCCTTGCACGGTCATATCCAACATTGTGCCCGACAATGATTCGGGCTTGAGATGGAGAACCAAGCGGAATAAGCTGTCGTTCGTTTTCTGTCTCGCCGAGAAGATAAGGTGACAGCCAGGCATACCATGCACTAGGACTCGCCGCACACGCCATTACCGCAAACGAAGATTCTTTCCACATTACTTCCGTGTCAAATGTTATCATCTCTTCGTTGGGTGCATCAACAGCCTCGCTTGTCCCATTGGCATTATATTTCGTCCATCCACTCCTCCTGATCCACTTTTTCGGTATGGGTGGGAGATCAATCTTTGCATATTGTTTTGCATTTGTCAAGTAAGGTTCTGAACAATCCATTCCTAATTTGTAAAAATGCTCATCCATCGTTTGACCTTCGAGAGGGGGAATATCAAAGGCAATTGGGTTCGAGCCTTCCTGAGTTTTACCAAGCAAATCATGGCGAGAAAGATGATCCTTTGAAAGCGCGATTAATTCCGGATTGGGGGGAGTGGGTTCCCGTAGAAAGATTTGCGAGTGGACATGGCTGCTTAACTGCTGGACTCCGATTTCATTAAAGCGGGCGGTGGAGGGAACTAGAAATATGTCGTGAGCGAGGCAGTCATGTATTGAGATAAAACATAGCGCAAACATACCTGCTAGTGTCTGCAGATTTTCCCCCCCACCAGGGGAAGCAGACGCTTTGGCAGTATACCATCGGAAGTCCAAACGTTGATGTCTGGTGGGTCGGGTTAAAACTGGTAGGCGGAGAGTTTTTGAGGATATCCGAAGCACGCCCCTTGAGGTTGCGCATGACGACAGGAGCATCCTTATGCGATGAGACGAGCTCCAGCTACAATGACATGGTGCAAACGCGCAAGTGAAAAGACATCAACCCTAACTGTTCCCGTCCTTTACGCCGAAATTGGCATCCTGTGACGTTGATGAGCGCTTGTCGGAATAATAATGTTCCGCAACATCCCCAAATCAACCGCTGTTCACTGTTGAATGTTCATCAAAAACTCACCTCTCCCCATAATTTACTACACTCCTTGGCCTGGCTGTCCTCGCTTGCTGTCCGCCTTTCTTCGGAGCCAACAAACTCAAGTTTCCGTCGTCGTTCATTCTCCCCACTCTTGTCCTGCCTGTTGGTCCCATCAACTCCCTCCCAGCAACTCTCCAGGACTCCCGGACAAGGCTCACCTTCTCCGTTGACTGCTCTCCAGGATAAGTTACCGGAACTCCAAATTTCCGGTATTTAGTTATTGGTTCATATTGAATGTCTTGTCCCACGAAACTTTAGCAGACTTCTCCCCACTTGTTGTACGGGTATTATGTCCAAGCTGGAATTTCAGCAACCGAAGCACCAGCACCCGAAGCACCAGCACCGACAGAGCTCCTGTTCAGATGCACGTATACAATAATACAGCCTAGGATTTGTCGTGTGATTAGGGACAACTTTCGTCGGTCGTCATCACCAGCTGGATTCGCCTTTCATCTTCAGCCACCGTATAAATTGGTTGAGCCTCGTGCTCCTTGTTCACCTCGGCTCGACTCGACCTGTGGTAAACTTGTGCGGATTGGAGATCTTAAATATTTTCGCGGCCACTCATAATCTGAATTAGGGAATTCAAAGTTCGCATTCCACACTCTCTTTTCGCATGGCCAGGTTTTCTACGGGACTATTCTGGACGAAGTAACGCTACAATCAAATTTAGTCATTAACTACCATACATTTTCCCTCTATCATCTTGCTTCCACCCATGAATAGCGATTCTGTTGTTGACCTTACTACCTCTTCGCCGCCACCTTTCGCGGATCAAAACTCGTCGAGCATGTATGTTTTTCGGGCGAGGAGCCCACGATCATTCGCTGTCATGGAAGGATGCCCATCCCCTAAAAGACGACGAGTTGACACTTCTTCTGTCGCCGGGCCCTCGGCGCACCAAACACGGCATCACAACCAGGTCAGCAGTTTAGATAACGATACAGACATCGAGTCGATCGATCTCACGGAGGTAAACGACAAGGTATCTCTAGCTAAGGTTCTTTCGAAACAACGCGAAGATGCCGTAAAGGCTCAAAATACAGTTGTTGGTGCTGTGGGCCGATCAACGCTGATAGCGTACAAGTGTCCTGTTTGTATGGATACTTGTGTTGACGCCACATCTACCATTTGTGGTATGTACCTTGCCTCTAACCCGATCAAGAACCAATGAATCAACCAAATCTAATATGCGTCTGCTCTAGGCCATCTCTTCTGTCACAAATGCATCACCGACACCCTTCGATTTGGCGAAGAAAGAAGTGCGCACGACGGCCATGGTAAGGCACCTCGTGGCAGGTGCCCTGTCTGTCGTCAAACACTTTCGCGCGTAGATACTTATGGACCGAAACGAAACCTTGTTCCTCTCCAATTAAATCTTTTAACAAGAAAGGATCTAAAATCCGATAGTGGAACATTCTAGTATTTTAGTTTCATAGCGTAGCGGGACACAGGATTGGATTCCTGGCGTTTGCATGATGTGACGGAGTTTTAAATCTGGATATTCGGGAACACAGGATACAAAGGGACTTGTATGGTTTTACTGCTTCTTGCATTGCATTGTTTGTTTTCAAGGCATCAGATTTGTTTCGGAAGATATCCGGCGTGTTGTTCTAACACCGTTTTAACAGGCTTATCGATGGTTATCTTCTCTTTCACTTCGTGATCCATAGAGCATATAAACAGCCACACAGGTGATTGTGCCATCGACAGTATCTGTTAAATAAAGAAAATTATACTCGTTTGTGTATGTATCTTTACCGAATTGACTGTTTTACAAAGCGCCACTGCTTCCCTTAGGCCCAACGCTGCCGACCCCTCCCAATGGCTCCAATGTATTCCGCCTACTCCTCGCCGCGGCTAGCCCGCCTCTAACAATCGCATCGCCTTTTTTACCCAGCACAACTTCCAACGCCTGTGTAAGTGCCGTTGGGTCATACCGCATCCCAACCACCACACCCGATTCATTCTCCACCTTCCTCCCATACAATCGCACACATTCAATCCCCATCCCAGCCAAACGTTCGCGGTCTACAGGTGGCGTTCCAGGGCCCTCCAGATGCAAGATGTGAGTAACGTATGACGTATACGGCAGCGAAACAGCTGGCCGGGTTTCCGTGGAACTCTCAGACGTTTTATCTTCGTTCAAACGTGTTAAATGATGGTACTTGAGGCCCCGACTTTCCTCGCCAGCACGGACAATGGCTTCGATAAAATCTGCTGCGGTGAAGGGCTGTCTTGCCGGCCCTGTCTCGCGGTCTATGGACCCGTTCAATATCAGGATCTTCTGCCGGGCACCGCTGTTATAAATAGCTTTTCCCACACCCTTGAGGATTATGCAAGGTATTATAGACGTGTAGAGTGAGCCGATACTGTATATTATGGCCTGTGATGAATACAACGCATCTAGAACACGGGGGTTGGCTGGGGGTCTGATCTCTTGACCATAGGGGTTTATGTACCAAAGCCGAGAGATGCGGCAGGGGAGATCTTCTGTCCCGGTTTTGCTGAAGGTTACGTTCTTGTTGCGCAGTGTTGGAAGAGAGCCTGGGAGGTGGCTTTCATTGTATGGGAGGTCATCAGAATCAGAGCAAGCGTCGTCGCCATCGGCAAGGAGGAGGCTGGGCCTTCTGAGTGATGGGATTGGCTGGATAGCTGTTGCTTCACTTGGATGGGAAATGCTGTTCTGGCCGACGATGACTGAGCCATCAACTAGAGAGGCCGATATGTGGTGGGAAAACGTGGAGTTTATAGCGGGGATTACACGGACATCGTCTGTGGGGACTGAGCAGATGCTGCCCAGCAGGTATATGGCACTCTCGAGACTGCCACTGAAGAGGCGTGCGCCTGTCAAAAACAGATTGCCTACACTAGCAGAGGTGAAGTCAAATGTTGAAGACGGCGGTCTTGCACGCTTAAGGATTTCCAGGTTGAGGAGATTCAAAAAGGAGCGGATCAGTTCCCTCTTTGCCGGGGATATAGCTTCCCACAAGGGCGACGTCCCCTCGACTATGGAATACCATTCAGCATGCGCTGTGCTCGCTGATGGGGCTAAACGATGGTTGAAGAACGTTTTAAGCGCTGCCCGCTCAGAGTGTGGAGGGCATTCAGGAATCAGACGGACGAGCCTACCTATCAAGTTTTATATTAGGCGTGGGCTTTTAAAAGATACCTTGGGATATGGGCTGTACAGATACGTACGACTGCCATCCTAGAATCGTAGTTACAGAACAAAAGACGACATGTATAAAGTAACTTACTCCGTACATCACCAATTCCAGGCCCACCAAACACCCGAATCAACTCGGAAGAAGAACCGCCATTATCACTAATGGGAATTATATAGCTGAGAGGACACTCCTTGCTTTGGCGGACCGCACCGAATACATCTACAAGGCTATTCGCTGCGCTTCCGCCAGAAAATACAACGATTCCCCTGGGTGTGACCATCGGCCCAATGCGCGCCGGAATGATGAAGCTCAAATATCAACAAGCGGAAGGAAGAAAATCAATGATGGCAGCACGTTGCACTTAAAAAAACAAAGTCCAAAGGAGCAAAGAACACCATGTGAAAACTCCGAGACAAAATCGAGTTCAGCTTTAAGTTGTTAGGCTTGTTTCATTTGAGCCGAAGGATCCATTTGAAGCATTGAACTCTAGCCGGGATACGTGCGTGCCGCCGGAAGCTAACCTTGGAAACAAGAAAATACGGCATACGGGGAACGAGAAATACGACAAACTGAAAGATCTACTGTGTATGTTATTCTATAAAGACGCTTTAGAATTATGTGCTGGGTATCGATTTTGTACACCTTCACTTTGTACTAGACTTTATCAATATAAACATCTGCACGAACGCACGCATCTGAATGTATTTAACCCAAGAATCCCATATGTAGCCAAATATTTTGTGCAATAAAATCATTCGGGGTATCTAATTAAGCATATGCTGCCCAACCTAGAGTGAAAAAAAGTAGAACGTGAGTTAGTATTTCTCAACAATCACAAAACATCCAGGGAATAACTAACCGCAATACAGAAGAGCAAGATTCCGTTCATCTGTCGCCTGTTGAATCAACTCATTAACAGTAGCAGCGACACTAAGCGTCTTCCCAAGCTTCTTTGCAACAACTGTCAAGGCTCGATCAGCCTCACTCGGCTCATTTGGGTTCTTGCTCTTGCCACTTTCGTTGACGTGAGCCGCGCCCTCAGCAGCCTCCTGGGTGTCTTGCATTTTTTTGATACGCAGTGGAGACAACGACCAACTGTAAAGGGGGTCATAACGAAGAACGTCGAGAATCGTCATAATGCTATATGACTCTCGGCGCAGAGCTTCAAGGGTGAATTCGCAGCAGCGCCTGAAAACTCCCTCTGTTTTGGTCACGCCCATACCATCAACGAGATCACGAGTCAAACGGAAAGGCACCACCTCGGGGATTGGTAGGACGCGTCCTTGTTCAAAGGCTACTCCTAGATCGATATGGACTACTTCACCCGTCTTCTCATCAAGTAGGATATTATGGCCATGTCTATCGCCCAAGCCGAGCACATGACCCAGCATGGAAATGGCAGCGGTGCTTCGTGTGTACGCAAGCCGTTTGCTAAACCAATCGTCTGGCTCTTTGAACCTCTCCATAAAGAAGAACCTCATGACCGGGTGGAACTGGTTTATTACCTCACGGAAAACTTTTACTCTATTCTCCAATGATTTTTGCTGCGCATCGCTGATAAGCTTCCGACAGGCGTTGGGTTTCATATCTTTGGGAAATTGTTTTTGGTGGGCGGGCATTAGATAGTCGGTTAATGGAATTGTATTTTGCACAAATTCGATGATTCCCGCACCCGTAGTTAGAGGCAGCACTCTATATGTTCTGATGCCTAAGTTGCGCTGCTGGGTAGCCCGATTCTCTCGCAACAAGTCACTGACTTGTTCAAAGACTTGTTCCATAATGGCATCTTGCCGCAAGTCATCATTCCCTCCTTTAAACTAGATATATACCTGTCAGTAAAATCTATTCCCAACAAAAGCACGTTATCATGACTTACGAGTTGTCTATACAAAAGCCCATCTGAAGCGATAGCAGAGACGATTTTGGGAGCGCTGACACCAGATGCGACAGTGAATTCCGGGAGATACCTCACAATACGGGGTATTTGGCTATAATCGCAATCAATCCGGAGATCAATTTTCATGGTTGGTGGCGGAATACGCTGTCTTCTGATGTCTTGTTCTAATCGTTGTCCGGCGACTGTCTTTCTAAGTGCAACCTTTGAACCGCTCTTTAGTCCATTGTCTAGCCTGTCTGTTGCAAACCTCACGTATATGACATTTGTGTTGTGTAGAGTGAGCCACGTAGCACACGCCTTCGGATCTACTTTCAGACGGTCAACTAAGCTATTGGCGGCTCGGTATCGGGAAGTGCCCATATGGTCTCTACCACGCGTGGATCTGCTGCTGTTGAATATCTGATACATTCCGTGGTATGGATGTTCCCTGCAAATCCGGAAAATGAGATTTGCTAGCAGCGGCTGAAAACTATCCTCAACATCAAGCAGACGCGACGATAATTGATTCATCAATGGCGCAAACATCCGACTGGGCACAGCGTTAATGTATTTCGCGACAGCCCCATTGGCTGCTTCGCTCTCCGAATTGTCTAACCAGAGAGCACAGAACCGTAGGACATTGTTCTTGAACTTATCGGAGGCCTTCAAGGAAAGGAGATACTTCTCTAGGCACTGGCGGAGGAAAGATACCCGACTCTCCTTCAGCCGCTGGTACTCTTTGTCATCCAGTTCAAACCATTGTTTCGCTCTAGATATGTGCATCAGAAGTGACTCTCTCTCTTTGTTTCTTGCCGATTCTATCATTTGCTCGAGATCCAATACTTCTCTCTCCTTTCGATGACGAATTTGCTCAATTCTCCTGAAATCTTCCAGGCTGTCTGGATTCTGAAGTTGTTGGTCACAGAAAACTGCAAATTCATGGAATACCCGCCCAGCTTCCTCCCCTTCGGATTTACCCTTTAACTCTTTTATTGCGGGGAGGAGATATTCCTGCATAATCGTATCCGGCTTTTGTAACCTAGCTTCCGCAACATGGCGACCCTAAGACAGTAAGTATAAAATTCACTCCCTCAAATGGACATTCACTGTTACCTACTAGACTAGCCAAAATCTCCGCCTTGTTCACTGCAATAGATTGATTCTGGAGGTCGTTCTGCTCACTAAGCTGTTGTAACATCTGGATTGAGGTCGTCATCTCCCCCTGGTCCCAGAGCACATTTGCCAAATCAAATGTTGCTGCAGCGTCAATAAATACGCCAAGTTCAGCGCAGGGTTTGATCAGTTTCGAAAGTGAAATCGCGGATTTCAAAGACGCCTGGTGTTCGTCATGTTCCCTACATATTTTGAGGGATTCTCGGATAGTTTTAACCTCCAATAGTTGAGCATCATGGGAGCTTACACTAAGCATGGATTTTATGTGAGGTTGCCGGTTGATCAACGAAAACAAAGCTTCATGGCTTGAGAGAATCAGGCTTACATCCCGGAAACTAATGATGTAAATAAGGTGAGTTGAACCATTCATAGTATATGCCACATAGGATAAGGATCGCACGAACCTCTCAAACTTCAGCCACGATCCCTTAGCTTGTATTCTTTCCCATGCATCTTGTAACTGATCCAGATTTTGAGAACACATGACTTGATCTATTTCAGCTAATATTCCTATCGCTCTCATCATATCACGAAGCTCAACGTGGGACTGATTCTTCTCCAAATTATGGAGCACTTCTGAAAAACTGTTGTCCAAAATTCGGGCTACCTGCAATTTGTCGTCTGACGAGTTCAAACTTTGCAGGACTTTGAATACGTTTCCAGCGGCGGAGGGTGAGCTAGAAGGCATGGGGATATCCCACTGCTGTAGGTGAAGCGAAGTTGAGAGCATGTTTTCAAAGATTTCAGTCCTCTTGCCATTACTTGTTGGTGCAGTAAACATTGCATTTGCAACACCTTGGAAATTTGTGGTATTTAGTGCTCGTATAAGTCCGAGGGTGCTTGTTTCCCCTATAGAGCCAGAGAGCTTCATTTCAGCCTCATAATTGGCACTCTGGAATGATAGATTTTTGAGCCCAAACCCAGCACTCTCATGTTGGAGTTTTTCAAGGACGGAATCTAGAGTGGCGCTTTGCTGAATACCGTAGAATAGATCAGGGTCCTCGATGTTTTTGAAAATGTCGTGGAGGAGCAATAAGGAGTCAGGCAACTTTGAAGCTGCTAACCGTCGAGTTGACGAAGTCCGCGAGAAATGGATTTCCACGAAAAGAAGGGAAGTTTTGTACATTTTACACTGCGCTGCTGCATGCGCAGCTTGCAGGTAATCAATGTCAAGCCAGGCATCTCGCTGATTCATGGTCTGCTCGTGAGGGATTTTTTGGTGCCTTAAATGCAGAATACAATGAATAATTAGCCGGATATGTGGGAAGGTGGTTTGCCGAACATCACGGAATGCTTGTCGAAATACATCGGAGACAGCTTGACGAACAATCCGTTTACCCTCATATTCGGAGAGAAGCCTGTCATGTAGAATATATGGTAGGAGTTTCATCGCAAGAGCCGGCATCTCAAAAAGAACTTTTGGTAAGGTGCCAACTACAGAATTGGTGGCTTCCCGGACCGATAAACAGAGAGTGAAATCACGGGCCCATTCCTCAGCAGGTGCATCGGCAATCCACCGAACATCGTGGTTGAATTGTGCCCTCTGGAGAGCGGTTAGGGAAAGGTCAGGACATAAATATGGCGTCCAGGTAAGCGCTTTAAGAAGTGAACTAGGAATGGCTGACGCGCATTCTCCGAGATCGGGTTCAGAATGGAGACTGGTGAAAATTTGCTGCAAGGCTCGCTCCGCGAGTCCAATATCCCGACGACTATTTGAAAATAACGAATTATAAAGTATCCTGATAATAGAAATTTTGGATGTCAATCTAACTCGTTCTGGAATATCATCGGGGGGAGATGATTGCGTTTCCTTGAGCATCGAATCATTGACCACTCCCGTCGACGCATACGCCCGGCCCAATACACGAGCAGCCCAGAGGCGATAACCGGAACTATGATCACGATGTTGTATGGTGTTCCAAACAGTTACCGCGTTCGCTGCTGCAACCTTGTCTTCTCCTAAAATATCATCTCGGAAGTCTTTAGGTCTTTGGAAGTCATTGCAGATAAGAGAAAAGACCAAATCAGTGGCTGGAGCACTCAATAGTCTCTCTCCGGGCGCGCTATCTTGCAAAAGACCTACTAGAAGTTCACCCTCATATGTACCTTTTGAAGCGCTTCCGACCAAATTAATGCGCTGAGCTGATTGCACAATAGTTCGGAATGATTTCCCGGATTCCTTGCTAAGTTTCGGAGATTCATACTCGTCCAAAAACTTTGCAAACCAGTCATGGAAAATTTGAGCCTTGGATATTGATGACCGGAAATGTGTTTCTTGAGTAGTGCTCTCCTGGGACGAGGAGAGAAGCCCCCTAAGTGAGGCAAGAGTCGAGACCCCAAGTCCTGCCATAAAATAAGGGTTTTCCAGTAGATATGGCCTGCCTTTGTCGATGAGGTACCAAAACAGCCCAACAGCATCTTCCGAACAATGAAAATCAGAGAGAAATGACCTTAGGAAATGTAACAACATTTCTAGGGGATATTCATCAAGAACCACCGATCCAGCGACGCAGACTAGAATTTTGAGCTTTCGGATCACTGCACAAGCATGGAGCGAACCCAGGGATGGATGAATGGATTCTATCAATGTCCTTGCAACAAAACAAACCAAAGCGGGTGTCCACATTGTCTCCAGGTCATACCCGGTCCGCGTGCATAGAAAGTCAAACTCATCAAGGAGGTATCTGGCTCGGAAGGACGGTTGTTGGCTGGCTGGCAAAACCGCCGTTGATGAGCTTCTTTTCGCTATATCTTTCCAGATATCTAGAGCGTATTTGAAAGCAGGTCGTTTTTCAAAGCCTCTTTCCATCTGTTCCGTTTGGTCCACGCATTTGAAAAATACGGCAATTGTTTCAGGGAAATATCTTTCCAGTAAGGAACCAAATTGTTCAGCCCCCAGAATCTTCTTGATGCGACCCTGGGTTCCTTTTGGCTGGCTGTCCTGTGAAGGTGGGATGCTTATGTCGCGGGCAATACAGTATGCTTCGGCTTTATAAAAACAGTGCTCCAGTAATCCTCGGAAGGTCATACCCAAACAATTCGAAACCTCGGTCATCTCTTGATCCTTGCCCCGCATCACAATTTGGGCTACAACTTCGTCCTCAACATCTATTAGTAAGTCATTAAGCGCCTGATAACCAAATATGGTAAACGGAATGGACCCCAAAGACTCTGTTTCGAGCCACGTATATATCATCTGAGAGGCAAAGAGCCTAAAAATTTCTTTAGCATCATCGAGGTTGAGGGAACGCGCGACCTCTTGTAAGCAAGCTTTTGCATATGGCGCTGATTTGGGCAGTTGCCCGGGAGCTTCAAATATGTGATATATTCCGCGGCGTAGAAGGGTATGCCATCTAGACGCTAATTGTGCTAGGAGATATAGGCGTAATGCAATGCCTTCGTTCCGGTCAGGGTCACGAGGAAGGTTCTCCAGAATATCGTCAAATATGGCGTCATGTTCTTTTAAAATAAAGCCGTCGAACACTGATGGAATAATCCCGGACAGGTGGAACTTCACAGTAAGATCCCCGTCGTGTAAGATCTTAAACAGGATAGTACGGGGCGAGGGACGCGAGCTGTCCCTTGGATACATGGGGTCAGCTCGAAGGATACGTCCCATCAACGTAGCAATCCTTATCAGGACTCTTGGGGAACCCAAGCTTTCTTCAACTAGTAACGCATACCAATTGTAAAGATCAACAGCAGATTCAAAAAGTTCGTCGTCTTCGTCCGTAGTCCAAAGATCAATAAAAGCTGTCGTAAGTTCAATACAAATGGATAAAGCAGCTTCGCACATTTTAAACTCATATGATTGTAGTATCGTTTCCCCGAAGAACACAAGCAAACTGCAGGCGTCGGATCTAGAAATGCTTGGCCAGCTGCCAAGAAGGGCTACCAGATTGGTTCGAGCAGCGAGAATGTCCGCAGTGTCAAGTGATGTGACATGAGCGACTATGGTCCCATTCCTAGGGGCTTCGGAACTCTTGTTTGCGCCGTTTAGGTAATATAATATATGTAGGTGAGTGGCTGTCGCACGGCGAACTGCATTCTGGTCCCCGTATGCAGGGATATCCTCTCGATCGAATTTCGGAGCGAAGTCGTTATCTCTTATGTGGCTATCTTGAGATGAAAAATGATTATCGAGATCCATTTGGTCAGCTGCGGAATTAGACGAGTCCAGCTCTGCACCATTGTGATGGTCTAAGACGGCAATAAAATCAGGAGCGATAAGTTGAATGGCCTTCATAACTGGATCATTGATGTCGAATGACAGCTTCAAGCGCAGAATGATTGGAGACAGAACATCCAAGCAGGAATCAAGAAATTCCACTTCATTCCTCGAGAAAAAGCCACAGAGGCTTACCCAAAGCTTTTCAGTGCTTTTCTGTAAATATTGACACCGGAGTGAAACAGGTAACGGAAGTGATTGAGTAAATACGGTACTTGTGATGCAGAGAGATACTAAAATCTGAATGATTTCAATGGTAACATGTTGGTGATTATCATCGTTTAGCTGACTCCAAATTTGACAGAAATTGTCTATTTTCGATTGCAATAGTTCCAAAATAAGTTGGTCATCGGGGTGCTGCTTCACTGAAGAGCTAATATATGTAAGCCTTGCCGTATCCGCTGTGGTCTCATTTGCAGGACCTTGTCGTGCTGTGAGAAACAGATAATCAATCAGCTTGCAATCCTGACGGAGCCTAATAAAGCACCTTGAGATCCTGCAAAGAGGCCCCGGAAGGACAGGATAGGGAGGGTCGAAAGATCTCCCAGTGCACTTCATCAGGATATTGAGAAGGTCCAAAGGTCGTGCAAAGGTAGCAACTTGCATCGTATAGACGCGGTCAGTTAAAGTCCCTATTTCCAATATTAGAAAAAAGGTATTCAGTCCAGCAAGCATGGAAGCCGCCAAATCTTACAGCTATTTCTTATCCATGTGCAAATTTGCTTTGACATATCTTGGTTCTGTGCGGGATTGAACTTTGTTCGGAAGTCTACCAGCTTTGCCCACATGCGCAACGCGGAGTCGGTTAGACCTGAGGGGCCATTAAGATCAACAGAGGATATCATCGATTCAATTGTATCCCCCACAATTGAATAATCTAGTAGCTCGAAATGGAGAATTGCTGTCAGCAAATTACAAGCAGTCCTAGATGTGGTGGGAGAGCCCAGGGCGCGACAAGTCAGCTCCCAAACTTGAACCCACAAAGGACGCAATTCCTGCGAAGTAGCAGCAATAAAACTAGCCATACTGTGGATTTATGATCAGTATATTGATTTATATTTTTTAGAGGGCAAACTCACCTTGCAAGTGCTACCATGGTCCATGACGCTGTGGAACTGTTTTCGTCTAAAATATTTACTGTAAGCTGCGCTATAGTTGTTAATAACTCTTCAACCACGGGCTCGCGTTCTGAGAAAATGAATGGAAGCAATTGCAATGCACATATTCTTGTTACTCCTGCAGAACTCGAAGCTTCACGAACAATATCGGATCTCCTTGACAAGAGATGTTGTTTCTTATTCGGTCGTCCTGTTGTTTGTGGCCCCTCATCTAGGCTGAGGTACATATTGTCTAAAAGCGTCGAAAAAACAGCAATTGCTTGCAAAGTGATCCAAGTTTGTTCAGACCTAGGAACTCCCAGGCGTGGAGCCATTGTCCTGATGCCCATAGGTCTGGGGGGTTGGTCAAACGTAAACACCAAATCGTCCACTTGCATGAAGTCCTTTTCTGGTTGCCTCGTGTACTCCTGATACAGTTGCTCGGTTAGGTCTTGGAGTCGTTCCGCGAATGAATCTGGTGGAGATGAGAGACTAGATTGAACGAAAATGGGTCTCCCAATCATCAGCGTTATCAACATCTCATCCTTCAAGATAGCAGATTTCGTACGCCAGAATCGTTTTATTATTGGGATGACATCCAACAAAGCGTCTCTAACAAGAATAATGTCATACGTTATCAACTTTGCAAGAACAGAATTGAATGCGCTAAATGCGGCATGGGGAGTTTTAGAAATGCTACTCTGTGATTGAAGATAGTCCACAAGGCCATGGAGCAGCTTTTCGGCATCATCAATGATGGGTGCGGAAGGATAGGAGCACAACAATTGCATACAAGTCTCTAGCTCTTCGGTCTTTGTACTGTTCTCAAATCCGGAACTTTTATTGCGCCGAAGAGTATCGGGTTCGATAGAACTGGCACGACTTCCTCGATCACCCAGACTTTCAGATGGAAGACGTGTACGGGACCGAATGCTCAGCTGAGTCTCCTGGTTTGGTTCTATGACCCCAGTCGCTTGGAGACAGAAATTAACGACATGATGCCAATCGCCCTTGCTCAAGTGCTCCAAATGAGGCGGATACTGCAATATTGTCTTCAAAATCTTTATGTAGTCGCCGCTAAGTAGTTCCCATAGTGCATCTCCCAGTGTTTGGATTGCATCGGTGACATGGTCGAGCAAAGCGGCCACGGTTTTTGAGCGGATTTTATGTACACCCAGCTCAACAGTCGCTCGGAGGGCAGAAACACAACTTGTGAGTCTCGTTCCCGATGTGGATTTGGATACAGGGGTCTTCGACGTACGTTTGTAGGAGGACTTCTCGGTGGAAATAAACCGAAACAGGGTTTCGAAGATTTTATGATACTCCTTATCAGTGAGATTGTTCCTACAACAGACGCCATTCAATGTTAGGATCTCTATACAGTTTAAAGATTGCGAATCGGGAGCCATACAGCTTAGGTGTTTGTCTATTCCGCAGAAAGATATGTTTGAGATCTTTTTAGATATTGTCAGTCCGTTCCATAGATCGTCCTATCTTCACAAAAGTGACGACGGCAGTACCTTCAAGCCCAGCTACACGATTCCTTTGCAGGTCTGAGCCAATTGCCCTCAGCGCATCCTCGAGGCTTACTTCCTTCATTGCTCCCTAAAGCAGTTGTAGAAAATAGGGACGAGCGGTTGGTGCGGACCATTCCATTCAGGAGCGGGGAGTCAAGACTAGCGTAAATAAAACTGCCCATTCCTGATAGGATGTTAATTGTAGTATTTGATAGATATCTCTTCGCCACGGATCGTGCTATTTACATGAGAAAAGACGACAGGACGTTTTGATGGGCTAAATATTGTATGGTAGGGTTGTGGTGATTTGAGCCCCACGAAAGCTTGGGCCCGTTAGCAAATAACTTTTTGGAGCCGCGTCCACTTTGGTCAACAGCAACTCGTCGTTATCGCAACACATCAACAAGAGAACCTCTTACCCACCCATTTGCACAATGGATGGTCGTGATGAGTTGGATGGCCTGAGGGGTCTCTACCAGGACCTTTCTTCGCTTTCCAGGTCTGCTCTTCCGAACGTCGACAGACTCGTTTTTGAATTGGAAAATACCATTCAAGACTTCAGAAAGCTCCTAGACAAGCCGCCAAAGAAAAGTGAAAGCCGCCAATCCATACTTTCCGGTACTATAAAAGCCTTTCTCTCTTTTTATAATCTGTTTTTACTACAAGCTTTTTCTCTAATTTCATTGCTACATAGGAAAAATCAAGCTTAACGATGTCGAATACGCTGTTAACCAACAATTCCAGCAGGACGTTTTGCAGGTAGCAGATGCCTTAGATGTGGATGAAATAGAGGCAGCCAGTTGCTATATGCAAGCTCAAGATGATTCAAAAAAATTAGACCGCCCACCAGTTATGTGCACAATAATACGCTTTCATGAACGCCGATCGTTTCTTCTCGAATGTCTACGTTTAGTCCTGTTCGAGTCTTTCGAGGTAGAGAGGGAAGGTACCCAAGCGATCATGCAAGAATTTGTTGCAAAAATCCTCGAAATCCAAAACGGCCCATTGCGAAATGCGTCACTCTTCGCTAGAAAATGTATGGATTCTATGGCCGATATCGAAAAGTGGCTGGTTCGTTTGGGCGATCTAGCCCAGAAGGCGTCAATTGTTGGACAAACTCAGGAATCAGATATTGAAATCATAGAATATCAGCGCAGCAGCCTTGGAAAGGAACATGAATCGATTGGCGCAATCCTCTGCTATCTTTTCAAAGGAACTTTCACGAGCTCTGAAGATTTCCGCCTTCTTCTGGACCGACTCAGGAAATTAGATAAATTCGACATGAGCTTGGTTCATTATATCCCAGCAATAATCTCGTCAGTATCTCAGTATGGCTCCCCTGAAGGTTCCGGATCCCTTCGTGATGCAAGATCCCTCCACCAGGCTATTGTACCTTCCAAAGATCCCCAGGACTGGGTTCTGGCACAATTTCATGCTGCTACCACGGCATTCTGGCTTGCTGAATATACTGGTTGGTATTTTGAATCAGGGTCTGGCTCCCCCCTCCAGGGCATTAGCCCCGAAAAAGAGGCTGCAGATCTCTCCAAGTTATTTATCACGGCACTGGACGATGGGGCCCTTGAGTTCATGCTGCAGGTCTGTAGTGGGGTCAGTCAGAACGAGTGGCGCGACCCAGGAAGAATTGAGATGGTTAACCTACTCCTCAAGGATAGTACACCCTTGACAGTGGAGCCAGACTCTTCTTCTCCATATTTTTATGCATTGCTCATGGAGCATTTCGAGATGTTTATAGAATCGCTTATTGCCAATATGCCAGATGCCATCAGAACACTGAAGTCAGAGGAAGACATTCAGCGTTTGGACCAAATAACGGCTCTGCGGGAAGGTCTAACCTCAAACTTACATCGTGGTCCCATTGAAACACGTATGCATTTCGAAACATTGCTTATGATAATAGCATTTGCATTTGAACATAGGGCCGAGGCTTCTCAGGCATTCTGGACAGATCCGGAGGGAAATTTAAATGGATTTCTCCAATGGGCGTCGAAGCGTCAGACGGTTCCTCGGGCCAGCGCCTTCTGCGAGATGCTTTGCTCCATCTCAGAAGGAGAGGAAAATTCTTTATCCGCGCACAAATTCCTCTTAGATGAAGATAAAATATCCTCCACGAAATTTAGGAGATCTGCTTCGATGAGCTGGATTCAGATGATTGATGAACTCCAACTCTATGCTACTAAGGCTACGGAACGGCCTTCAGCGGCACCTCCATCAGTTTTCCGTATTCGAAAACTAGAGCCGGCTGATATAGATGAACCTGAAAGCCCGGTGATGCTCACTTCATATCTGAGACTCATTAGTCACTTGTGTAAACAGAACTCGGAAATCCGGGAATGGATTCTTCAACACCCAACACTGAACCTTGTCAACATTCTTCTAACCCTATGCGACGCCCCCATTCCAGGTCATCTGAGATCCAGCATATTTGTCACTTTACGGTTTCTAATGGTCGACAGGACCTCGCTCCATGGAAACGATATGTGGATTGCGCTTGATCAATGGATTTCCGGTTCGGGGTCCCAAACTTCACCTATCGCTAAAATCTCTCTTCCAACCAATTCCCCCGGATGGAATGAACGGCATGCCTTTCAGAAAATAACAGAAACCTTCGATCAAACATTTTCATTTGTTGAACTACTAGATACGCTAGCATCTCCGCCAATAGATTTGGCAAATTCACAGCTCTCCCTTCCATTTCCTGAGCCATTAGGGTCTTCATATCGAATGCCAGGTATAGAGCCTTATATTGACTTCGTCATTGGTCAAGCACTTGTTACTAGATCTGTCGACATCCAGGAGCACCAGATTCGCCATCTCCAATTAGCTTGTTTCAACTTTATTGTGACATGTCTTGAGAATTTCAACGAAAACCTCATATCCATCGTTAGCGAACATTTCGTTCCGCTCGATTCTGGTATGCGGTCCTCATCCCTGAACACGTACATTCGATTGCATCCATTTGCGAGAGTGATGGAGTGGCTATTTAACGAGGATGTCCTTAAGGCTATATTTGCCGCTGCCCATCAAAATATTGACGAAGTGGCAAGGGCCACGTCGGATTCAATTATCCTTCGATCTCTGCTCCGGAGTATTGACGTTATGAATCTCATTATGGACTACCAATCGACCTATTTTGACGTCGTACGCCCATTAACTAAATCTCAATCTAGGCAATCCACAATTAACGTGGCTAACTCCTCCCTTACATCGTTCGAAGACAGTGTCGTTAACAATCTTCATATAGTCACGGATTTGTGCCTCTATTGCGGTACTGGCCACCCGCAGCTAACTCTCACTTCGCTCGCACTTTTGGAAAAATTATCAAGCTCGCGCAAGTTAAACAAGGCTACTTCATCCACGTTATCTCGTTGGCAGGCGTCAAATCAGATAGTAGAGTTATTGAACACCGATGTCGAGGCGGATCGCATTGCTCGTTCTCTTGCGTCACAAATGAAGCCTGATATACGTGAGCTAGAGAGCGGACCCGAATCTTCCGGTTACCTTATCAAGTTAGGACTTGTAAACTTACTCGACCGGTGTCTTAGTATCAACCCTGAAAAGCCAAATATGGCACACTTACTTCTAGGGTTTTCTTGCCTTGGAAAAACGCTTGATGTCGCAGTAGGAAGTTTGTTCCAGGACCAAATGTCGCTTTTGCATGCAATCATCGAATTTGCCCAGAGCTACCCTGATGGGGTAGATGGAACCATATTGGCCTGGATGGTGCATCTGAAAGAAGCGAGTTTCCGGGTGCTTCGATATCTCTGGTCTTCGAAACTGTCGTCAACTCTCGTTCTTCCAGAACTTCGTTACAGTCGTCTCCTTGTTTCTCTCTTCACAACTCAACCTCCAGTAGGCCCAGAGACACTTTGGAATCATTTCCAAACTTCTGATCCAGAATTTTGGTATTCGGAGTCACCAGCTGCCTTATCAGGATTCCTTAACTATCGAAGCATGCTCTTTGACTATGCCGTCACCGAAATTCGCTCTGTTTCGAGCCACGGTGCCCCTTCTTTGCAAAGGGATACCCTTTCCACCTTGCTGGGAAGCTCCGTCGATGAAAATAACCGAACTTTTAACCACGCCTCCTTCCTCGACCTCTTTGACTTCGCAGATTTGGACATAGAATCCATAAAACCGCCACCCAATTTGAAATTCTATAATGATGTTAACCTGGAGCCATATACCAAGACCCAGGGCGATGGTTCTTTGGTCCTTTATGATCTTGCTACAGTGAAAGAGTTTCTTGACTTCACTAGACAAGATTTACTACAGGCCGGAGTGGCGACCGCTCAAGATGAAGAGCAGCTCTTGGCTGAGCGAGACAACGTATTACTATTTCTCCATGCTAATAACCAAAGTAGAAGAATTCGACTCAATCGGTACTCGGCTGTCCAATCCTGGGCCGAACTTGCAACCACGATCATTGTTACATGCGAGATGGACTCAGGACAAAGGTCGATGTTGATTTTGCATATCTTGCAGGTTATTCTCCCCAAACTCGAAAGTTCCATCGTAGATACTGCTGCAGAGGCCATTGAGTTAGGCCGTTTGGCAGAATCATTGCTGGAGAAGCTTGGTTCTAGTCCTTCCACCCAAATCCCCAACAAGGGAGCTGACATCATCGATGAACGACTCTACCATCTCTTCCAAGCATGTCTTCGTGGGATCCCGCTGGCCCTCGAAAATAGTCCCTTGAGAGAATGTCTTTACAACATTTGTTCACAATATCTTTCGCGCATTACGCGGGATGGATCTAAACACAAGCGCTTTGGAAACCACTCGGAACAAGTTGTCAAGTCTTCGGGTTCATCACTTGTGGAAGTTGTATGTGATGATGCTTATTCGGGACAGGAAACTTGCAGAATATCCGCTCTGCTTCTATTGAATCTGCTTTCTGTTCTTGATCGCCAACAGTCGTCATCGTTGCTCATAGATATGATTGCCCAATCGAACTATCTGGCCATGTTCGTGGATGTTGTCGGGGCGATACCCTCAGAGTTCCGCAATGCACCGGCCAGTGGTACGTTAATGTGCACCTTGTCTCCTGTCCTTCACTTGCCACTTTCTAACATTACATTTTAGAAACCTCACGCCTATTGGTTTACTACGATGCACATCTGTCGCTACTTCAACAACTTTCACAATCACGAATCGGCGCAGAGCGCATATTAGATGCGGGTTTGTTCCAAGCTGTTAAGGAGTCCCAGCTTTTTGCTACTGACCCTGATATCGGAATCGGTAAAATCTCCTTGGTCCTTAAACTGTGACGTAATAACTGACTCCATAACTTGCAGACATCGACAACCCAGACGCTCTTCGGAAATACTATGACCTGCTCCTTGCTGTAATGCGTGTAATTGTATCTGCAGTTTTTGCGCGTGGCTTGCACAACAAGCAATTACTTGACCAGACGCGTATTTTTCTTTCAGGAAATCGACAAAGCATGGTTGGAATATTTAAGCGATATGCAAAGGTTGGTGGGCTGGATGGAGGGGAGGTGAGTGAGACTCTGGAGGATCTAGTTAAATCGTATGTCGCTCTGATTGATGCGGTTGGATTTCTTCAAGTAAGTCCCCCGTTCTTCTTTGTTTTACTGTGCGCTTGCACAGGGAAAGATGCTGATGCTAACTGATTGCCTCAGTTCGAGGAAGAGCAGTCGACTGAAAGGTCAGAGATGATGTTGTTTTCATAGATTTCTGTATGGATTGTATAATAACTCCAGGCCTGCTGATTAGTGCTGTGGAGACAGGATTTAATATAGAAAAATCAAATAAAAAAGTGAAAAAAGTCAAATTTTATACATGATAACTCTGGTGGCTTGTTTTGTTCATCTGTAACTGATTGCTGGCAACCAGCAAAATGACGATTGGTAATAATAATATCATGTAAATTCAGTGCAGATAATTAGCGTTACAACTGTATGCGGTTAATGAACAAAACAATTAAATCATCTCCCATCTCTTCTTTCTCATATCCTTCTATCATCATCCATCAAAGCTTCACAAGTCTGCACAGATCTGTTATATCTGCATTTTGCCCATCATAACCATTCAATCTATCAACCAATTGGAGCCCTCCAGTTATCTCCGTCTGGCGATTCAGGCCAACAACGTCAAAACGGCATCATCCTTTAAGCCTCCCAAACACCTCGAACTGCATTTCCAACCGCGGAGTAGAGGTAACATATTCTCACTATTACCATTATGCCCTTCGTTTGATTTTATCGCGACGGCTAAGATCTGATGTATTTTGGATACCGAATGAGAAAAATAGATGCAGAATTCAATTAGACCTGCACCGAGGGGCGGGAACAAGTCTGTTGGCAAGCGAAAACACCCGGAACAAGAGCCTGAAATCCGCGAGGATCAATCCCGGAAACAGACGACTATTACGGACCTTTTCGAAAACGGCGGGAATAACATATCAAAAAACGGTAGAGGGGAGCTTCTGCCACCTAGCACAAAGCGAGTGAGGCGAGATATATCCCAACCCACAAGCTCTCTCTCAACCTCCGACTCCACCCACCAACCCATTTCAGTTGAGAAAATGTACACATTCCCACAGAACAATACTGATTCGAAATCACCGACTGGTGGAGCTGGATTGAATTCGTCACCGAAATCAAATGGTGCCACTCGCCAGGCCGGATCGCGCGCGTTCAATTACATGACAAGACCCAGCAACTTCACGCCACATACAGGAGCTAAGAAGCTCGTTGTCAAAAATCTACGAGCCATACCACGTTTGGATCAGGATCGATATTTAGAAAAGGTCTGGTCGCAGCTGGACTCCGCTCTGACAGCAGTCCTGGCAGATCAGAAGCCAGAACAGTCGCTTGAGGAGCTATACAGAGGTGCTGAAAATGTATGTCGACAAGGGAATGCTGCGATACTGGCCAAACGACTTCAAAATCGCTGCGAGGAACACGTATCTGGGACTGTCTTAAAAGTGCTATTAGCGAGAGCTGGGGAGTGCAATGATGTTGATATCTTGAGGTCAGTTGAGGAAGCTTGGTCCGCCTGGAATAGTCGTTTGGTATGTGGGTTCTCCTCCCGAGACCAGCTCCATCTGTAATTAATATTGATTACTCGCTGTCCTAGGTTATAATTCGTTCCATTTTCTATTACTTAGACCAATCATTCCTGTTACATTCGGCGGACAATCCAGTCATTTACGAGATGGGCTTAATCCAATTCCGCACGGCGATCTTCTCCAACGATATATTACGACCTCGAATCTTGCAAGGAGCCTGCCAACTCATTGAACTTGACAGGACGGAAGACAATACGGTGGTCGACCCAAATTTACTCAAACGTGCCATCAAACTATTTCATGACCTGGGTGTCTACAAGAAGCATGTTGAACCATGCATGCTTGACGCATCGGAAAAATACATCAGTAGTTGGGCTGGTAATGAAGTTAGTCATTGTGGGCTTGCCACCTATGTGGAAAGATGCCATCTCTTGATCGACCGTGAGATGACTAGATGTGATCTATTCTCGATGGACAGGAGTACTAAACAAAGCATCTCACAAATGCTAGATCGCTATCTAGTTTCTGAACACACCAATATCCTAATTAAAGAAGACGATATCGTCGAACTCCTTAGCAAGAACGATAAATTTGCTCTGGAACAATTATACTCTTTGCTACAACGACAGGACCTAGGGGCCAAAGTGAAACCGGCATTCTCCGCGTATATTATCAAAGAAGGCTCTGCTATCGTATTCGATCAGGAGAATGAAGACAAGATGGTTACCAGACTTTTGAAGTTCAAGGAGAATTTGGATGAAATATGGAAGAGCGCATTTCACAAAAATGAAACACTAGGTCATAGTCTTCGGGAGGCTTTCGAAAAATTTATCAATGAAACGAAACAAACAGGGTCGAATTGGGGTACCGATAATCCAAAGCCCGGTGAGATGATTGCGAAATACGTTGATATGCTACTTAGAGGAGGCGTCAAGGCCATTCAGGGTCTAGCTGAAGAATCAAAAAGCGGGAGCACGGCATTAGTTGATGAGGATGCGGAAATCAACCAGAAATTGGACCAGGTTTTGGATCTTTTCCGTTTTGTCCATGGAAAAGCTGTTTTCGAAGCCTTCTACAAAAACGATCTCGCCCGTCGCCTACTTATGGGTAGAAGCGCTAGTGATGAGGCCGAAAAGAGCATGCTTGCAAGGCTCAGGTCAGGTTCGTTATTGTTACAATCCACAACCAAACTACTGGCAAATAAATTATCTAACTAATTTGGGACCGTCCAGAATGTGGATCGAATTTCACTCATAACCTCGAGTCCATGTTTAAGGACATGGATCTTGCGCGTGATGAAATGGCATCGTATAATGCGCTTCTCGGCCCAAACCGAGATAGATCCAATATAGATCTGAACGTAAACGTCATATCAGCAGCTGCATGGCCATCATACCCAGATGTCCAATTGAAAATACCAAAGGTTATATCCAGCGCGATGGACAGCTTCGAACAGTTCTACAATAACAAGTACAATGGTAGAAAACTTCATTGGAAACACTCTCTTGCGCACTGCCAACTCAAGGCAAAGTTTCCAAAGGGGAACAAGGAAATCGTTGTCAGCTCCTTCCAAGCCGTTGTCCTTCTCCTTTTCAACGATGTGGAGGATGATACCACTTTGTCATATCCAGAAATCAAGGAGGCTACGGGCTTGTGTAAGTCGTGTTTCTTTTTCTTCTCATCTTGCTTTTACGCGAAATCTCCCTCGATTGTCTCGTGTTATCTCTAATCATCTTGCTAATTCCAACCTCCCAATCCCAGCTGATATCGAATTGAAACGAACCCTCCAATCGCTAGCCTGCGCCAAATACCGTGTCTTGACCAAGCGTCCAAAGGGCAGAGACGTCAATGACGACGACACATTTGCCTTCAACCCAAACTTCTCAGACCCCAAGATGCGCATCAAGATCAACCAAATCCAGCTCAAGGAGACTAAACAAGAGAACAAGACTACGCACGAACGTGTAGCGGCGGACCGACACTACGAGACGCAGGCAGCCATCGTTCGAATTATGAAGGCGCGTAAGGTCATCACTCATGCGGAGCTATTGGTGGAAGTGATTAATAAAACGAAGAGCAGAGGTGTACTAGAGCCTGCGGGGATCAAGACTAATATTGAAAAGTGAGTCCAAAAAGGAAGAGGTTCCTGCCCCTCTGGCCTTTTCCAGCTGCTTGTCATTCTCTATTACCAGGAAAAAACTAGTGATACTGATTTTCACTACATCATGCAGACTCATCGAAAAAGATTATATAGAAAGGGAAGAGGGAAACAAGTATCGATACCTAGTTTGAAATGGATATGCAGGGTTTTTCTTTTCCTTTTTCTTTTTCTCATTACATCATATGGGCAAATATCTATGTGAGAATTTCATTTTCATTGTGGATACCGAGTCAACCAAAATCTATTCTTCATCCAATTTCCTCTACCCCATATCTATTTTGTACTTCCCGTCATTTGAACTCCCACGTTTTTATGCGACTCATAACCTTTTTTGAAGCATGTAGAGACGTATTTTTAACAAAGGAAGAAGCAAAGGAACGATGAACCTCGTGTTTGTTAATGACGCGCAATGATGACGACCCCCTTTCCCCTTCTTTCCCTTTTTTTTCCTTCTCTCTCTCTCTCTTTTTTTTTTTCTTGTTTTTTTGTTCTTCGCTGCTATTCATTTGTTGCCCATAAAAGGGAAAGCATGATGAAAATGAGGGCTCTTGTGGGAAGTGTTTGAGAAAAGGTGTGATTTCAAAAGAAGTAGGATGTTGAAAACCCTCAGATGTGTTCATCGTTTGCTGCAACACTCGCCCCCCCTCCCTCAAAAATTTCCCCTTGTGTCGTTTTGGGTTTTTCCCTACTTTCATCCCATTCCCTTCCCCCTTCCCCATTCTTCATTCCCAGCATGTCCCAGGTAGAAATTTTCCCCAACGAACTGCGTACAAACATTACCCAACCGTCCATGTATTGTACAGTGCATGATGAATATTTCAGATCCAATAGATCAAATACTGATGGCAGCTGATAACCGACTCTCTTTCCAGCATCTACCTGCGAGAATATATATACGTATATATACATTTACACATCTGGGTAACCCTTTTAGTTTCCTCCCACTATTACATGGCTCTCCTTTCCTTTCTTCGGTTTTCCCTCATTCCATCGATTGACCTACAGGCAGGAGCTGCTGGATGGCGATGTTAACTATATTACATATTACCCGCGCAAGATAAGCGAGGCATGACTGGCACGAAGCCCAATACGCAATTGACAAAATGTACCCACTGAGCTTGAATTTTATGAGCCAGCTTCTATATTTAATATCTCTTATCATCACAAGATTTGAAAAGTGGAGGTGGACAACGCCAACGAGAAAAGGACCGGGAGAAAGGAAGGGCGAATAGAACAAGCCAGATTGTCAGCCATTCGTCATTGTCACTTCTACCGCCCTGCTACTTTGCACACTGTCATCTCCCGTCTTGTTTCTGTAGGCTGCAAGGTGTTTATTCCTTCAAAGCGGCTAGAGGGCGCGCAAAGAAGTTCACAATGGAGCCTTGGAGTAAGGCCATATGTGGCTCACGCCTGCTGGCCAGAGACTCAGAAGTTGGGTTGTTCCAGGGGCTGCAAAAGATCCAATTTTTGACTTGGCCTTGCAGGAGAAGAAGTTCTTTTATGGATCTGTCAATTATGCGGGCTTCTAGAGCTGTTCCATGCACCAGGAATAGTACTTAACGGTATTCCGGCAGGAGTCTTGTGTCAATCACAGAGTACAAGGCCATGGCATCAAATATGCAGTGCTTGTCAGGAAGCTCTGTTTTGCTTGCCTTCCTTGATATCCATATGCTTTTTGCTGCTGGTGTATCAAACCCAGGCTCTTACTTCCTTTTTGCTCCTAGCGACCATTCATACAGCTCATGCTGCCAATTGAGAGTACAATGCAGCTCGGCCGAGAATCATTCGCACCCGACATCGGTCCATTGAAGCGCTCAATCGATAAGAAATCAAATACAACAAATATGTAAGGTCGGTCCCCCCACCAAACGCGGGAGCCGTACCATACCTGACAATACAGACCAAGTCGCTGAAAAATACCGGCAATGAACAGAACCGCCGTGCCAAGACTCGGCATCCCCACGTCTTACCGGTGCAGACAAACTTGAGGCGCAGATGCAATAACCATTCGCGGCATAGGACCATTGGGAAAGACAATTGTGGTCACCTAAGCCTGCGAGACTGTGTAGAAACGAGGTATGGAATGCTAAACACAATTGCGAAAAATCTCTTTTTTGTACTGCCTGTGTTTGAGGTTACCGTACCATACAGCAATTCCACGCGCTCTGGTTGTTTAGGACCCCGCCCTGAGAAACATGGATTGGGAGGAGAGTAGTGTGGGGGACCAGGTGCGGTGCAGCAGCTCCATAAATGTACACAAGTCCTCCGAGATCAGGGTAAGTCAGTGAGAGAGTTCCTGTGTGAATCAGCTGTGGTTGGATCTGACTGTTGATATCCGACTACGGTTATATAGGCGTGCTCCCCCCTTGCCGCTTGCGGTCTTTTATCACCGGCTCATTTTTTAATACCCCTGACCTTTTCTTTCCAATACTTGTGTGTCTGGTTCTTCTCTTGCCTGTGCTGCAAATTCGGATGCCCTCCGCTGTTACTACTGTTCTTTGCCTGCGTCATCGCCTAGAGATTGCAAGCAATTCGTTGCCCCTCATATCGAGAGCAGAGCAAATCATTATCTCCCTCTACCTTCAAAATGCAGAGTATGTCGCTTTTCATTCTACGGGTGGACGATCAGTGCACGATCAGTGCAATGTATCTCTTTTATACCAGGACATGATTACAATTCTAACATCCTCTTGCTCTCTCGCAGCTAAACACTTCTTCTCCGATCCCATAGAGATCGTCAACTCCGCCCTCGCATCCCTAACCCTCACAAACCCCTCCCTCGCATTCGATCGTCCCAACAAGATCATATATCGCCGCCCTACCCCAGAATCCGCTACAACCCCCAAAGTCTCCATCGTCTCTGGCGGCGGTTCGGGCCATGAACCTGCCTTTGCTGGCTTCGTGGGTAAGGGCCTCCTGACCGCAGCCGTGGCTGGTACTATATTCGCTTCTCCTTCTGCTGAGCAAGTCAGGACTGCCGTTATGGAGCGCATTGAAACATCCAAGGGTGTCTTCGTGATTGCCGTGAACTATACCGGTGACGTCATGAATTTTGGGATGGCGACGGAGAAGGCGAAAGCCGCGGGCATCAAGGCTGAGTTCTTTGCCATTGGTGACGATGTCGGAGTTGGGAGAACAAAAGGCGGCAGGGTTGGCAGGAGAGGTATTGGCGGTAGTATTCTGGTGTTGAAGATTGCTGGTGCCCTTGCAGAGTCCGGGTAAGTTACGAAACCGAGTTACCAAGTTTTTGGCAACGTTGATTGACAGTATACGTTTAATAGTTCGTCTTTGGACGATGTATATCGAATCTCGCAGCTAGCTGCAGCGAACATTGTCTCCCTCGGGGCTTCTCTCGAACATGTCCATGTTCCTGGACGAGGAATCCCAGACACCAATTCCGACGAAATGATACCCCATGATGAAATTGAAGTAGGAATGGGAATCCACAATGAACCAGGCTCTGACCGAATCAAAGCTACCGGAGAGGAGCTGATCAAGCGCATGCTTGTCCAGCTACTGGATCAAAATGATAAGGATCGTGCATTCCTGAAATACTCCGCATCGGACGAATTCGTCCTGCTCATCAACAACCTTGGGGCTGTAAGCACCCTCGAGTTATCCGCGGTGACGTCTGAGGTCACTGCTCAGCTGGCGCGAGATTACTGCATCAAACCTGTCCGCATAATCCAGGGGGCCTTCCTGACCAGTCTCAATGGAGTTGGGTTCAGCATCTCACTCCTTAGACTCGTTGACACCGGCCTTGGGCCTGGGAAATCGCTCCTCGACCTTCTGGATTCCCCCTCTGAAGCCGTTGGCTGGTCAGCCCCTGTGGCAACTTCGACCTGGGAAAACCGATCAGAGGCTACATATGACACCAAGAAAGCTGTCGTAGCGGAAGAAACCCCGTCCAACCTCCAACGTACGTTCTGTAACCTCCCTCCCTTCTTCCACTAACTACTAACCCATCAATCCCCAGTTGATCCCACCATCCTCAAAAAAGTCCTAACATCTGGTCTTAACCGCGTAATCGACGCCGAACCACTCATAACGAAATACGACACCATCGTCGGCGATGGCGACTGCGGCATCGGTCTCAAGCGTGGCGCCCAGGCCATCCTCTCCTACCTTGATGCGCCTCCCACCCCTCTCACATACGACCTCGTCACCTCCCTCCACAAAATCATCACCATCGTCGAAAACACCATGGACGGCACCAGTGGCGCCGTCTACGCCATCTTCCTCAACGCCCTCGCGCACGGCCTCCGCGAACAGGCCCCAGGATCAGCTCCTAAGCCCGTTACCCCGAAGGTGTGGTCTGCTGCGCTGCATCATTCACTGCGCGCGCTGGGGAAGTACACCCCAGCGCAGGTTGGTGATAGGACGCTGATCGACGCGCTCGCGCCGTTTATTACCACACTGGCGGAGTCTGGGGATCTGGGAGCAGCCGTGAAGGCCGCGGAGGATGCGACGGAGGCGACGAAGCATATGAAAGCAAGTTTGGGGCGGGCTGTGTATGTGGGTGGTGAGGAGGAGTGGATTGGCAAGGTGCCGGATCCAGGGGCATTTGGCCTGGCGCAGTTCTTGAGGGGTGTTGCGGATGCGGTGTAAATGTCGAGTAGCTATGATGTGGTGCTTTCATTTTTCTTCTCTTTTCTTTTTTTTTTCTTTTTTTTTTTTTTAAGTAAATGTTAACGCTTGATGATGAGTGTATATTTTGGTGATATTTTCATATTGGATTTTTAAAAGTGTAGGTAAATTAAATAAATGATGCGTTTTGGTGAATGTTAAGATATAACTACGGCCTACTCCTTTCCTGTATCACTCATATATACGTATGTACGTCTTTTCTTCGAGCCTAATGATCGCGGAATCTCGTCCTGGCTATGCGATAATTTAATCGAGCCACCCCTGAAAATACGAGTGATACATGAAAGAAATTGTTAATTGGGAGAACATGTTTATATATACATATATATTGCAGACGGGATTTACTACATAAAGTTCCTCTATCAACTCTCTTCGGATCCCTTATGATTTCGCTAGAAGAGAGCATTGAGCATGAAGTGCAGGGCATGGTTGAATTTGATTTTAGCGCGGATAAGATTATTCGCTTGGTCAATAAATTGTTAAAAAGGTGAAATCGAATGCGCGCTTCATAGGATCCTCATATTTGATGTGGGGTCAATCCGCTACTAAAGTCACTCAATACATGTTCCATCATAGGAGCATAAGTTATGCGCTAGCAGTTTGGGGAAAGGAGATATGACCATTTTGCTCACATTTCCATGAATGAAGGGGGTGGAATTGGAAGTTATCCTCCGCATGTGCTTTGTTGCTGCCTGCCTGAGAAGTTATAGGGATTAGATGCCTTCCAAAGCTGCTCTCAGAGTGGGTGTTGTGTGAATACCTTATGGTGGTTAAACGAGTGGCAAGCGTAATTTTAGGCGGACATGACGAGATGTGAGGGAACAAATCAGGCGTAGATAGGGTTGAACGGTTATTTATCTTCCGCGTTTATTTAAATAGAAAAATTAAAAGAAACATGTGAAGGAACACTGTTATTGTATAATTCTTTCCTTCCCCACCAGCCGGTAGATTTTTATTATTCATCCATTTCCTTATCGCGCCTTGCATCTTTTGAAACATTGAATAGAAAGAAAAAAGTAGATGTGTGGGGAATACTGCGAGCAAAAAGCCCCCGGACGCCAGACGAATGAAAGCAAAGTTTTAGAATTTTTGTGTCGATCGGGTTCGTTACATGATTATAAAAAAAAAATCAATCAATCAATCCGAGAAATTGAGAGAGATGGCATATTATTCTTCGTATTCCGGCTGATTTGATGTGTAGTAGATGGCGCGAGGAGCACACGACTCCATGCGGAAAGGAGAAGAGTGAACCCCCCGGCAAGATCCATGTCGATGTTGACTTGCGAACTCAAGAACACGGCATGAATATCAAGGCTTGCAATTTGGTGAAAGCCAGAATGCAATAGGTCTGGGTGATGCCATTTTCTCTTAATGTAATGTCTTGTGACCATGGAGAAGCCGTAAACGTTTGGTGGTATGTATTATTCAACTCAACAGAACTAGGATAACAGAGTCTCCTCGTAGGAACCTATAATGGAAGCAAGCATGAAAAGTTAGCAGGCGGGCCTAGATAACATCTCGTGAGCCGTGTATGCATCATCATGGATTCGGACATACATTTTGCTGACAAAGCGATCCTTGTTGACGCCTTTGCCCTTTCCACCTTTTGGTTTCTCTGTCCACATTTCCTTCACATTCTCCAAGACCATGTTGCAGTGTCTGTCAAACGCCTTGACTCTGGCTAGTAACTTGCGGTTATTGCGACATGAGATCAAGACTTGTGCATGAGAACGCGTTGCGGTTTGGAGGATAGACAGAGGACCGGAGGTGAGCTCATGTTCTTCCAGTATCGAAACCTCGTATTCGCTGCAGAGATGGAAGCGGAAATGCAAAGTTAGTTTATAGGCATGGGATAGCATAGGACAAGGGCGCATCAGGATGGATGCCAAGGAATGGATGTGAAAGATGAGGGTGATTGCGTGGAAAAAAAGTGCGGAATGGCACAGGGAAAGAAACGATGATGTGGCAGTAAAGGAACACCTAAGGCGACGTCATTTACTACTTACGTGAGTTCACTTCGAGGCTTGTTAAGAAGGTCTCTGTGGGAGTACCGAGAGTTATCACGTTAGCCCATGCTCAATCAAAAAGAGAAAATATAACCAGGATGCATCAAAAGGTGTGGTGCAGCCAACACAAGTATGACTCATGCGGGGAAAAGGTGGGGCCCGAAAGAAACTGCTTACTGGATCTTGGTGTCGGACATGGCGGGAGATGGCTATAAAAGGGAGCTGGAGGGAACGTCGGCGGCGTCAAGAATTGAATCTCGACATGCCTGGCTGAGATATTGCGACTTTCGGTGATGAGGTTGGATGCTGCCTGATGCAGCCTAGCGTCGGATATTTGTTTGTGCTGTCCGCGCGAGCCAAGATCATATGTTCTTGGCATGATTAGCTAAGCATTCTGTATGCGACCGCGTCAAATTGCCGGTTACGTGCTGCTTCACGTCGTCTCTTTTGCTTCCCGTCTTCTTGTCGTCGTGCCGAACCTCACGTCCTCTTGCAATTGTTGCCTTGTTCAACAATTCGGGGCGGCGAGGATCTCGTTTGTTCTTCTTCTTCCTCTTCAATTGACATCTTGTTCGTAACTTTTTATCGTTTATTTTAAGCTCCCCCAGTTCATATCCCGCACTTCCCAACGCGGCTCTGTTTTGCTCAATCAGAGCTTCCAATTCACCTTAAATCATTTTAACAAACATTCCCTCCTCCCTCGGTGTTCACTGCATGGGCACTGCTGTCTCTGTTATCATCGATACTACCATCCTGTACTAATAACTAAATCGCGTCAACTACTTCCTGCTTCTCAACATTTCCGAACACGACGTGACGTGACGGCAGTTGCAGTTTTCGTGTTGACTGGGCGGTGGATCCCCAACCACCGACACAAAAGCAAACGTTATTAGAAGCTGCAGCACCACTTTCTTAGTCTGCAAGTTTGTAGTTTCTGGCCTCAGCTCACTGCCGTTTGATATGGCGTCCGAAGATGGGATCTCGGTCCGCCAGATGAGACGTATGTTTACCATGGCTATTCTTCTCTCCATCGACGGGTATTCATGTCTAACCAAAAATTCATTATATAGTCAAGGTCCTTTACACATTCGACAGCGAGAACAAAACAAATTGTCTGGCTCGATGGCCCCACCTCATCGACATCCAAACAGCTTATATAGATGAGGAGACCCAGGTCGGGGTCATTGAGCTGAAGACGTGTATACAGGCTATTGTTTCTGCTAGGTATGGAGCAATAACCCACTTATCCAGGTCAAGGGCTAATGGAAATTGTCTCGATTTTCTACAGCCCGGAGTTAGTTGCTAGGCTTGGTCGAGATTATACGATTTACGCATACGATTATTCTGAGTACGAGACGCCGTTGGTTGGGCAGGGAATGCTCTCATGGGTGTTGGCTTCTGCCTCACCGACTCCTGATGCTCCGGCACATCAGTCGAAAACGATGGTTACTGGGCGTGTTTGCAAGAATGTTTTTGGCCTTTTCTCGAAGGGAGGACAAGAAACCCTCGAAGTCAAACTGCGACTCGTCCCTGTCCCAACAATCTACCAGAACGAATACCTGAACAGCATGCATAAGTATCGGGAGTCGAGCCATGCAATTCCACAAGAGTTTGATGCTCAATCTTGGGCAAACTTTGTTCAATCCAATCCTGGCCTCCTAGCCTCAGGTGGCTCCGGTTCTGCCCCGCCTCCTTCAGACAATGGGCTGTCGCCAGTGGACAGATCCGGAATTGATCGACTCCACCAGATGCTGAGCGAAGGCTCAACTCCAAGAGACTTTTCGAATATTGCCACTACAGAACCTGTTCGTGCCGAATCTCCTGCTCATTCAACTCGCGCTACACCAAGTCGAACTTCTACTCCTGGCCTAACAAGGACCGATAGCCAACATCAAAAGAGACCTTCTGGGGATGCATTTCGTCCATTGTCACGGGCATCTGGCTATGATACGGACTCTCGTCGACGGGCACCTCCTTATATGGGTCGGCGAGATTCAACTTTCTCTGGATATGGGAGTGGTGACGAAGTAAATGAGGCCCCCGCGCCCAAGAGGGCTAAATTGTTAAGGGCGGATTTTCTTGACAAAGCTCACATGAACATAGAAAGGCAGCCTGGCTCCCTTCGTGTTGCAGCAAGTACCGCCGCATCCGTACGCATCCACCGTCCCATGGCCATGAACCCAGCGGCTGCTCGAGCTCAGGCATCTAACGACGACCCTGTCCGCCCACCAACTCCCATTCCCAGGGTTGCCACTGGTGCCACTCGTCCCATCCGCCCACCACTCAGCAATCTTCGCCGTGAGTCATCCAGTGCCAGCCAAGCCCCGTATACCTCACCATATGCTCACCCTCCCGAGGCTGCTGTCACGTCGCCTGAAGATGTTCGATATGGAAATGCCATCGATACGCCTTTCAATATGCCATCATCTCCTCCAGTAATGGAAAACATGTATCCTCAAACATCTAGTCCCCTTCTTCCGCCTCTTCCTGATCACGACTCGGGTTTTATGAGCAGTAATTTGGATTCAATTCTCGACGATAATTGCATTGGTATCACCCTCGATGAACAGGATACCTCCACTGGCCAAGTGAGGGAGACACAGGCCAACCCTGAGAAGGAAAACTTAAATTTGCCATCTCATAACATTTCCCAGATGCGTACAAACCAAAACAGCAGTTTTCCGATGAGTGACAGTGTAGTTGATGCCACCACCAATGAGCCACCTCCCGCCTTACCACCCCCACCGAGAAGACTAACTGGGTCCCGTCCTTCTTCGCGTGCTAGCATTAGGCAAAATTCGAAACCTCTTGCCCCTGCTCCCATCTCCCAGAGCGAAGCAGAAAGACTCAGCCGCCAGGCAATTCCCGCTAGCGACCCTGTGCACCCTGCACAAACCTCGCAGCAACAAACCCAGCCATGGAATGGCCCAATGAGTGACTTTCCGACCGCTACTACCCCTGCTCCAATAGCTACGGATGACGTAAAAGTACGAAGCGGAGCAGGGGCCAGAAGAACCAAACAAGTTCAAGCACGACTGGAGCAATGCATACGTCAAGGTACTGTTCCACCCTATTGTGAAAATTGTGGGGCAATTGAAACACCTACCTGGAGACGAGCTTGGTCGAAAGTTATCCAAGGCAGCGCTCAAGATGCAGATTCCTACGAAGATGATCCTTCCATGCTCTTCTGGCGTCCAGAGGAATTTGCTTCGGATGGGAAAACTGTCATAGCTTTCAAGCAATTTAAAAAGTCGTTGGCAGATCACGATAAGGATTTTGTTCAACTCTTACTATGCAACCGTGAGTATAAAAAAAATGTTCTTTTGGCTGTTTTTTTTTTTTTTTTCAAGAACTTAGCTAACGATACATAGCATGTGGCTTATGGCTCCATAAATTCAAAACAATGCGTCCGGAAAATAAATGGAACAAACAACCCCCAAAGGATAAGGGGAAACGACAAACGAGAAGAACCAAACCCCCTACTGGCACTTCGACGAGATCCTCTCGTAGCAAAGCCCTAGCTTCAAAGCGAAGCGAATCATCTCCTGGACCCACAGACGCCTCTTCGCCAGCCGGTGAAGAAGCAACCACTCCTGCCGAGAATGGGAACGGTACGCCTGCAGCTAATGCTGCAGATGCGCCATCCCTATGTCGGTCTATCAGCCGGCGGGCGAATAGCGAAGAGCCGCCCAAGTCTGCCCATAAACGCGAAAATCGATGGCGGGAGGAAGATGCAAGAAAGGCTTTACATCGTGCAATTCAATCTAGCCCAGCTCGCAACATGGAAGGCCGAACTCTGCCCTTTATGGAGGCGAATCTTACACCTAAACCCGTTCGCAGGTCTCTATTCCCTCCGTCCAAGGATGGGGACACCATGAAGACCCTTACTGATGCATCGATCAATGTGATACGAAGAAGCCCGCGGGTTGCGTCCAAGCAATCGAAACTGACCCCTACCAGAGAAGGCGCTACCGCACGAGTGAACGATGGCCTTGATGCGCTTTTTGTGTGCAGCGACACTGAAAATGATCCATTACCATTCCCAGGTAGCCCTACGCCGAAACAAAATAAAAATAGAGGTGTTATTTTAACACCAACTAAAAATATTAATCCAAATGTGAATTCGGGCAACTCAACGGACGGTTCTAAGAAAGGAGTTGTGAATCCCTCGCCCTCGAAATTGATTGCCGAAGAACTTGAACGTGCAGGCCAGGAGGGATCAAGGCTAACCCCCCGCGCTTATCGGATAAACAATCTTTTTAAAGATGACATTAGTGCACTACAGAAAAGTCCAGGGCTGCGGAGTTTTGAATCCATCGGAGGCCTTGTTTTGGATATCTTTGACTCAGACGAAGACTCTGTCACCCAAACCGACTCGTTTTACCCGTTCGTTCCACCGGATTATGAAACCGGCGGCAACTGGGCGGACTGGGCTGCTGAAACTAGCATTTCTCCAAGGACTGCAGAGTCTATGGGTGCTGCTGCTGCAGGTCAGGAACAGGGCAACCGCGCCATCTCATCAAGCCAGCAGTTAACCGGGGGCCATACATCGGCACTGCCAGAGTCCGACTTATTGCATATTGACCCCGACGATCCAGTTTTGAGAAGCCTACTGCTTGACCCAAACTTAAATTTCCATGGAAACCTAGATGACCAATCTACTGCTGTTGATGGTTCGAATATTTTTGATATGTCCATGGCAGGTTCAGATATATTAAATGCGCAGCCTAAAGGGAATGATTGTGCAGAAAACAATGAGGCTGCTGTCGCGTGTGCTATTTTGCAAGAAACCAATGACAAGACTCCTGTTAATGATTCCGGTGCATCAAACACACAGGAAGCTAGCTAGATGGATACATGTGGCTAATTGTTTAACTTCTGATGTTATTTGAGAAGGGTGATGTAACGTCGTTTTTTCTATCATTGTTTGTTGTTTTGCACGTATGCATGTTGAAAATACCCCGTTCTTTCCGAGTACATGACTCGTGTCAGGCCAGCATTTGGCTCTTTGAATTCGAATTCCTTCATTATTAGTGCCGCGTTCGACTTTCCAACCACTTTTTACGAAAATGTTTACGATCGATTTTTTTCGCGTTATGATTCCGTTGGATAACACCTAGGGATGAGATTAAACACACAAAAGTCTCCACAATCATTAGTATGTTTGTTTTGTGCTGTAAATAATATATGTGTGTTGGTGGAAGGCATGAGCGAAAGGGGTGAGGGGCAGATTAATTCCACGACTATGTGGTTGAATTACTTTATTCCGAGAGTAAATTATCAGCTCATGAAACAAGAATAATTCATCACGCATGTATTCATTCAGCGTCTGTCTTTTCCACCAATCTCCAACAAAGGCAAATCAAGAGAACCGCATAAAATGTTATATGATAGGAAATGGCCAACCAAGGGAAACTCCATGCAAAGAGAGACCTAGCGAAAGCGATGCCTGTGCCAAAGAAACCGGAGAGACAATTCAACTGGAACCGACACCCGCTCCCAAATTCTATGTGTATATGGTTATAGGGTAGAAGCGAAAATAAATCCTTCTTTCCGTCAACGTCCTTGATTTCATTACTACATGCCCAACCATAAATTTTCCAGTTTCCCGTGAACGAAAATGGATCATGACTACATTGTCACGGAAGTGAATTGCGGAATGATCATCCATCTACTTTCTCACCCCATCATCTCGCTGAAATTGTTGTCTTCATAGGAAATACAGAAACTGGTGGGTCGTGCATGCATAATGCGGGTATCAAAATGAAAATTTTATTTTGTGAGGGCATTCACTCATATTCCGATTGCTTTAATAGAAGATTTCTTTAACCCGATGTGTAACTTCGACGACTTGTTCGTAGATTTTGTAGTCTGCATTGAGCGAGAAGGTGGTTACAACTTAGCCTTTCTATTTGTGCTCTCTTTTCCTCCGGCAGTCAACATGCTAAAAAAAAGAGGGAAGAAAAACCTACCAATCTCCTTTGGATCACCACAATCCACTGCATTCAAAACCCTTACAGCAAGGCCCTTCGCAAAATACACCAATCAGCAAAGCTTCACTCCAACTCCGTTTCAGTGCTTACCCCATCCAACTGCGTAACTTTCCCCACAACGTCCACCATCCTGCCTAACTGTAAATGCGCCTCGCGGTTCAAAATTAACGTGACATCCCCGTGGTTGCCGCAATTAATGGTCGCATGTTCGCCACGCAGTGCGGTTACTGTTCCTAGGATGCGGATTGTGCTCGGTCCTGAGATGTTGGGGCCTGGGAGAAAGGCATGCAAATGCTCAGGGAGGAGGCGCGGGGTCGGGAGGGACATTACTCGATTTGGATATTTCGATACCGTTTTTATCCACGGACGCCAATTGCTGAGGTTTCGGTATTGATCGGAAATAGTTATTGGCTTGTGTGAAATAGGACTTGTTTTATCTTGGGAGGAGTTTTGTCTTTCTTTGTTTGGGATTGATTCTTGACGTTGGACCGTCGCGGGGTCGAAACACGAAAACACGTGATATGTTTAAAGTTAATCGAATGTTCAAAATATTTTTGGAATCCCCCAGGTTAAATTTGTTAAAGTTGAATGGGTTCAAATTTTTCGGCTGGAAAGCCCAAGACAAACCGTCAGCATGGTTTTCGATTTTTGAGCCCTCGTTCAACTTTAGCTTAAAACTGCACTCGGTATCTTTCCCTGGTCCAGTTTATCAAGTCAAAGGAGATGCTGTTTGCATGAGCTATCATCCTTTCCCCCTGTTATGACTTACTGCTTGGTATAATATTGTTATCTGCTATCCGAGTTTCATGAAAAAGGGGCTGAAATTACAATGCATCTGGTAGCTAGTTACTAGCATTCCGGCAAGAAATTGAAAAAATGAAGTTCAGAAGAGAACACTCTATAGGTGATGACGGCATTGCTAACAACCATTGAAGTGGGAATAATGGATTATTCGTAGAATACATGAATGAAATACTATATGCAACATAGGTATTATACGTAGGAGGAAAAGCGAACGCTGCTGGAATGGGGGAAATTAGGGAGTGACAACGAGATAGAGAAGAACAAAATATGTGCGAAATATGCAAAAAATTAATAAAATTGAAACCTTCCCAACCCAAGCTGCTCCCAAGCAACTTGTGCGAATATAGTATCCACCACCTGCTTACACTTGAACCTTCAGCTTGTCCCAGCTGGTCTTTCCGGGCCACCCATCAGCGTCCTTGCCGCTGAATCCTAGCTTCTGCTGCCACTTCCTGTACGACGCACGATCTGCGCCAGTCCACTGCGGTCCTGGTCCTTGCTTGTATACACTGCAGCCCTCCGCGACAAGTCGTTTACCCATCGCAGTGATGATGCTACTCTTCGGCTTCCGATGGAACCACGACGCGCCGGGGAACTTGACTAATTTGCTGCTGGGCTTCTTACCCGGCTTCTTGGGCTTGGGCTTGGGCTTGGGCTGACTATCACCCCCGCCTCCAGAAGGATTGAGCTTGCCATCCTGGAGGAGTTTGTAGAGCGGACCTCCAGGACACGCGGTCGAGTATCCATCACGGTGGCCTTTGACTTCGTTCCCGCATCCCTTCTGGCGCAAGTACGTAACGGCATCCTTGATACCCTGGATCATTTGGTTTGAGGGTTGGGTGTCACCATCGGAGCCAACTAATCCGAGAACCGATTGATGATCTCTATTCAGTTGCGCATTGCCGTTGGCACCGGTACGCCATTTTACGCCGCGAGCCTCGAAGACGTAACCGTGCTGGCAGACGGCAAGAGTGTATGCAATATCGCTATAGCCTTCTGTCGGATGGTTCAGGTGTTCGTTCTGAACGGCTCTCAACTTTCCTGCACATTTGGAGTGGGCCCCTTCGGGCATGTACCCGCCTGTGTAATGGATTTTCACACCCTTAGGATGGCCCACTGGTGACATCGACGACTTCGGAGGCTTCGCTCCCCATTCCTTTCGGCTGACGAATTTAATGGCTTCAGCTGGCTGGATAAATGACTGGTGGTAACAGAGGATTAGGGCGAATATGGCGAAGCGGATCAGCATTAATAGCTTTTTATTGGAGGATTGTTGGCCGAAGATGCCATGTCGCGGCTCGGGAAGGCTGCTCTCAAGCCCCATTTTGGCGAGAGGGATTCAATGGAAGGCAAGAAAAATGCAATCTCAATGGGAGAGATGGAAACGATAAAAATCGCAAAGAAAAGAATATGCAAAATGAAATATCTATTTCTGATTCCTGGTGTTTTGATGTTCTAGTTAGAGATGCTAAAGATGGAAATACACCACAATAGAGGCGGCTTCAGCAGTGCTTTTATGTTCAGAATCCCCTGCCAATTGAGCAACGCTAACTTGGTAGATTTTAGAGGATGAAGGATCGCCTCAGCCTCGTCGCCCCTCAATATGCCGGTTTGACAGGTTGCCTCAGCATCTATGCAGTGCTCGTATATACCATGGAACTCTCGAATTCCAACTCCGGATGGGGCTGGGTTGGAAAGGCTCTGTGTCCAACATCACAAGGGTGCTGCTTGAATCACCTTCACACCACGACCATGATGATACGAGAAGCTACAGAAACACAGCTTTCTTTCTTGATCAGATGCAAGGCCAAGTGAACTCAACTGAGATGGGATACGACGGTCCCAGCAAAGCAGCTCGGAAACGCTAAACGGCCTTCCGTTTCAGCCATGTGAATAAGCATATTTTAACCTCAATTCTCTCATCTCATGTCTAAGATGAAACAGCTACACGAGTCATGGAAGTACTCCACTTATATCATTGGATATCAGGGCCCGATGCCCATCAAATTGTATGTCGGTTCTGTTTTGGACGACTTCCTTCTGACGAGAGGACAACAAAAGGGGGAAGCATGGTGGCCGAGTTTCAAAGGCTAAACGCGGGAAGCAGCACGGATCGGGGTTGGGTTGAGCTGATAATTGTTTTTTGGTTTAGTTCACCGCAAAACAAGATGATCACTCAACGAACCGATCCTTCAAAGCGAAATGGAAGGCTAAAACACGAACAGTTAATTTTAGAATTTCCAACATTGCCTGAGTGGGTGTGAACGAGAAATGCAAGTGACCAGGAACAGATGCAGTGCACTGTTTTGCCAGCTACTGCGTGGGAACTGGAAGAAATCAAAGGCAAGTTTGTTGTTTCCATTTCGCTTATTCCTCATGGATTCTGAAGCACTAGCCTTGCCAATCGTATCAGCAAATCACTCCAAGAATGGGCAGCCAGCCATCCACAACCTTCCTCTTCGGGCCAAGCAGTGACATTGCCTTCCTGTATACAAAACGTTCTTCAGCCACAACGTCCATGCATACAGGAGCATGAATTTTCTCGTGTTTGTAGGGGGATTGCAGACTGGTTCGGGGAAGTTTCTGACTTAACCCACCCGCTCTATTTCATTGGCGGGAAGGTTTCTTGGCCGGGTTCCCCCCGGCGCTAAACCATGTCATATTGAGATCCTGGTCACACGAGCGGACCTTAAAAACCTGCAGCACAACCAACTGTGGAGACCAGGCTCTTGGCCCTCTCGTGTTCTGTTCTATTTATTTCTTTTTATGACGCTTAGAGGCTTCAGAGAAGATAGCTGGAGGGTTCATCTTGTTGGAAAATTCGCATGGAACTAAGCAAGCTTGGACGGCGTTTCAAAGGTTAATTTGTTGGGTAGAGACGAGATGGAGATGAACCATGAAGTTTTGAGCCTTTGTTCATGGGGTCGTTAGGACAGAAATCGGACATCCTCGGCCCAGATCGAGAAATCTCATTTCAGTTTTGATAGGAGATCATTGATGCATCTTCCATCTTGGCAAGCATGTCCTACGAAAATTTTCTTCATTGTAATTGTGTGAGAGTATGTCTAGACTCCTGATTTGTGAGGATTGTTGAAATATCATTTTCTCGAAGTGTGGCAGGATGAAAGTTACGTGAAGATCTCCACAAAGTGCACTTGGATGTTTCGTTTTGCCGAGGTCCATCTCGTAGATCGAATACCTGTCGTCCAGGATTGACCGCTGTGATGTTAGCACTAGTATTGTTATTATTTTAGAGGGTGGTATGCCGATATTCGTTCTGCTGAGCCTGGGTCCGTATCAAAATTCACCAAAGAAATGTGCAGCGGTATGGTGACTTCGGAAGAACAAGAGCTGTGTCTTTCCAAAACGCGCATCCAGTCCGGCGTCTGATGGCATCAATCGTGTTCGCATCTCTTTAACCCCGCAAACTGAAGCACTGTGTCGGGCCAAGCGGTGCAAAGCCCCCCTCGTGAAGGACCCTTGTACTGTACATACATACTTGTTTGCGATATTTGTTCAGATACCCACAGGGCCAATTGACATGGACTGGTTGGGTGGTTTTGTAAACTTCCTTATTCGGCATCATATCCTTTGAAGGGCAAGGCTGAGGGGTCCTGGTTGATTTGCAGGAGTCCTCCCATCCATCAGTCGATCGCCGGTGATGTCAAGGTACTGTACCAAGGCCCATGCGCGGTTGGCAATGGCGCAGTGGCGATCTACCCTGCAGCGTTTCTCAAACGTCCCCTGACACATCGAACAGCTCAGGTGCGCTCGAGGACCGAAATGGCTGAGTTACTCTTGAACTAAGGAGCTACGGGTTGAGAAATTATGAGTTCCACCATTCATCGAGGCTCCTACGCTGAAAGCTTCTCCAATTTCACCAATGAAGGATTGCTTTATGCTTTTCAAATAGAGGAGGCAAGTTAATCTATGTTCTTCACTCGTTTTGACCGAATATCGACTTTCATCATCGATTCATCAGAGGGAATATGTAGTGGTGGACCTTGATGCTTGATCCAGAACCCGATCCGTCATCTGGGTTGGTGAATTAAAAAATAACGCTCACCCACATGCCTACCTAGATATAAAGTGCTGCGGCTGTTAGATAGGTGTAGTCAACCAACCTTCCACCCCCATCAAAAAGAAAAGAAAAGAAACTCTTTTCTGACTGTTCCCTTCTCTCCCCCTTTGTCCTCTTCAGGAGGTAGGGAATTGGGGGGCGTGGGGGGATCTTTGATAAAAAAAAGGAGGATGAGAACTCTGTTCATAGCACAATTGGGGAACGGAATAGTTTTCGCCTTCCAATGTGGGCTGACTGGCTTGAACCTGGGCCTGATCAGTTGTCAGTTACTTAGCTTTCATACCAAACTTACATTTAAAAATATATAGCGTATGTATATATGTATATAGCACACTGACAAACAATCACCCTGCCTCACATAACTATTTTATGAACCCCCAATACAAATATCATAAGCGCACGTCATGTAGATAGATGTGCTGTACAGTAACATCACAAGTACGGAACTGTTTTGCCTGACATACATACGTATCTGGTTTACATTCCTATTAAAACTCCTCGTATAAATCACTCCCAGAAATATTTTTTTATTTTTTTTACATACCCTCCCCCTCATCGTACTTATGTATATATATATATATCAACGAAGGGACCCGTCAATATCTCTGATGTCAGGTACTCGAGAGTGGGCTCGGGCGATAGGAGGAGAAAAGAGCGGAGAAAAGAGCAAAAGAAAGAGAAGGTAGCATATCCTTGAGGAAGAAGAATAACGAACGAGGTTAGTGCCGGCTAGCTAGAAGACAAATAAACAATCAAAAAAAGATAACATTTATCATATACATGAGAAGAGGTTTGGGCGGACAAATAGAAAAATAGAAAATAGAAAAATAGAAAAATAGAAAAAACGGAGAAGACTAGGGAGAGGCGGGAGGCAAGATGGGGGCGAGGATTAAATGGATGTCGACCGGGGGGATCTGGGTTAGGAAGGGGGTATCGGAGACGTTGTGATTTGAAGTTGATGATACATATGAGGTAAGAAGCCGAGAGAGAAGAAAAAGAATTTTCGCTGACACTGCATGCTACAATGGATCTAGAAGGAAGGAAAAGAGGGGCCACGATTTTTTTGCAACCAGTTTACTAGCCAGGGCCTGCCCTACCAGCCAAGTAGACAGATTGCGAATTATGAAGGGGAGAAGGAAACGGCGAAAGGGGGAAAAGAACACAAGGATGGCCCAGCTGAGATTTGCGCTCTTCCCTTTTTCTTTCCTATATTCATTGTCCCAATCCATGTGTGCCTGGCCAGCGTTTGTTCTATGTGGAGTGTAGATCAATAATCACAAGACGCCCCAGAAGTGAGGGAAAAATATGACAAGAAATAAATAGAAATTATCAAGTGGAAAGCAGAAAAAGGCCACCTCCACACCCAGAGAAGTAGAAGAGGAAGAAAAAATATCATCATCGAATTTCCTGATAATGTTTCTTCTTCCACTGCGTCTGCATCGTGATCATATCGTTTTGCTCCGTCGTGAATTTGCTTTCCTGGAGAGCAAATTCCCTACGGCCTGCTCTCCGTTGCTTGACGCAACAGAACAGGAGGACGAGAAGGCCGACGAGGGCGACTCCTCCCGCGGAGGAATAGACGGCAATCTTTGCACCCTGTGGGAGCTCGCGCCATTTTTGCGAGAGGGACTTTGGAGGTGGTTTGTGGGCTTCCTCGGCGAGGTAGGAAGTGCCGCTGTTGAGGCGTTAGTTACATAATGAGTTTCTGTTTTTCATATTTACCGTTTGGTGGAGAAGGGGGGGATATCCATGTAATTTTGGAGGTGAGGTCCAAACGTACTTGATGACCTTGATACTTTGCCAGGAACCCGATCTGTCAGTGTACTCGTACTCCTTGCCACTCGAGTAGTCTTCGACCCTGACATGCTTCACCGTCATGAAATATGGAACTTTGCTGTAATCGATCTCACCACCAGCCCACTCAATTGTTCCCTTTTCGTTCTTCTTGTCGCCGGCGGGCCAGATACCCATCCGGACGGTCATGGGGGTTTGCGGGTAATTCTTCCCACCCAGGGCCTCGTCGTAAGTCACCGTGCGGAGCAAGGTATCATCGATCCACCACTGAAATCGCTCTGCAGTCCAGTCGACGGTGTAATTATGAAACTTGTCCATGGGCGCATCCATCTCATGGACCCCACCACGATCGCCTAGAGTCCTATTACCTTTTCCGAAATAGTTTGTCTGGACATGAGTGGTATCGCTGCCCACCCATTCCCAGTCGATCTCATCGAGGTCCTCCGACTGGAGCACAATGCTGCTGACCACGCCCCTGCCAAAGGCGGCTTTCATGATGACCTCCACGCGGCCAAAGAAGATGTAGAAGTGCGATTGGATAGTTGGAGATTGGAGTCTTTCTTTGATGGAGAAACTGGTGCCGACGCCATCGATGTAGTCGAGTTGACCGTTAGTGATGTTCCAGATGACTTCATTAAGGGTATCTGTGAAGTTGGCTTGGTATGATGTGCCCAAGGCTGGGTTCCGAGGACAGTCATCCTTTTCGAGGGGATTGCAGGCTGTCCATGTTTGCGCTATGGCAGTGGAGAGAAGAGAGGCGAACAAAGTCGCTAAAAGCAGGAAGGAGGGCATTGTTGGTGGGGAAGAGGGCATGAAATAGTGAGTGATCGTCTGTAGCAAATTTTAAGTCCGGGATAAAGGAATGAATAGATTGACTGAATTGATCTACTTTATTTCGACAGAATGCGTTGTATCTCGCCCATGAAGGAGTGAAGTGGACAACAACAGCCAGGGAATCTGGCAGGATGAATGAATGAGCGACAGACCCCACCACCGGGGGAAGAGAGGACGCGATAAGGACAAAGAGGGGGAGCGAGAGCGAGAGCGAGAGAGAGAGAAAGCGAAGGTGAGGCAAGGAGACCAGCGTCAAAGGGGACGGTTGTGATGTTGCAGGTACGCGGAACGCCAAGCGAGTCTCAACCAACCGGCAGCCGGCCACAGAGAGCAGGACGGGGTTTGTGATTGGCTGTGCCGCGCATTGAGCCAGGGGCACATCAGATCACGGAGCGGGTGTGAAACAACGCTAGAGCCCAAAGGAACTAGTGTCGTCTGGCGCCACTGCTGACAGGCCCAAAGAGGGAAAGCTGGGGCTTCACTAATGTAGTAGGCTAGCTCGGTATGCGAGTTGAACATTCATGGATCCATGGGTGCTGAGAAAACTAACTGCGTTCAACTACGGCATACAGAGCAGGTCTTCATCTAATAGTAATGAGAACATCAACTGTTGTGAACACTTCTGGAAAATATTGTGCTTAGCATAAGCTTACATACATCTCTATGACATTGTAACTAACTACTAACCAGTATATTCTTCTCATGCAGGATTGTGAAGTTCTAAAGAAGGTTGAAAAGGGGTAAACTCTATCCATAATGTTGATGCCCGGCATTTGCCGCGGTTAGAAAATTTGATTTTGAGACAGCTTTCATCTGGAACTATGAGTAGTCTCAGAGTTTACAACTATTGCTGTTGCTGACATGTTTGGTTGTACAGTGTCTGATGGCTTGAGAGGGTAGGTTGAGCACACTGAGGAGTCTCCCAATGAACTAATAGTTACTGGTAGATAATGATCTCCTTATTTGCTCTTCAACAGTGTTAGAATTCAGCCTCAGAAACAAGTTCTGGGTAAGATATCACACTACAGCTCTTATAGGGAATACTATAACTGACTCATGCAGGCGAATTTGCAATTGACAATATTAGAACAAATGATTGGTCACCAGCAGCCTTTGATTGCCAAGTGCTCCCTGCAAAGGTGAAAGATACAATAACGACCTTGGAGATATCTGGATACTCGATTCAACGACTTTATCACAAAAACAAGGGATGTATGCTCACCACGCTTCTGTCGTATATTCCTAGAGCCTTCTTGATAATTGTTATACAAGCTAGTCTACTCTCTAACGGCCCTTTCAGAAAGAGCAAGACTCTGACGGCAGAAGTCTTATTGGAAGGCTTCAAGAGCCCCTCTCGATTCAGTATGTTAACAATGAATAATGCCCTGTCACAGATCATGCTCACATCGCAGATATCCTCTGAGGCCGAGGTTTTGAACCTTCAACTTTATCAAGCCTTCGAAACAGCAAGCCACTGGAAGGCTCTACTACTTCTGAATGAGGCTGATGTCTTTCTCTAATCCAGAGCTTTTCTGAAAGCCGGGATACTTCGAAGGGATCGTGTTCTTGACAACAAATAAGCTCACCAGTCTGGATACAGCAATTCTCAGCCAGGTCCAAGCTGTCACTGAAATGCAGCGCTCTTGACAACGACGCAACAAAAAGGAATTTTCCAACAGTTCCTCCATAAATACATCGGCGTAAGTAAACGTCGATGATCAGCAACTGCCTGCTCCGTCACAAATAATCCTCAATGGACATGGAGCCCCATGATCGAACGAGCTCCTCAAGCTGACTGGTTCAGACAGATCAAAAATATCATGTCTATCACTTGTACGATGGCAGAAAAAGATGGAGAACCGGAATCCGGCCATGTCCGATCGGCATTGACCGTAACGGGCATTGCGGGTCGGAGCCGGGGTTGGCTAAGTTGCGCGATGAGTTGTATGAGTGATTTTAGGTAAATATGCTTGAATGCTGAAGTGAGCAGATCATCCTCCTTCTGAGAGCCATTTTGAATTCTTTGTTGGAACTTCGCGTGCGTGGGAATTATCGTTCTGGACGTCAGGTACCATTAGGAAGATGGAGTGATGAGTACAAGGTGGGAGGACGTCAGGCTTTATATACAATTAAAAGTGACCCATACTAATGATCGGCTCGATGCAGATTGAGGGATATGGCACTGTTTACGATTGGTGGGTGATAAAAATTAGAAGATGCAGGAGCGGTGGGCCCACGAGCGAAGACCAGATTCCCATGACCTCTACGATTCTTGATGGTGTGGATATAGAGATGGACTTTGCGAACCCAACTAACTTCCATAACAGAATTATTAAATAGGCCGTTCAGCAAAGCTTACAAATGCGCGTGAAATGCCTTGCACCGGAATCGAGAGCATGACTCACTAAGATTCAGCGTTGGAATCGGCGGCGTTGCCATGAGATATGACTACCGAGAAAAATATGCCGAAGATGGGGAAAAAAAAAGCACACTAATCTTTGGGTGACTACCGCATCTCGAAATAGGGACAGTGGAAACTTCCCTATGAAGGATTGCCTGCTAGTTAGCGGAATTCTCCACTCTTCGCGGGGGAGGGCTAGGACGGATGAAATGGGAGGATATCAACGAGGCACTTCCGGCGCGACGTGCAATCAATCAGCTGTCGCCTGCACTACTAGAGGAAGTTAGCTCCTCCATTGCATTCTCGTAGCCTGCAGCAGAGCCTCCCCAAGTGTCACACTCATATCCCATTTAGCTCCTTTCCATGGTTAAAAGTGTGGAGGACACATTTTTGAGCGAGGTGATGGGCCAGGTGCCCAAAATGACACCGGCAGCGCTCACAATTGAAAGTAGCTCTCATTGACCCACCCTCAGTGTTGGCATCTCACTCGCAATGCCATCTCATGGATAGGGGATGTTTCCCCCAAGAATGCGGCCATGATGCTAGGGGGTTGTTGTCCCTAACCAATGGCCACAGACAGGGTAGATCGATGCTTAACCTCAAATTATAGTTTGCTCAGATCATTTGAATGACATTCAGCACTGACTTGGTAGAATAGAGTTTCAATTTTTGTTGGACGCTTCAACTCAGGGTTAGCCTCGTCCGGGATAGCGCTCACCTCGGCCATTATGATGTCATCCTCAGGTTCGGGCTCAAGCAAACATAGCAGCAACCACCAGAATCCCACCAACCACGGTGGTCTTGACTTCCTGATAGGAAATAGGAATGACAAGATCCAGAACATCACGACCCCAGGAACAACCTAGAGACTCCATGTTTATGTCATTTCTCGGACTGCTAACTCACACTTTGTGTCGCGTTGCATCATTCACTTATCACAGGGCTGCGGCACGGAGTACTCCGTAATACTGCTCTCCCTCCATCAGTTCCGCCGCGCTCCTTTTTAACTGATCCTCGTTTGATTACTGCTTAAGGGTAGCCAACCAGGTTGAAGAAATAGAGTCGAAGCAATGGCCACTCAAGATCCACAGCGTTTTGATACCCCCCAGACCGATTCTGCCCACTTGGTACTTCGAGAAAAGATACGTTTCTGCCATCCGGGATACCGGGAACCAAGGAACACATTACTGGTTCTCCCGCGCGTCGATCCTGCCACCACATCCCTCTTTGGCATACATCATCGAACAGCCCTCGTTGCATGCCAGATAATTGCTAACAATGCCTTTAACACTGGCCATTTTACTTTGGATAAAGACGGCCGGCAGCGTGCGAATGTGCCCCCTGATGGCATTCTCACTGATAGGATATATTATTTTATTGTTGGAGATGGCCCCAGTATGCCCATGTTTCCCCCTATCTTAATTTCTGCTTCCACAAACTCATTTTTACCACCAGGCCAATACCCTGTTGTACCAAGCTTTCGGGACTGGGAGTTCCCTCATGCTCGCATCCCACATCCCTGGTCTCAGGTTCCCATTGAATTCCCTCCTGCCATGGGCCGCTGTGCTGTTACCAATTTTTCAATCTGTCTTGAGGAGGCCCACCTCATTCCAAAGGAAGAGGCCACCTGGTACACAAGGAATGGAATGAATCTATATGGAGAGGATTTAGGTGATATTGATGGGCCATTCAATCTTGTTCCACTGAGATCTGATATCCACAAGTGCTTTGACAATCGATGGTTTGCCATCGTTCCAAAAGTTACTGGGACTGAAGTCGCTACTACAACAACCTCCTCTCCTCAATATGTTACACATATATTTTCAAGTCGTGCATCTGAATATTGGCCCACATATCATAATACCCGTGTCCAGTGTCTCAAAACCCATTCCCCTCCATATATCTTCGCTCGGTTCGCTTGGACCGTACTCCTCCATGTCAAACCCTTTATCAACAGTGGTGACTCGCGTCACATAATTCGACTTCATGTATCATCTGATGCAGAAGGTACCAGGATGGAACGAAAGGCAGAGTTTCTCAGTGGTGCGGAGCTTAAGAATAGTTATGGCGGTGAGGATTCAAAGAATGCAACTCCAAGGAAGAGATCAGCAGTAGGAAGTGCGGCGGATGATGGCAATCTCACAGAGGCCGGTGATAGCAGTGATAGCAGTGTGGATGGGGACTTCCGGGATGATATGATGTAGGATTGGGAAATAAGAGGAAAGAGGAGGCAACACCAGATATCCACCAAAACAGATCCGAACGTGACGCCCGAAGGCGACAAAGAGACTCTGACCGATGTAGATGGGATACGTGTGGAAGAGAGTCCCGTCTGAATAGTTTTTGAGGGGGGATACTCAAGAGCCAATGAATACTGCTGTCAAGATATGCGATATCAGAGCAGAGATAACTGATGCTTGCCGCATGAACCAAGGTCAAATGTATTATTAACATGTCTAATTAACCCCACAGAGCTTTCTCAGATAAACATTGGCCAGAAGTTGTGATCATCAATAACACCTCATGATTGCCTACGCTGGCCTGTGTATAATCCCTCATTGGGCATGGATTGCTGTTACCCAATCTCGGTAACAGCCTTGATCTCAAGCTTCTTACCGTTCTTCGCCATGCTTGGTGTATATTAATCTGGGTGGTAGCTATCTCCCAAACGGAGCTCTTTTCATCTCAGCCTCTCCATGTGCCGAGTAGCCGCATAGCATTACACTCAGCATCAATATCTTTGCCCTTTTGGAGATTTTCGGTTTAAAAACCTCTCTACCTTTCTGTCTCTGGGCCTCCGAGGCCAATCCTGTTCCGGCCATCCTTTTTTTAATGATTTTTCCGGGCTCTTGAGAAAGTCCTAAATGTTTCTATTTTTGTGGACACTGAGGCTGCAATGAGACCTTTATCTTGGACTTGCGTGGCGTCGCTGAGAGTGTGCTCACGCGTCACAAAGTGAGCTTGACAAATCGAACGGATCTCAACCACTAAAATAATAAAATTGCCGATCTGATAAGAGCACTTAACTAAGTTAGAAGACCCAGAGAACCTCAGCTGGAGGGAGATATGCAGCACGGTAATCGGGAGGCTCAAAATGTCTCCAGTGTTTCGTAAACCCTCTTACTTCCCCCTTTTCTTCGTCGTGGTCTGGTTTCTTCAGTGCCGGAACCCAGAGTGGGCTCGCGACCACGATTCGTCAGGGGGAAGCAATTCTAAAAAAAAAAAAAAAAAAAAAAAAAATTTGCGACTACTACAGGCTTTCCTCTGAACTTCGGATCTTCTCATACTCAGGAATAGCCCATCTCACCATCCATTCCGATTCAAGAACCTGCTGAGCAGATGAACGATTCTCAGGGCTGAAAGAAAGCATCGGACGCAACATGGCCAAGAGGGCATCTCGATCACTCTGTTCGAGTGGCAACATCCTCCTCATTCTGCCGTTGCTGGATATTTAATTAGAAGGCATCTTCTAACGGCCCATGCTGGGATGTAGCTCGGTTATTTGGGTGGCCGTCGTCGGTGAAGTGGTTCCCACGGCCCTCTCATTTTCCCCACCACTCAGTCGGGGGTGGGCCGAGTGCTGCGATTTACTGGCAAGTCATGTCATGTCGTCTTCGTTTGTAAGGAAGCCTTCGAATACTGGCTTATGATATCCCAGATGGTACATGCAAGCGCGCAGATATCAGATGAGAAAGTGAGCGGCATTGTCGGCTCAGATCGAGCTTCGAGGGGTCTTAATTAGAAGTGATGTATGAGACTTAAATCTCTTCTCTCGTGTTGGAGAAAATGTCTCGCCAAAATCTGCAAGAACGATCCTGGCTTCTGAGAGCGTAACCTTTTCACTTGATTCCCCAAGCCAGATAGGTAGGATGGCATGATTTGGGACCCTGGCAGAGGCATTTGGCTATCCTATGATCGACTAGTTCAAGTCCCGGTTCCTCATACAGGTCGTATAGCTCCTTAGTGGATAACTTATCGAAGTTGAATTGGGACTGGAAAAGGATGTTTCCGCGATGAAAGTCTCCATGAACATGGCCCTGTGAATGCATATACTAAATCACCGTCACGAACTGTGCTGCCAGTGCACGAGCCACATCAATCTGAAAAAGGCCTATCCATGATCTGTTCTTTGCGTCAGATAAGCTCAGCCCTGCCGGCCTTGTCACCAGGCAGGCGTAGTTACCGTTGGGGCCTTGGACGTTGGATTTATCCAAAATCAAAGGTTAAGTGGCTTCTGCATGCGCATCTCAATCCATTCATCCTGCCTTGTTCTCTGCTCACCCAGCCTTCTCATATATTCTGTCATCATCATCTGTCTCAAGGTATTATCGGTCGTTGCGCCTGGTGGCCCAGGGATAGGTGTAGATTCAAATTCAGTGTCATCATTGCTAGCAGGGGTATTCACCGTCATGGTAGCTCAAGTTCTAGGAGGCACTCTCCCCACTTTCAGTCAATTTTTAATATCTTTTTCCGCAATTAAAGCTGTTTTAGGTCCTTCTTCTGATCAGGGTAGCAGCTCGCGAGACATTGGATACCTCAGATAAGCAGTGGAAGGTTCAAAAAAAAAAGGCAATCCGGGCTAAAACCTGTTGGACATCTAAGTGGTTGTATTAGCACGCTGACAGCTGAGGCATATATGTGCGAAGCGCCAGTCAGCAATAGGAAGCCTACGGCCAATAATTTCAATGTATTATGTTAGAAGATCTTGAAGAATTTCTTCGTTTCTCAGCACCCCCAGTCTCAGAATCCGGAAAGACATGTCCGTAGCAGAGAAAAATTTAACAACCGAAATAAGTTCACGCACCAGCAGACGGCCACAAAGCTGTGTTCTTCGCACACTCACCCTCACATGCTCTCCACCCCTTTTTTCTCCCTGCGCCACCTGCTTCGGAATTTTATGGTCCTTCAACATCGGAACAACACGAGGCGTCTGAACCAACCTCTGCCACATTGCTCATCTTCCAACATTCTGCTGGCAGTTGTTGTCAACCATCATCCCAAGAGCCATTAATTACGGCAAAAAGTTTGAGGTATATATATGTACAGTACATGTATACAAAGTCTTCATTGGAATTCAGTGTGTCAAAAGAAAAGGTTGGGGCGGGGGGGCGGGCGGAGAACATCGTGGCTTGATTACTGATTTCCTGTTTAACAGCTCACAAGTCCGCCGGCTTCTTCCCATCCCCTGCCTTGTGCTTTGGCAGTTGCCAGTCGGTTCCGTGCATATTACTGGCAACGGCGTTGGTAAAACGGCCCGAACAACCTTAGACTTCTTTTGTGAATGTCGACTGGTCGTCGATTGTGGCGGAGAAAGGGAGGAAGGGGATGGCTAGCTGGGTCCATTCATTTTCGTTGAAGAGGGGAGGGTTCGGGGTCCAAAGGGAGAAAAGGTGGGGAGGGGGAAAATGCGGTGATCGAATTATCGGAGTCATAAATCATTAGCCGGGATGTACAGGGCTTTCACCGTCTCCGAGCAAACATGATGGGAATCCGTGCTGCGTTGGGCCTCGTTTACTATCGGTTGGCGGGAGGGGCCGGCTTCGAGCGCGCAACACGCTTGTGGTTCGATTAGGCGCTCCAATTTGCCGTTGGGGAACTTGGAGTCCATTATGAGTATCAGTACCCATCCCATGTGCGTTGAGCACGGCAGGAGGTGAGGCATATGCCAGACAAGACGGCGGCTGTGGGCTCGGGAAACCTGTGGGGAAGCCCATGGAGAAAGTGTCCTCAGGATAAATAGGGATCTCGTTACGTGGCGTTGTAAGACCCTGTCCGTTGTAACATTTTACAAGCATCTGTGCTGCGGACGGACGCTTAGAGGGGTCTATTTCAGCCATGTCTTGGATCGTTTGCAACTCAGGGGCCCTTGCGGCCTGCAAAGCAACCTCAACGCATTCAGCGGGTAAGTTGAGCATTCTGCTCCTGTATTGGTTCACATTTAGCGCGAATGCCACTGTGACGAAGAGAGACCATATGTCTACTTTGCATGTTTGCCTGGCCCCTGCCTGAGATTGTATCTCCGGGGCCTGATACATAGGCGACCCAACGATTGATCTAGCAGCATCAATGGAATTGCATAATCCAAAATCCGTGAGTTGATATAGAAAGCGAGATCCAGCAGACTCAAGTGGTGTGTAAAGGATGTTGGCTGGCTTAACATCCCGATGGATAACCCCGTTGTAGGTGAGATAATCAAGCGCCTGGAGCATCTGATCAAGAAGCTCATTTATTTCAGTGGAATTTCTATCAAAGTATTGATTATCGATTAAATTATCGACTCCTCCTGCTTTCAAAGCGGTGAATATCCACAGTTTGTCCGGGGAGGCATACCAGTGTATATATTCAACGATATGTTTCTGTTGATATCAGCTACGCAAGAATGAATAGCAGAATGTGAAGGATTCACTGACGTGAGAGCTTTGGGAGAGCGCAAAAATCTCTCGCTCCAATCGATCTTTTTGCTGGGCATGGAATCCATTTTGAGGTTGCGAAATGGCTTTGGCTGCCATGGTTTTTCCCGAGTCGACATCGACAACCTTATAAACTACGCCAAAGCTTCCCTCACCAAGAACAGACAATGCTTTGTGCCGAATTGTCGGTTTTTGTATGGGTGGCCACTGGTCTGGGGTAGGGATTTCTGAGGGTACAACCGTAGGTACGTTGTCCACCGTTCGTGCCTGTAGAGGGCTTTCTATTCGATGATCTGCTTCTTCTTTCCCTTTGAAATTAGCCCGATGCCATACAACTTCAAATTGAACTTGATCACAGCCGGTACCGCCCATGCCGATGATATTGTTGAACCGTTCGCCTATAACGACCCTACGCTTGCATCCAGGCTTGAACGGCGTGGCTTCGTCACCAAACAACTTAGTAGTTTGAGATGTTGACTCATCGTAAAGCATCACGACATCATACTCTGGGAGAATTTCAAATGAGCATTGAATTCGGGAGATGTTTGGCCCATCCACGATGATGTCGCCATTGCGCCCTAGAGTCGCCAACGTATATCGTGCGGCTGAGCCAATCTGGAAGCCAACATTTAGCACAACTTGCTGTTTGTGCATCCCGTCAATATGATTGGAAAGAAGATGATAGTTGGATGGGTTTTGAATGACAGCGTGCGCATTTTCGTTTAAAGGCAAGAGAGAAAATATAGCCTGAGGATGAGGAACTGGACGGGGCGGAGCAGACATAGCTTGTCTATGAATGGCAAAAGCTGAGGAGAAATGTTCTTGGTGAGAACAGCAAATGGTCGCAGGGGGAACATGATTCAAAGGTAACATCCGTAGAGTACGCATAAGATGCTCCTTTAATACTCAGTCAAAACAAATTTTCGCAAGGTCTCAGGCCGCTGATCAGATCCATGAAGCCATGATTGTTTGCCCATGGAAGCATCGGGCACAATGCTGTGTTTTGCACCCAGCAACATCGGGATTCATCCAAGGAATCATTGGGCACCCATGCAGCACCTTTGCAGCTGTGATTCATCCCCAGACAAACAGGACACAAGAGAGGGCTTTGGCTTTTTTACATGTAACCAACAGTGCATGGATATATGCGGTTGCTCTTGCTGATGATACGGCGATATCTTCGGGCGCCGGGAACTCCATGCTATCAAGCGTTTGGAAAAAGGAAATAGCTTCTGCGATTGATTTTTTGTCTTTTTCGTGAAGGACAGTACATCTACTGGCACAAAGGGAATCATGCAAAATTTATATCGATAACTCTACATGTTTGGGCTGTATTATTGTGAATAGTTACCCAGTGACCGCCTTGCTTCCTCGGCATTCATGCCTGCTTCCCTATTTGTTGGTGGGCAATTTTATCCAGAGCATTTCGAGCCTCACAATCTCAGTCATTTGATGGATCGGCGCACTGTGCTCCGTAAAATACACTAATAGACAAAAAGAAAAGAAAGAAAGAAAAGGAAAAAATAAAAAGGAAATAAAGCTTCTGCAGCCCAGAGTTTGAACTTTGCGGCTGGGATCCGCCCGCTCCGAATGGTCTTTTTGAAATACCCTGAATTTATTATGCCTCCCTACTTTGGCTCCATTCGATTCTCGCAGTGTCCCAACAACACCCTGTGAACGCATACTGTGCGCGCACAAAACACATTATTGAGGATCAAGGAGGAACTTCTTCAGACATAACATTTTTCGGCCGTGTGGAAAATATTGTGGTTGGAATTCCTCTTGCTTCGGTGTATATTTTAAGGCTTCCTACACACCCACCAAGCAACGCCCAGCCATAACAACAAGTGTCCCGACCGATCTCCCCCAACCCCAAAGACAACTTTTCAGTCCGTCAACTTCGAACTTCGAAACTGATTTTTTCACTCGTACCTTCATGCTGACCCTGTGCGGGTCTCTCCCTTATTCGCGATATTCTGGCCAACAGTGTTGAAATCAAACCTATCCTCCTGATTGTGCGATCATGGCCACTACATTTAATGGCCTTGGGGCCCTTACGTTACCGCAAGTCATTAACGCCCTTCAGAGGTTACAGGACAACCCGGAGCTTCTTGCCCGCGAGCGATCCGCATTCAGTGATCCTCCACCGCCATACGCGTCGGGAGAGACGACACAACCACCCAGTCCGCCTCGCCCCCTCACAGAAGCTGATCGACGAAGGGAGCGGCAGCGGCGCAAGGAGGAAAGGCTTAACTCGATGCCAGAACGTCAGTTCGCTTACCAGCGAAGGATAGAGGAGGAACGTCTGATAGACCAGAGTATGAGGCGGAAAACAAGACGAAAATATACACTGCCATTTAATAAGGATCTTACTTTCGCCACGAATGCAGTCGACAATGTCACCAACCGGTGGAAAGAGCAAGGGATATGGAATGATAGATGGAAAGCCCAGCCTTTGGGGCCACGCCGCTGGAGACATGAAGAGCCCCCTGAGCCAGATCTTGAACCAGAACTTGAGAAACATCCACATCATTCGGGACCTAATACGCTAGACCCACCGAAACCATGGCGGAAGATTGTTAATGCGGAGTCCATGGCTACCCAAGTCTCGCGTCCATACTATCAGTTTCTTTTCCAGAAATCTAAAGAGCGCGAATGGTTAGAAGACGAACTAGATATTGAACCCAGTGACATCGACACCAAAGCCTATGAGAATGTTAAGAATCGCTGGCTCGCGCAAAAGATCTGGAATCTGAAGTGGGGCCATATGCCCGGACTGACCTGGATTCACGAAGATCCCGACGACGATGACGACGAAGATGACTCTGAGAATTTAGGAAACCCTCCAGCAGGTGAATCAGTATCTCACAATCCTGTAGAAGGTGACAGCCAGCCAGTTCGCCGTGTCCGCTATAAGTACCGCTCAGATACTTTTGGTTCGATCGAAGTCACTTCCCCCTCCCCGGAACCAGCAGGGGAGGCTGGGCCTTCCCTAACTTCTCGGACAACGGAAGGCTCAAACGGAGATGCGCTTATAGATGCAAATGCATTTAACCTACTCAGCCCCGTACCCCAGAGCCCCAAAAATACAGAGGAACCACAAGAACCTCCTCGCCTCGCTTTTTATTCAAAGGGTAAATCAAAAAAAAGAAAGGGTGCCACTCAGACTCCCCCAGATCCCCCAGATTCTACATCATTCCAATTAAGGAAGCGGCTCCGCTCCACGTTTGGGCTGACTAGTACACCTCAGAGTCCGGTGCTTAATACAACAGGAAACTTACCAGCAGAAGATGAGGTTGCGGAACCATCTCCATCTACTCTGCCATCACGCAATGCAAACCCAGATTCAGGATCAAGAGAGCATCAACAACAGCCGCTTCGGAATTCCAGCATCACAAATAAAAGCTCAGTGTCTTGGGACACTTCAGTTGACACCAACAATATTTCACAGTCAAGCTCAAAGCAGAACAGGCGAGCGAACTCAGAAACACCTACCACTTTGCATAAACCTCAGTAGTTTTGAATAACAATCTCTTTGGCCAGTCTTGCCCCTGTGGGTAATGGACGTAGTGATGTTTGAGATAGTCAGATGTTGTTACAGCCACATTATGCCATCATAATGAAGTAAGTATGAAATGATTGAACACGGCCAAGAGTCAGTAGAATAGCTCTATAAAAGGAGTGCACTGACAAACCTAAATCTCAGGAGACTGATTTCTGCTTTCTAGAAGCCCTGTTGACCATTCCGTACTGTTGTGAGAGTAGTCCTCAATTAATTCAGCTGGTGAGTCCTGTACCTGTACCCATTTTCCTCAAACCCGGTTCTAGTAGTATGACATTCGTCATTAACTCTTTATCAGACAGACGTATCAATCTTTCAACATTTATATAACTTCCCTCGATAAAGCAGTTAGTCAGATGAAATTATTCTGTTTGCATATACAGATGAGACATACAGCAGATGAGATCCGGGTAATTACGTCGTATACCCTATTCGAGTTTTGAACACATTCCTATATTCCACCGCACCACCCTCCCCAGCAACACCACCTCCATCACCCATTTCTTCCCCACCGTCCGCAACAACCTCATCATCCCACCCACCAAAGCAATGACACCGCACTTGACTTCCGGCAACGTGAATTTCGCCCCGCGCTTGCTGACCGCGATGTCAGCATTGATGACGATCTCACAGCCGCCACCGTAGGCGAGGCTGTTGACAACGCAGATGGTTTTTCCACCACACACCGGGATAGGCCAACGAAGCCTGACGGGCGTAGTACTCGGTGCCCGGATGATTGGGAGTTTTTACCATTCCATCTTAGATTTTTGAAGTGTGGCTTTTGTTAGGGTATTGGATTTATGGCATTGAAATATTTTACTTTTTACTTTTTTTATTTCTTTTCTTTTCTTTTCTTTTCATTCTATGTTTTCTCCATTTGGTTTGCATTTTTGGGAATGATTGAGCAAGGGGCAGGTAGTTCTAGCCCCTAAGAATCACCACTACAACGCCCAGGCAGGAAATTTTATTTACTTCCTTCTACCTTAACAAAGCTCAAAAATAGTTAAGTTTATAAACTTACTTACCTTTTAAGTCAGCCCCAGCACAAAACGCTTCCCCTTACCCGTAATGATACCCACTCTTAACAACGGCTCTGCATCCATCCACTCCCACACCGCGTGCAGTTCCGCATGGCCGTGCGAGTTCACGCAATTGAGCGATTCAGGCCGGTTGAGTGTTACCAGTGGGATTTCCGGTGTTGGGAAAATGAGGAGACGGTGCTGGGTGGGCGGTGGGGGGTTGGTGAACTTTGGTAGGGTCATGTTGTCTCCTTTTCTCTCCTTTTTTGTTTTATAAATATATATTGATTCCGTAAATCTCCGGGTAGGTTTTGTGGGGAAACGGTGAAGGTAACAAATTGGGTAGTAGTTTGTCAGGCTCTGTCCATAGGTATGTTTATAAGGCTGTGTTCTAGTTTCTGGGAGGTCGAATCTGCGGCGGCTCGTGGAGTATTATTATAAGGGGTGAAGGAATGCAAAAACGTTATAAATGATGGCTCAGCGATATACTTCACCACTTTCTCGGCCACTTTGTACCACCACGCCAATTTAGTATGAGACATTACCTGTTTGTCCTGTTTGTCTTGGAGGTACTCCCAACGAGGAGAACACATCGGGTTGTTGTGCGGCCATTCAAGAGAGTGTTAGGCTTGTAAGATGCTCCGCGGCTCTCCTCAGAGTGGGAGAAACTACTGCCTACTGGTATGTATGTACAGTATCTTATTTGGTGCTGCCGAGTCTCTAACGCTAGCAAGCTTCTCACCAGATACAAGATGAGGTTAGGGAGGTCCTTATACGATGCTCCGAGCTTCTTCACTGGGTCAGGAGATAACGTCACTATCATGAGTTAAGATATTGATCAGATATATCTAGGACCAATGATAGCTATGGTGGTAGTCTAAAGTCTTCAATTTACTTAGAATATTGTGGTTCCCACACTATGCTGCAACTGGCGGTTGCAGTGGTGGTGGGATGGGCGATGGCCGCTGTATATATATGAGCGCAACCATTTGACAAATGGTTACGGAGACCCGTATCTGAGGATAGAGACGCCAAACAGAAACATTCATATCCCTCTTCAAATAGTGATATTCCCGGAACAACGGTATGCTTCCTCTCTTCCCATTGCGCTACAGAAATAACTGAGAGTCGAGTTACCACAGAATCCAACCCACCTCTGGTAGCTAGATATCAGGAACGGAAATGATCGCGAGAACCTGAGGATCCGCTCCACCTCCCCAACAAGCGACCGCGGACGACTCTTGCAACTGCTGCTGTTGAGAGCTCTGCTGTTGAAGTCACACCCGACCAAGAGTTACTAAACCGCGTCTACGAGAACAACATTAATCCAATCGACTGTTGGATTCAGCAAGGACATTGGCCTAAAAAATACTTCAGGCAGGGCAACATGGATCCCCTGCTTGCAAGGAAGAAGTCGTCTTCTTTTCGCCGCAAGCAATCGGAATCTGGCTCTGTCTCCATACCTAGTGATCAAAAACTAAGGGACGAAAAGAGGGCTCCATACAGGAGTCCGCGTTATCGAACTCTACTTGAATCAAAAGGCAGCTTTATGAAAACGGCGCGCGTTGGAATCACAGACGGAAGTAGCACTCTTATCAAATCCTGCTTGACACAGTCCCAACTGTCCCTGAGAATTCATTATTTCGAGATGAATTATTCCACACGACCTGTGAGAAGATTCAACACGAGAACGAACTCAGAGTAATTCGGGATATTGGGCTATTGATTGTCCCATTTGCAGACATTCTAGCTACGTGGCCACTCATCTGGAGCGCTAGAATGAAGGCGCTAATAAAGGCTGGAACAACAGCATCCCTTTCTGTAGACCCTGTCCACAACTTGATATCGCAGACGGACAGAATGCTCACAGCATGACTCTTGCAGTAAGAGGTGTTGTTGAGTTATTCAAACTGGTGAAGCGAGAAAAAGAGGTCGACCGAGAGATACTCCTCACATGGCCACTCAGTAGTGAGGATCTACAGTTACTGTGCAGTTCTTTGTGGTTCCCACACTATGCTGCGACGGTCGCAGTGTATAGGTGGTGGGTTGGGTGGCCACGCCCGCGAGCGCAAACTATTTAACAAATGGTTATGTTGGCTTTTTGCTATGGATAACCTAGTGGTCACAGTGCTATCTTACCACATCTTGAAGGAGATAAGACAAGTTTTTACCGCCATCCTATCCACAATTTCGTTTTTACCGCTCTGCATGGCAAAGAGAAATGGACAACATACAAATTCACAAGAAATGTTTATGATATATGGATGTCAACTCATTTTAAAAGAATATGCTCTGCAATTGATCAGATACCCTCTGATGTGAATTTTGAAGTCCCGCATCCAGGCCAATACCCCCAACAATCCAACCCCAAACCGGTGCCCGCACCCGGGGATGATGAGAGTCAGCCAAGTTAGCGCCATATTGCCTCGGCAGGTGTCATTAAATGGCAGGTGCCTCCTTTGCAGAACGAACACAAATATTCAAAAGGCCAAGAAAGGAGCAGTAACTTTCATCTTCACACAAAAGGGTTCTAGAGAAAAACTGTACTTAGGAAAGTACTTGCTGAAAGCAAGGTAAATTCCTGCATGATTGGCATCTATATAAATACTCACTATAACGATGTGACAGTTAACCGGCGGCTGAGTATGGCAGTTTTCACTGCTGCTTTTGATCTGCTAACTACCCAACCTTGATCATCATTTGAGCCTATCCTCATAGCTGCAATGCTTCCCTCTACACATGGCCATGATTTTGAAGTGTATTTTCATAGCTTTCAGTCATCCTTGCTCACCCACTGTTCTTCTTTTGAAGAGAGTCATTTTTTTTTAACACTTCACTCTATTGATTTTGATGAACCCTTTCTCTCAAGTCATGTTATTCTCTCTATTTTTAATTCTCATCACTCTCATTATACTGTTTATGACTCTCTTGTCTTCTCTTCTTTGTAGTACTACTCTATTAATTCTATTCATAAAAAGTGTTTAAGTCTTTCATTATTTATTCTATCCCTGTTTACTGTCAGCTCTTCTTGAGTTGCTTTCACTGTGATTATTGTAAGAATATAAAATGGATTTTTGTCGATTGAATAGTTTCTGTTGAAGTGATACGAGAAGATGCCAACTTCAAAGAGCTGTCACAACAGGCCTAGAATTGCTTGCTGACCAATGATGGGTGCGGAACCAGGTCTCAGCACCCCACTAACCAGCACAAAAGATCCCATATATAAATCAGTAGGGTAATAGTATTTATTCAAAACACCATCATTTTTACATGAGGCTAAACCATATAAGAAAGGTCTTTGCCGCAAGGGCAGCTTCCAGAATCCCTCTATTGACTCGAGGAAGTAATCAATCGATCAATCAATCCTGCATGATTTGGAGAGAGAGCAACTCGGGAACCACAAAAAAAGCGAAAAAGAATTTTACCTCCCCGACAGGGAATCGAACCCTGGTCTCCCGCGCTCGTCAGTCTGACAACTGAATGACAAGCGGAAATCATCACCACTAGACCATCGAGGATATTTCACAGATAGCCTGTCGACGCGAATTGACCCTATCCAATTGGGGGGTAGTATTATTGGTTAGTTGCCAGGCTTTGGTGAATGTTGCGAAACAAAATCAGTTTAGTCGTGGATATATTGTCCAACGCTCACATTCCCAACAACTTACAGTCCATTTTCCTAAGAGCATTTCGCTGAGGGCCCACGCGCGTAGAGAATATTTATATTTTGTTTCGAGATGCTATAATTTTCACGGAATATCTTTTTTTCTTCGGCATGTACTTTAAAAAATTTGTGTCAATGCTATCCAGGTTGACTCTAGGTAACATGATCATTTTGAGTGCATCGCGTGCTTCACATACCAGAACGTCAGCAAAGAGATTGTATTAGAGTGTACAATTTGGGTTAATTTTGGTCGTTAATTTTCTGCTCCAATATATCCAGAGAGGGTATATGCGTAAATCTTTCCATATCCTGGACTGAAGAAAGGGGGTGAGAAAAAACATAAAGAATAAACGGGTGTATCACGTCGCTTATATGATACAAAGTAAACGTTTCCCCCTTGAGGCATGAAAATTGAAATGGCAAGTGAGAAAGAAATCCAAACTCCATTAAATGCATATGCCATAAGTCACAAGTTGCAAGTTTGATGGATTTGAACTACATGAAAAGGCATGTAATGCTCACGCAAGTGAACCTATCCGACGACGTTTGTCTCTGTCCTGGAAAGGTGATGGGCTTCGCTTTCTTCTGTGTCTGTCGTCGTCGCGGTAGCGATCCCTACGTCGTGGAGATCGAGGAGCGGATCTGGATCGTGAAGGCGAACGCTGTCGGGATCGCACTCTTGACCTCGACCTCGACCTCGATCTTGATTCAGACTGCGACCGTTGCCTGGCCCGTGGCCGATCTCTAATGGCGCTGGAGTTGGCTCCCGTAGGACCAAAAGGCTTATTCCTATCCCCATCACGCTGGTCAGGCAGGAATCTGTCATCAGCTATCCCGAATCTTGAGGCGTTGTTCGATGCCACGGAGCGATTATATCCATCTACCCCCCAGCGCCCCGTATCCTCCGTCTTGAGATCTCGATACTTCGTCCTACCCTTTCGACCAATCTTGGTCACATCTCTGACCTGTAGATATTGTGGCAAAGTTTCACGATTCTTCGTCTCATCCATATATCGGCTTCCCATTAGATCGCGACGATCCAGCCCCTTGGCTTCCATGTCATCGTGATAAAATACACCCTTATGGAAATATCGTTGCATAAATCCAGCTTTCCCCCTTCCGGCTTCGCGTTCTTCTTTTTGTTGCGTAAGGAACTCGCGGTCCTCGCGTTCTCGCTCTTCCGTGGTGAGGTTTCGACGACGCTCGATCTCCTCGCGCTCTTTCTCCGCCTGCTCGATGGCTTCTCGTTCGCGCTTGACACGTTTCAGCTCTCGAAGTTTCCATGCGGCAAATTCAGCAGCCGGGTCAAGCCCATCAGTATCGTCTATTTGCTCTTCGTTTTCACCCTCAACGTTCTCATCATCGTCCCACGATTTCTTCCCCGCGGCCCGCTCTGCTGCCTCTTTCACTAGTTGGTCCCGAATTAAAAGGTCCGCTTTCTCCTTTCTTAGAGCGCTTTCAGCTGCGTCTTCTACACCTGGATCTGCAGAGGCGGCAGCCGGAGTCAAAGATTCCTTCCGTTGACTCTTCTTGATAAAAGTAGGTCGAAGCAATAGTCGCTTCGGAGTCTCGTCTTCCGAGCTTGATTCCTCTTCCACTTCGGAGCTTTCTTCACTTTCCTCTTCCTCACTTCCACTGACTTGATCGCCCGCTGTATGCGCTTGACGTCCTGGCACCTTTTTCACATCTCCCTCTTCCTCTTCCTCTTCGGTGACGAAGCCTGCTTCGTCCTCGCTTTCCCCATCTAATTTCACACCCTGCACTCCGCTTGTGATTTTCGATGTGGAGCCGGCCGGGAAGGATGTCGCTTTCGGCGGAGGGGCTCTCCGTTGTTCCCGCCGTAACCTCTCACGTTCTCTTCGCTGTTCTTCTTCATTATTAACTTCATCTTCGTCGTCATCTTCTTCCTCAGAAGATTGTTCTTCAACAATTGGTTTTCCCGGTCGGTAGCGTTGTGGCCTTTGCGGGTTCGCAGTCATACGACCCCGAGAGGATGGGAATGGAGGCGGCATGGCTACTCTGGACGGATGACTTATGGACAGTAACGTTAGGTGGCAATCATTACCAGGACGGCACGGTGCAGTGAGGAGAACCTCCGCGCAGAGGGCGGGATGCAAGGGGAAGGCGTGAAGCTGCTTGTCTCAAAGTACCAGTGCTTTTCTTGCCGATGATGTTTGGTTGCGACTTCGGATAATATATTTTCCGAAACTCAATATAATATCACACGGCACAGGTTTTGGAAATTTGTATAGAGTATGTTATCTGCTAATAGGAAGCAAGCCTGTCCTGTCCCGTTGCCGGTTTTACAAACCGAGCCCGAAAATGGTTTGCCTTCTTCAATTACCACACTCGGTGTGCTTTTTTCCAACACACAATAGGGCGCAGCTCCAGGTGATTAGCTCTTCCCGATAACTGTCACAGTCTGCACCATGTCGCCAGCGACGCCTCAGAGGTCCAACTCCAAATCTCTTAGCTTTGACCAGCATGTCGCCTTCCACGCATGAGGATTCTATGCCTCCGAAGTCTTTATGATCTTGTGCAAAAGATGGCAACCAAGATACCCAAAAATTTGAAGATTGTGTATTAGCAGATTGCAAACAGAGTTAGCTGCCGTTGTTATTGAGTACCGATACTGACCATCGAGTCTCCCTTTGATGTAGATTTAAGTATAGCCGAGAGAGACTGCGAGTATCCTTGAAATCATGGCTGACGGAGGCAGTTCGGCGGCTTGCCGAACCCAACTGAAGTGGTGAGGGCGGACTCGACGAAATATATTATGTCTTTCCGTTTTTCGACAGCTGCATACTTATATATGTAGAGCACTAAGAAAGAACAACCTCAATGAAACCCCACGAACTCATATATGAGGTAGCTCAACAAGTAGACTCTTACTCCTGTGGCAGTAGCCATGTCTAAGAGCGCGTCCAAAAAACAAGAAAGAATCGCGGGGACTGCAGCAAGGATCGAGAGAGAAACAAGAACAGTTGGACAGGGAAGAGAATGTAAACGCCTTGTCAAAGCGGCTGATTACGCCAAAAAGAAAGTCCCAGTAACCATATATATAACATAACATTGTCTTGTTACTTGGAAATCATTTCCCCTTTGAAATAACTTACTTCACCCCCGCCCTCTCCAACATCTTCTCCCTCTCCATAACACTCTCTCCAAACCGTACCAAAAACACTGTCCGGCTTGGCCACATCTCACTCCCCTGGTTATGAGCTGATACTTTCGCCTCAAATCCACATCCATCGCAGACCCCTTCAATAATCCCGGCTACATACGCCGCACAATTCAGCATGTTCATCTCACGCGGCACTGATATGTAGGTGTTGACGAGGGGGTCATTGTCTGTGATCATGTATTCATTTGGGGTGGCTGGGGAGACGGAATGTTCCAAAGCATCCGCTGGACGGGAGAATAGAAGTCGCCAGAGGGGGCCGTGTATTAGGTGCAGGAGAGGGAGGATGCGAAGGGGTCGGATAGGTTGGGTACCTGATGATGAGGAAGAGGATGTGAGACCGCCGGATGAGGAGCCGGAGAGGGAGCGGTAGAGAAGGAGATCAAGAAGACGGAGACCTAGTGGGTAACCTTGCTCGTTGAGGCTGGGGCATTGCAATCACGAGCGGTTAGAATGACTTCCTTACAGATACGGGGAAAGGTAATGATCCCGTTAATGGGAGGAGAGTATACACCCACCGCCTCTCCAGGTCCTGTATACCTGTGACGCGCCGCTGAGCGTATACGACCATCTCTGAAAAAAGGTAGGCGAAGCTTGCTTTGCTGAGCTCCGAGTTGCGGGTCCGGTTGAGATTTCGGTCATAAATTGTCTTCTTGGTGGAAGGGAGGCGCAACCCTGTAGAGGGCTGCGGTGTGTTTCTTGATCGGAGTTTTTCCTGTGAGTCCCCGAAATTGTTGCTCATGACTGTGCTTATCGAGGAGGCATGTGTGTGCTTGGTGGGAGACGCCATTGTATGGCCGTGGAGGGGAATAGAGCGTTGTCCAGTTGTTCTGGAAAATGGTTACGTAGCGGCTATTGGGAGGTTGCGATTGAAGTCATGACAATGATTGTAAAAATAAATTCATGTTCGGATGACCTTCATTTGTATTTATCTGTTGAGCTGTGGTTAAATGTTCTTCAATCTGTGGATTTCAATACCTCCGCCCAATAAAGCTGGCACTGGAGGTATTACGGTGAGCCATGCAGACACATATGCAGTCCGCCTCCAAATTTCCTCGTACTAGTTGATAACATGACGTCGTCTCCCTGATTAAGCTGGATTGAATAGATGTATACTTGAAATAAATAATTTGAAATTATACTGCCTATATCTCTGTTTAGTTGTTTACCCGACGCTGTTCTGACGTCAGAAATCTAAATCCCGGGGAAGATTTCTTTTTTGAACTCCACCAGAGATTTATTTTACTACTCACCCCTAATGTTGATGTATGATATGATAAAAATAGCAGTTGCCGGCTAGGATTTTGTCAAGACAAAAAAAAAAAAAAAAACTGGGATTACAAAAACTAGAGATGCCTGGTCAAGTTCCGTAAAACTTTTATATCTTTCCTTTGTCGGCATCGCAGCCCTTGCTAGCATCGAAGGCTTTTTGCCTTTGCCTTGAATTCCAATTTAGCGTCCTCGAGATACTCTGTATCCAGTCGTGACTTCGAGACGCGGAAGGGCTCACACAGGCAAAAGGATATCTTGAAGCCGAGATTGTGACGTAGTCCCCTGGACATAATTCCATTCTGTTACCAAGTTAGTCATCTTGGGAGCACGTTTGCTTGCTGGATCCTATTGAAAAAATTTTACTCAAGGGGTTGCTAATCTCACCGTTCGCGCCCATCAAATCCAGCCCACGAGCTAGTTCTGGCGTTGTAGGGCACTCCCACTCTGAGGACGATAGTATCAGGTAATATAATGGGTCGGAAATTAAGAGTATGAGCACATATAGCAGTAAGAAGAATAACGGGGTTTTCAGGATGTGACAGTGAGCCACCAGCTGCGAGGTTGTATGCTGTTGAACCGGTTGGAGTAGCAACGCATACACCGTCTGCCTGTACGGAGGTGAAATGCTCATCGTCACCGAATATTTCGATTGATGACATTGCTAAAGACATAGTTATTCTCTTGCTCTGTGAAAGGAATGAAGGAAAAGTATACCAGGTTTTGGCGAATGGGCTGCTAGGGGTAGGGAGATGCATGCGTACTTGGGTTCGGTCCTCGATCCACGACAACATCATTCAGAATTTGGATCATTTTGTCAGGGTGATGTGTGGTATCATCATCAGATTCCTCTCCGATCAGCTCTTCCACTAAATCCCTTTGTCCTACCTGATTGGGACGCGGCCTGCTCCTCATGATAGTGCATTCGAACCTCAACCTGAGGCTTACAGTGACACCGTCGCGAAAGGCCGTCTCAAGTGTCGATTGGTAGCGCTCAAAGTCGAAGTTGGTGAGAAAACCCAGCGAGCCCAGAGCAAAGGAAAGAACCGGAGGAACGACCTGCTGGAACAACCAGCTCGCATATAAAACCGTGCCGTCACCTCCTAGTGTAACTATAAAATCAAACGTTTGTGGTTTCTTCTTCACAAGACCCAAATCCCAATATTTCAGCCTTCCCTTTGCAGATGCCTCCTCCTCATGCAGTCCCGCAGCGTCAAATTGTTCATCATCTTCTAGTCTCTTCTCAACATATATCGTGTATGGCTGGTCCCGATCTTTTGATAAAAGCCACCGTGTGACCTGTCTTGTCAGAAGCACAAGGCATTGCTCCTGAGGCTTCGTAAGTATGAAAACACTTCTGACATTTAGTTTCATTTTAACGCTCCCTAGCTTTTTGGATAGTGCCCGGACGTTCCACGCCATGTCTGAAAGTTGTCTTTTGGTCAACAAGCGGGACTGTATTACATGAGGCACGTCATCACCTAATTGAGAAAAAGGTGATTTTGTCGTGCCTTTTGTTCCGTTTTCTCCGCTAACTCGTCCGAGCTGGAGTGCTTCAGGTTGTTCGAGAAGGGCATGGACAAAGCATGCAGAATCAATCCGCTGGTCTGCATGGCGACGGGAAAGTCTAGGAGCATCAGCGTCAGCAGAAATAAGGGATGATTTGCGAACATGTCCAGCGTCTTGGTCGAAGACAACCTATAGATCAAGTTGATTAGTGTTTGTAGGCCATCTCCAATGGGGTGCAGGAAGGCGCGCATGCGTTGATGGCGGAAGTTGAGAGTATTTACCTCAAGCCGTGTGGGTAATTCTGAGTCGCTATTGGACTCGATAGGATTCTCCATGGTAAAGCTATCAGACGAACGAATTATGTTGACTTGAAGATGAGCTAGAAATCGAGCTCTGCAAGATGTAGTGGAGACAACCTCTTACATCATCGACGCGCCTACCACAAGCCATGAACTAAATGCTCATACCTGAACCTCCTGTCCCGCTTTGGGTGGAAGGCAGCATCTGACAAGATAAGTATCAGCAATTCTCGGTCAGTCCACTAACATTATCCGGGACTCAGAGCCATATTTCAGATGCTAGTACTAGTATTGTTTGAAGGGATTTGAGCGACTTCAGCTCTCGAGTCAGCACATTTGCCGGGAAGCCCCTGCTGTCTGGCTCTCAGTTTAGTGCATGCAGATGGAATCTTACGCAGTCCAAGGCATTGCTTAACATTAACCCTTTCGTAGTATCTCATGAACGACATATCGAGCCCGCAGGGAGTCATTGTGGCATCCGCTCCTCTCTCCAGCTTCAGCAATATGTCCAAGGCTGGTCTTCCGTGAACGTGGCGTTTCATATATAATTAGCTATTGAAAAACCAACCAGCAATGGCCTCGAGAACCATTGAAAGACTTCCTCCTGAAATTTTAATACACTGCTGTTCTTATCTCAAAGGATCTATCGTGGACATTCAGAACCTCCGCCTCACGTCAAAATGGTTCTGTAACGCCAGTTCGAATTTCCTTTTTGATACACTCAGTATCAGGATCACCACGAAGTCGATATCGACACTGGAAGCAGTATCGAACCATCCTATTTTTCGCAAGTCTATCACAGCCATCAAGCTATGCCTATGTTTCTACGGAGACATCGAAGACCAGCGAGCGAGGATCCGCCTAATAGCAGAGTGTGACCTCCATTTCAATTCCATTGGCTGGACAGTTACAAGAGCTTTTAATTCGAGACAAAGGACGGTGGAGGCAGAACAATTCAATGGAATCCTATTCCGAATCTGTGAAATTAAGCAGGCTCTGAGTGCTCTGAAGTTGGAGGGAGCTGAAACAGTTTCTCCCTCTTTGGACATTGCAACCTTGCGGATGATAGCAAATTCTATTGAAAAATATAAAGCTCAATTTGCTGATCAACAAGTTGCCATTAAGCATGGCACTCATCTAGAAAGGATAGGGGTCGCTTTGTCCAGGTTCCGTCGTGTACTCTCGTTTAAAGTGCTGGGGAACATCGAAACAATAAATAAAAATAATTACAGAAGTTGTTCAATGGCTACGATCTTGGAGTGGCTAAATTCGGATGAGACATGTTCGAACATTATTTTAAATGTGATGGCATCTCGAGGTCAGTACCTGGCGTTTGACATCGAACAAAGATTTGCGCAATCTTTCAAAGGAATTTTCTCTCAGCTTTCCAAGCACAAAATATTCCCTTCCGTCTTTGCCGTCGAATTGGACGCTCCTAAACAAACACAACTTTTTCGACCGAAGAAAGCTGAATGCGATGCTATCAAAAGTGTCGTGCATAAGGCAGAACACTTGTCGTTTGCAGTGCGTTGGTGGTCGCAACAGAACCCTGAGTTTGGTTTCGTCATATCTACAGACCAGCACTATGAGGAGATACAACATTTTGCTAGCTTAACGAAGGCGTTTTTCGATACTGAGACTGTGCGCTCCGTGAATCTGGATATCCGTGATTATTCTCTCCATACAGCTCCACCGCATATCAGTCTGTATCGATTGCTTCCTGATTGCGAGTGGCCACACCTGCAGGCTCTATCACTCGTTGCCGTGCCATTCCATGAACAGGAGCTCCGGAAGACAGTAGATCGTCATCGAAACTCTCTAAAGATACTGGAGATGGACGGCCTGCAGCTACTCAGTGGAAGTTGGAGGGGTGCGCTTCGGATTCTGCGTGAATTGGATAAGTTGGAGGAGGTATCGTGGAGATGGCCGACTGGTGGAGAGCATGGAAACGGTTCCTCTGAGGATGATTTGATATTCCACTTCTCCGAAAAGGACGTTTGCCAATATCTCCTTAAAACAAAGGATACGGAGAACCCACTTGGGTTGGGGAATGTTTGACCGTGTTGTATTAGCGCTGCAGGAAATAGGTTAGAGACACTTGTCCGTCAACAAAATACATGTTCAAGCGAATTTCCGGCTGGTTGGTAAAATGTGGATATCATGGACCCCTTGAGGACGTTATTCAGCAAACTAAAGGAGGATTCTCCCGAGAACGAATACCTAACTACTTCGATAAACAAGGAAGGCCCAGTCATAATGGATGGGCAAATTTTTTTTTTTAGTTCTTCTAAATTTTGGCTCAATCGGCATCTCTTCCTACTCAAAACGGGGGTTTTACGATCGATTCGACCTTTTCACCACTTCTACTCTGTCAAGAGCAGGAGAAGTAGGTGATTGTCGTCCTGTTGTGCTCCTCTGCACTCGTTAAGAGCCCTTGAACTCTCATGCTCAACGGAAGAGCAACCTTGACAGGGAAGTGGCGGATATCGAGTTGTACAGGAGCTGGAAACCAAACAATGGAGATGCGCATACGGGACCTCCTTGCATGGTACTTTGTCTCACCTTGCTCTGAGCCGCTTGGATGCCGCTTGATGCCGCAATTCGCCCTGTGCGATTCATATGCTAATTGCGCAAATTGCTTCTTGTCTGGGAGAACGCGTATTTTTGAATGGGAGGTTCAAGGCTCCAACAAGGTTGCTAGGGGTGGAAAACGATATTCTTACACTGGCAACAAGGTTTGCAAGATGGAGCAGGCTTCAGATGACGACTTATGTTTCATTTTGAACGTCCCTTCAACTCAAAGAGTTTGAAATCCTTGGGTTGCTACTCTCATTTTCCCCTGCACGGTGCAGATTTAATAAAGCGGAATTTGTGCCGCCGACTACTCGATACATAGTTACTGAAAAATGTCCGAAGTTATTAACCATATTAATTTATCAGTATTTTTTCAAGACCCAAGGTTTTTCTTGTTCCGGTGTTGGGAGAGCGTTTCGTTGCAATGTAAGCTTAAGAGAATATTAATATCGTTTTCATACAACAGGCATTCCCAAATCATAAATGGCGACCTGGATGGAGGGACATAGAGATAGCCGTGATGTAATGAATCATACATAAATGTCATTATTTTCATCTTACTTTCGGATGTCTGCCTTGAATCGCTGGCTTATGCAGGATAGCTGGCCTATCAATCTAATCAACAACCATCTTACTTTACGAAATATTGAAACTCCATATGACGTGAAGCATCGGAAATAACATTCTCGTATGCCTTGGTAGGAAAACAGACCAGCCGTAATTTGTTATGTGCAGGTGTGCTGTATCTGTACGACGGATAAGTTAATATGAGCCGAAGGGCGGAAGAGGCCTGATGATTTTTTTTTTCTTTTTTTTTTTTTTTTCGTTTTGATTTCTTTTGGAGGTACGCAAGCAGGCTGTCAGGCACCTTGGATACATCTCAATTTCTTTTGACAATGAAGGGCGTCCAGTGGCAAAGTGGACGCCCATCTTTTCTCTTTTTTAATCTGACAAATAGGGGAGCGAACACCGAGTTGGACAAAGAGAGAGCTCCTGGACTAGTGCGGGTCTATTTTAAACCTCTGATTCAAAGTAGGGAATGAAGGCCGCTGGCTCAAAATCAATCCGCGGAAGGTAATTTCTGTAGCTGCTGAAACGGGTACTGTCAAGGAATAAATGGGCAGATGGAGGGGTGGATGGACATGGAGGTAGCAGGTAAGTGAAAGCGGAAATTTTCGTCTCCACAGGTGTGAACGAAGGAAGGGGTGGACAGAAAGGCCCTCTGACGTCGTAGCATGAAAGCAGCGAAGGATGCCTGAAAAATTACCAGCAAAACAGGGTTTTATTTTTGTCGTTCCTGTAAGTGGGGCTCTGTGGTAAAAGCATCAACTGGGGCCGATAATGGTTGCAAGAGAAAAGTAGAGGGGCTTATTGGCTTTTGAGGACGAAGACAATTTTGTCAATAAGCGAAGCCACACGTGGAGTTACAAGGGATATTTCCACTCATGTAGACAGCTCTTTCTGAGAGTTCTCAAGGTTCAGTTGGTCAGTAACAGGATGTGCGAGTTGAATTGGAAGTTACATCAGTCTCGATATCTGGGGGCTGTTCCCATTTGGTCCAATATTTCCTTCCACCTCCCTCAGGTGTCAGTTATATTTATGCATGAGCGTGTATTTTCAACAATATGCAAGTAAGCATGGAAGTTGTTGGTACCTGTCAGATCGGTCTCGACAGAAGCTATTTTGCATCGATATTAGCATTACATGTAACCTCAGAAGATGACGGAGGTATAGTGCATGAAGAGACTTGTTTGTTCATGCATCACACGAGGAGTACAGATGGGCTCAGGCTTCCAGACATCGTTTACAGGGTTCTATCAAAAAAGAGTGCGCAGTCGACATATTCCTGCAAATACAGCTGGATCAGTTCACGATAATTCTGTGGACGTGCTTCAACTATCGGTAACAGTGACTTCTATGTGGACCGTATCATCGGGGTTTTATCCAGAGGATGCATCCATGGCCTTACCTTTTCAAGATCATCGGACAATAGAGTTGGTGAGGCTGATGGGTCATATTCGGAGAAGATCATGAGCGGCATGCAAGGTGAATGAGGCAAGTTCCTTTGGGGATGGGAGATATGCATGAGCAAACTTATTACGTTGTCGATCTCTAACCTGGACACAACATTAAGGGGTCCTCAGGAGGGAACATTCCGAGAACAGCCGGGGTCTTAATGGAGAAGGTTGAGCGAAGGAAGTCTTGTCAATCACTGAGTGCTTCAAGCTTGGTTGAGAAAAAGGACCTGCCAGGCTCGAAAGTCAGATAGATCTACACCGCGTAGTTCCGAGATTGAACGCTGTGGTTTAGTCAGCCTCTTGCCGCATCGCTCTGTTATGAGACTTTAGAAGAAGTATGCATCCATGCTGTTGCTTGAACCCTGCACATTCCAGACGACATTCTAAGAAGCCTGAGCATCAGTTGTTTTTGTATTCCTGCTCCAACACGGCAGGGGCAGGAGTTGCGGAGCCTCTACAGGTATGTTGTGAGCAAATTAGTGGAGTGGTGTGCCCATGTCTGCGATGCCGTGTGTTAAGCCAGTTTTTGAAGTAAACATTCAAAAATTACTGCGTACACCGCCTTTGGGGAGGGGAAAGAGAAAAGAAACGAAAGGAAAAAGAAAGCAAAATGAGCCTGGGAACAAGCAGTCGTTGGCTTTGGCACATGTCCTCTGATGCGGCGAAAGTTTGATGTGGAAGACACATGTCTCGTGCTGCTTGCAGGCTTGTCACCCTTCTGCTTGGTCATGTTGAATGCTAGTGAGTGAGTAGCTAGGCGCTATCTGAGCAGAGTATGGCCCCTGTCAGAGCCATGTAAGTGGTGGGGGTTAGATCATCCCTCATCATCAACCGAATTTTTATGTAAATCACTCGCTTGAGACAAAGAATCCTTGCCCCTCACTCTGACCTAGAAAATTGGTGGCATTGAGGCAAGGGCATTTACGGCAGCGGACTGGGTGAAAACCATGTCCATGGAAAACCCTTGACAATGTTGCGATGACCGATTACGAAAAATAATGGATTTCCGTCGGCTGGTCGTGATGTTTATCCTGGCCAAACAAAATGTGTGCGCAGTATGCCCTATTTCCTCTCTTGGCCCTCCGGCGTTGTCTGTGTGTGGAAGTGGAGTTGCATAAAATATGTCCATCGCGGTCCAATTTTACAGTGCCCATGTTTTGAGGGGATTTTCGTAACGTAGTTTCTTTTTTATCCCCACAGTCCACACAGAATCAAATGAATCGGCTCGCCAAACCCAAGGTATCGTGATAATGGCTAGGGATGCTCTCTTTGCATCACGACATTTCGTGCATCACAACCGAGAATTATTGAAGTAGTGGCGTCGGAAACATATACCATTTACACAGGATGTGACAGTTTTCAGTTCATGAAATAAGTCAGATTTTTCTATTGAAAATCTTGCCGCCTAGAATTCTGGTGGACCATGAATGCGTATGCAAGTTGCGCACGACTCGCTCGGAAAACTCGCATTTCCAGTGCTGGACCGCTGGACTGGGTCATGGGCCTATCGCTTCATCGCATAAAAGGTAAAAGTCGAGAACTCGGGTTTTCAGCACGGTGCTTCCAAGGTATCTTCCGTAATAAATGTGGAGCACGCAGTGGTTCGGTAACCGCTCGATGTGACGAAGACCAAGAAAAATACCGGCCCATGCGGCCCATTTCAATATGCAAAGCTAATAAGGTTGGGCTGGGATACCAGCTTCCAACTTCGGCCAAGGTTGCAAAGATTTTGATCAGGTTTGGTTTGGTTAACTCGGATGATAGCAGTTGTAACTTGCGGGTTTCCCGTCTCACCTTTCTGGAGGGCACCATCTGTGATAGGACAAAGAACAATTTTCGAGCTCCATTAAACTGCTGCCAGCAGGTGGGAATCGTTAGTTACCGACGGCATGTCCTCTGGATTTTTGATTTTGGGGGTTTAGATTGGTTCATCCCCACTCCTACCAGCATAGCGCTGGTGGTGATCAAGCTCTTTTGCCCCAGTGGCCTAACATTTGAGCCTTGTGACAACAGTATTGTTGTGAGCCAATAATAATGAAGTTGGTGCTGACATCTGGTCGATTAGTCTTGTTTGAGGTCTGAAACTCTTGAAATTTGTGATTGGCTCCGCTCGCTATTCTCATTACTGCTGGGCAGAGCCAATTTCTCACGAGGGAGGAAAATGGACTGTGCGCCGGTGATGTAGCTGATTGATCTAGAAGTCTGTGTTGGAGGGATTGGATTGGATGGTTCAACCCCCTATCGGTTGGCGCTGGTGGGAACTGAGCGCTTTTGCCCCAGGAGCCTTGAGGCTGGGAATCTTTGCGTTTAGCGCGTTAGATACTCCCTCAGTTAGCATGACACATGCAATCTCACACTCCTCCTCATCACCCTCAATCTTCATCAACTTGCTTAATTTGGAAATGAGCATTTGGGTTTGGTGTGTGGTTCAAAAATTCATCCCTTGGCTAGCGCTCACGGGGATCAGATGAAAAACAAAAAACTAGGAGCCAAGAGCGACAACTGGTCGTATCGATAATACTACGGAGTATGGAGGAACGAATGCCGAAGGTGTTCACTTATGTTGATCAGTTGTAATTATCAATTAGAGGCAGCCAAGTCCTCGACACATTCGGATTCCACTTCAGCGATGGCACCAAACGCTGTAGGTGGAGGATTGGCGGTGCCAGCCTCATCGAGTCATAGTTTCCATGGCCAACATTTGGCAATGCTGCTTGATGCGCCCACCAAGCCCAATTTGAGGGTTACATGTTACCAAAGTAAGGTCAAGGCTGATTTACGGACACGTCCCAGAATTGAGCTCCTTGTTTGCATGATGGAGGTTGCTTGTTTACCTGTCTCAAGAATTCAAATCCGGGGCTGTGTGAGGAGACTCCGGCAAAACCCAGTTTGATTAACCAGTCCAAGCGGGGTCCACCCGCATTGTGGCGTGTCGATACGCCTATCGAAAGGTTCCGTGGACTGAAGTAAAACAGTGGATCGTTTTTAGGTCCAGATCTCTGGACAAGGTTAGGCAGTACTGGATAATCGTCATGATTCCATAAAACAATCAATTTGGCTGCCAATCAGCACCCATCTGGTGGTCCCATCACAGCAATGGATGCAAATGATATAAATAGTGCATAAATTCAAAATTATCAGGTTGGATTTCTAATGGTCCTGCTGATGAGTCATGATACTGCAGAAAACCCAAGGGCGAAGGGTTTCTTCACATTATTGCCATGACATGTCGAGCTTCCTGGACCCAGCTGTCCAAAAAAAAAAAAAAAAATATCATCATAATTTTCAAATCACAAGCTGAAAGTCGGTCTCCATCCGTTTGACAATACATTCCTGAGCCGTACTTGCCATGATTGGCGACATGCTTTGGGGGACGCTCCAGGAAAGGCGTTTCAAAATGGCTTGAGATGATCCACCAGTGTAGGCGAATTTTTTCTTCAGCCTGCGATGAGGGCAAGAACATTTCATACCTCGAGTACATCACAAGATGCCCTTCTTGGCAACTAGGCTCGAATTGCAAATTGGGAAAATTCCAGTGCCCACCATTACTGGCCAATGACTGGGTGCTGGTAACCGTGGTACATGAACAGACAAACGGCGCTGAATTGCACCGAAAGGAGGGGACAAAATGTATTTTATTTTGTTATACGCAGTAACTGGGCGACTTGCTGACTCCGCAGCGCTCCGCAGCGCCCGAGCTCATACCGAAAGAATACCTTCCGACTGGGCTTCCCTGGTCGAGACGAAAACCCCTGAATATCGGTTGCAACTGGCTGTTCTTCCTAGCAACGTTTGGCCAAACCTCTAGTTTACTGCGTAAAGGGCTCCAGCCACCGCATCGCCAAAATGTGCCAGTGGCGGGTGGCTAACAGAATCCTATTCTCTAGTATTTACGGTGTGGATTCCTGCTGTGGAGCTGTGGAACGAAACCTTTGCACACGACACAAATTTCAAGGAACAAATAATGTAACAGGAGGCTGCAATGTTGGGCTGGCTGGAGCCTATGATCGGGCATTATATTGGTGTGATCAACTGAGTTCTAGGTATAATGACAGTGTTCGGCCCTAAATCGCCCCTAAATTATAATCCCCATTAAGTATCACTTTACCACTAATCCATTAGCCTAGGTGCAATTAATGGTCCATCAACGGACCATCGTACCGTAATTGTCACGAAACTTTGCCTTGGATTGTTGCTGTTCCAGAAATAGACCCACCCGAGAGGTCCTTCGTAGTTCGCCAACAACTCTCTCAACTCTCTCACCGTTCTTATGCAGTCATAGATTCATTGATGGAGCATCACTCGAGTTCAAACCTTGATCTCGATCAGTTCCGGCATATCTGAGGATTCGCTGCGAGCCGGTTTGCGAAGACTTGAATCTGATGAAGAGCCAGTCTAGTTGGAGATTGTTTGTCTTTGATCAATGAGTACTGTAATAAGTTATCGCCATGCGAGGTTTGCATAATTTCCCAGAAAAAACTTCGTTGCTCAGGGCTCTCTTGACCGCCCCGACTCACCCCTTGAATCCAGAACAGGGTTTGATCGATGATATTCTTTCATAGGGCCACATCTTCCCTGCCATTTTAAGACCATGTGCGGCCCCTATCATGAAGCCAAGAGTCAGATAGGTCAGCCAAAACCTTCTGGTCAATTGGAAGTTAGTAACGACGCGTTATCTTTGCGTAGAAAGTTTGCAGGTATCTCTCATATCGCTCCCAATTAGCTCTATTATTGGTTGCTTTTTGGCTTTTTTTTTTCTTTTTTCTTTTTTCTTTCTCCCCACTGTTGCCGCATTCCTGTGACTTCACGGGCCAGTAGTGGGGACAGGTTCGAATATCCAACATGTTGAATTAGAAAGCTGTGGCACAGGTTTGGTAACATGCTCCTGAGCACCGAGGAACCAAAGAGAGATGCACCGTAATCTGGGTGAATGACACCGTGAGTTTTGAGCAGATGATTATGTGCTTGGATTCAGACGAGCCATTCCTTGGTCCTTCCCTAGTTAGCAAGCCGAGGTGTTCGTTGGAGTAAGCCAACCGCATTTCTCAATTATCTAGTTACCTAGTGCGGAGTTCCCTGTATTACTTGTGTTGGATGTTTTGGAAACCCTAACACAGACATTATTTTTTGTTCTTTTGCAATGGCTGCTCCACTCTTGAATTCCGAGACCAGTAACGAAATAGGGAAAGGTGCTGTGCAAGAGGCTAAATCCGCATGCAACAATGGCATCATGTATGTATGATGTCTGCAAACACGGAACATTTCTGGCGCGTCAACAACCCCTGTTCCATGACCAGGGCCCATCGACTCAAGTAAGTTTTAGTGGCTCCGAATGCAGCGTCCAAGTTCTGCGCGGAATGCTTACAAGGAAGACGTGGGTGATGGCTTGTGGCCCCGGACCACTTCTCGCTAATCCATTGAATTGATATTCAGGGTACCCCAAACGCGAAACTTCGTGTGCTCGGCTGCTAAATAATACCACCTTCGCTTTTGTTTTTTGTCTCCTGAACCTTTTTTTTGCGGATTTGACTATCTTGGGACCACCAACAGCTCGGCTGTTTTAGACCCATCACCTTCATGTCATTTCCCCTGCTTCCAAGGGCCTTGCCCTACCATGGCGGATGTCGGGGTTCTGACGACACTGTCCTCAAACCGCCCAGATCTCTGGTATCAGAAACGGACCATTTATTCACTTCCTTATTATTTGACATGAGAATCCCATCTGTAAACTTGCACAGCTAGTGGTTTTCGATTCACCTCCTAGGCTGGTTCCCCATTACATGTGCATTCCTCGAACCCCGAAATCACGGCTTACATACTGACCTTGTAGCCTTTTAATATTCAACTTGATCCCACATATTTTCTTTCGTCCATTCTTTCAAGTCGAAATTAAATTTCTAATGAATGATAGTCTTTCATCATGGCTGATAACTGTTGGTACCGGCCCTCATTTGTGGGCTCAGCGAGTAATGTCCCATTCTTCACTACCTTCCAGGGTGGCCCGACTTCACAACGACGAATTCACCATCGCATAGTTAAAACTACAAGTGCTGATAATAGCCCTAGCCGGATTGGAAAGCGAGATATGATGTTCAACCATTGTCATGGGCAGCGTCGTGTTGTTCGAAATAGTATGCGTGAACTGTCTTTCCATTCTGCTCTACTGGGGGCCGTCCCAAGCGAAAGCCCAGCAAATTCGTTACCTTCTCCGACGCGTTCAAATGTTACATATCCCGGTATTCGACCACCGTCCACATGCCAGGATGGAACATATGAGCACAAGGAAATGCTTATGTCGCCTGCATATATGAACAACAATGGATTATACACTCAAGAATACGCTACAAATCACTATGGCCGTCCAATACATCCTCAAATGGAATTCCCACACTACCAACTGGATGTTTCTCATCGTAACTCTCTATATATCATGGAATCGCTCTCTTCAGACCCGCCTACAACAAACTACTTACTCTCTTCAACTTGCTACAGTATGCCGTTGGCAAATGATTTGGCGAGTATCTCGACAGCTCCAACCGCTCTCTCGACACCGGACAATCCTCCCACCCACCACCATGATAGTGAACCTGAAACTCCACCCTTAGTTCCGGATAGGGATGAACCTGGCGAAGAACTCGTCGGTGTGGGATTATACGATAAGCCTGAAGAACTACCTCAGTGGGATTATTCAATGGACAATTATTTGAGACTGGGAAACGACACAGAGTCTCGAATATCGCTAAAAACCTCTGGGGGCAAGGGACTGAAATTGGAGGAAACGTTTGACCCTGATGCCGTTGAGTCTTTGCAAGATGACGATGACAGCGATGACGAAGAGAGCCGAGATAAATCCGACATGGCGAACGACCAAGGAAATGGTGATGACGATGACTGCATCCGAAGAAGAGCAAACCAAGAGCAAGATGAAATATCAACGCCAGAGGATCCCAAGCTCCGGGTCGAGCAGAAAATGCAAGCATTCTACAGCCCCTTTGAAACGTCTTCTTACCTTCAACAAAATGAGCCGTGGGTTTTATCTTCTCAACAACATGATCCAGAGAGTAGCCCTATCTATCATCTAGATATGGCCGGCAGGTCGTTTTACTTCCAAGATGAACAGGACTCAGATTTCGTTATTACAAAGTCGAACCAACAGTCCATGACTTTCCCCTCTCATTTGTTTGGACCGTCTTACACTGGTTCTGTGTATGGCTGAATTGGCGGAAGAAAATTTTAGATCCTTGTGTCTTTTTGAATCTATTATTTTCTAGGCGTGGTGTTATTTTTGAGCGTCATTTTGCATAGCGTGGACAAAGCGTATCATTCTGCTAGAAATTTTTGACCCTTAAAATGGAATCGTGCAACATTAGCCCTCGAGTGCTCGTTTAGCGCTCGATTTTAGAATGTAGAGAATACATTGTCTTTGAGCAACTGTGTGCATCATTATCATTCAGCATTTTGACATTATGAAATGTAGCAATCTCATTTACTCTCTACGCTGATTGGCTCCACTGCCAAACAAGCATTTAGGCTCGCTTTAGTTCAAACTCTAATTTCGCCTCATTTGCAAACCTTCGCATCACACATCACGAAGATTTCAGCAAGCACCGATAAATATACAATCACAACCAATGTTACTGTTTTAACGACTGGTGAACAAAGGGGCAAGTTAGCTCTGCTTTTGGCTTATCTACAGTAGGTTCAACTTACGTGGCTAATTCCTATTTGTTCCGCTATGATTTCAGACCAGTAACGTCAGATAGTCATCGATGGGAATTTAGGTTGATTGCGCCTTTTGGGACACCATTCTTCTTTTTGAATCTACCAAGAACCCATGAACAACTTGTTGTGACTTACTCATCTTAGCCCGGCACCCTACGAGCATCCAGTTTCTTCTTCCTGGCACCGAAATACTATCCAAGACCCGTCCAAACCGATTACAGTTGCACTGTACAAAATTACGTTTCTCAACCGTTCCATTCGTCCCACATACCTGCGGGTTTGCTTTATTTGCGTACCTTTTCTTTTGCGCCTAGTCTTCTGTCAAACGGTGCCGTAAACCAACATGCCACGACTTCAGTTTACTCCATGGAAAGAGCTGTCTGAACTATTATCCATCCGCAGCAAATTTTACCCCTCGATGACCACAGATGGGGAACCTGCAGATATGCGTGCAAGAGCATGCTCTACAGTATGTTTATAATTTCAAATGCAAATTGATTTGTTTTCCCTCTCATTTTCATCCAATGTTAACCTGCGGCCCCCTACGTTCCTCCACCAGGTCTGGGTTTGGAAATTGCGCGGGAACCTGCCGCATGCAGTAGAGGCGACCGCATTATTAACTGATGCTATACTACATGATGATGATGCAAGAAAGCATTCTATCTTTTCCATTCGAGCAACTTACTCGGCAGCTTTTTGCAGGTAAGATGGCTATCGCTTTCCACTCCCTTTAAAACTTTGTTTTAGTTTCAGCAAACGAACAAACGAACAAAATATATATATATATATCTATATTAACTCTCAGCGATTCCCTTCTTGGCAATTTAGCCGTTTGCCCCCACAAGTTCACGGGTTACTTACTCTTTGCAACGCAGATTTGTAACCGGACTAGTTGACTCGAAGTTGTACGGGAGGAAACAGACTATGTTCCAAAGGGCAATGGAACTCGGCCTACCAGCTTCATTTGTGGAACTGCGCCACGAGGCAACACATAGGGAGTTACCCGCTCTTACTGTGCTTCGAAATGCAGCTCACCGGTCCCTGGAATGGCTTTGGGAGTTTTATTGGGCCGGGTTAGGGGATATCGAGGTTGCCGATGCGGGCATGGACGTTCAAGAGCCAAATGGCGTATTTCCATTCACGAAAAATGAAATCCAAAGGACATTGAAAAACGCGGTCCTTGGCGAGAACAGCCTCAGTGAAAGTTATGCGACAAGAGGTTCCCGAAAATCGGAATCGTTTCCGGGATTAAAAAATGTCGCTCTGATTTGCAGATATCGGCAGGGAGAACTGACTGTCTCCAAAACGCTTTTGGAGCACGGTATTTTGGTTCCAGTTGGCAGAACGTCAGTATATTAACACCTTCACGGAAAAGAAGCCGTCTTTGCTAATTCTTATTCCAGTCTTGGAAGTTCCATGGAAAGTGCATTCTCGACATGGGATACATTTTTAAAAGAGCTATGTCAACAGCAGCCAACATTTCTAACCACACTAAGCGATGAGTTAGTTCGTGTCCTTGCCGATAAGGATAACACTGCTATGGAGGAAGACCCATATAGCGAGGCGATTTATTTATGGTTGGACCACCTCTTAAACTCGAGTACGTGGGCTACGCCCAGGAGACTATACCTCTCAACATGTCACCTTGACGCAGCCTGTCACAATGCTACCGGGTATTGGGCCCGCCATCTCAGATCTTTGATTAACCGATATTCACATAAACTGGATATAAACACGTCCAAGATAGGCAACGGGTATGGTGCCTCAGAATTTGACACGGATGTTAGGGCAGTCGCACTAGGCCTTGAGGACCCTGCAGATGTGGACGCGGACTTGGACTCGAACTTGCTGCGGAATTACGGATGGGATGTAAACGGAAACTGGAAGTACAAACCTATAGGTGTTGTTTAGAAAACGTACATAATGTACTAGTATCCATCATTAGGATCCTGTGATACTACGCAGTATGCATATGAACCTTACTCCCCAGGACACTGGTCAAACCAAGCGGTTGGCTAGGATGTTCGAGGGGCCAATGCTACAGAAAATTTCAATTTTCTTAGGTGGAAAAATTTTCGTCGGTGGTATTTAATATACAAATGTAGTAATATAGACGATAAAAAATTGTATGCAATGCAGAATAGGGGCGTGTTGGCTCGGGGCAAGAATAGCCCCGGATCGGGTCGGAATGCCTGGCTTGGCTCAACGTAATTCCTCCCCCATCATTCCCCTCACGATTACCAATGTTTAGAAATAACAACAACTCTCCCACATCACACCGAATGGGATAGAGATCCCAATAACTCATGATCGCAGGCAGGACTTTCAGTCGGTTGGCAACACCCGGTATATCGGTATTCAAACGCAAAATGCATATTGAATCTATTCCCATGTGTAAGTTCAGCCCGAAACTCTCTCTTGCCGCTGCTCATAGACCCAAGGAGCTAAAGTATATATAAACCAACAGGGACGGGAACGGGCAATAATTATGCCTATCTAATATCCGATGAAGTGTCAAAGGATGCGATGATCGTGGACCCTGCACATCCTCCAGAGTATGCGACTTTCCTTGACGCCTGGAAAGCAGCTTTTTCGCTCATCAGGCACTGACCAATTTCCATTGCATAGGGTCATTCCTACTCTTAAATCCCATATTGATAGCGGCAAAATCAATCTCAAAGCAATTATAAATACGCATCAGTTAGTAATCCAAATCCTTCCCTTTAATAATGCGGACCTTCGAGTAAACTAAACTCTCTCCAGTCACCCTGACCATGCCGGTGGCAATGAGAGGATTGTGCGTTTCATTCGACGTTAATGGCAAGCATGATAAATTTTGTATATTTTCTGCTAAAGTGCTTACTCTTCTCTGTGTATACAGCTCGAGCAATTCGGCAAGCTGCCCATCATTGGGGGTAGAGATTGCTTGTCCGTCACCAAGACTCCCAAACACGGGGAAACGTTCAAAATAGGAGAACGCGTTCAAGTGACTGCTCTGCATACGCCATGTCACACCCAGGATAGCATCTGCTATTTTGCGGAAGACGGTGACCAACGAGTTGTATTTACAGGAGATACGCTTTTCATTGGAGGTATGTGACTACGACGCTAGCCTAATATTTGTTGTTTCGAATAGAGTGCAGACCAGATACATCTTGACAACGGCCCAACCGATATCGAGTGGATGTATTCTAAAACTAATAGAACAATATCCTGACAGGATGCGGCCGATTCTTTGAGGGAACTGCTGAACAAATGAATAATGCCCTGAATCATATTCTTGCTGGGCTTCCAGACGATACCAAGGTCTATGTATGTTCATCCCATTATTTTTAAGTCAAAGTAAGCTATAAAGAAGCATAGGAGTGACTTACCTACGCTTTTGCAGCCCGGCCATGAATACACAAAGCAGAACGTGGAATTCTGCCTCGAAATATCTCAATCAGAACCAATCAAAAAGCTACAAGCGTTCGTAGAGAAACATAAAGAAACCCAGGGTAAATTCAACATTGGCGATGAGAAGGTACGGAATGTCTCCTCCCTTGTGTTTTTGTGTTTTTGTTTTGACTTCCTTGAATGCGTCTCTCGCAGCCACACTATATTCATCCTTCATGAACTGGTAAAACCCCAAGGGAAACCCAACTAATTGCGTCTATCTGGCCAACAGCTACATAATGTATTCATGAGGGTCAACGTAAGCCAACCTCGCCCATCTATTCCTCATCCGATTTATGGGGAAGTGCCCATCCTGTCACTATTTGCGCAACTAACTCTCACAAAGGATCCGGAAATCCAAAAAGCTACGAAGAAAACTAATCCGGTCGATGTTATGCATGCGCTGCGGGAGATGAAAAATAATATACCATCAAAGCCAGCGGTTCAAAAAATATAGCTGGTGGCGATTGTGGACTTGAACACTCTTGACAGACCGCTCACTTCTTTGCTTTTCCTGTTGTTGCATCGGTATATAATGAAAGGGTGAAGTACAATACATATATTACGTTGGTCAGGGCAATCCATACTTTTTGAGTCATTCTGTAATAACATAAAATATCAGCATGGCAATGTATTAAGCTTTCGTTTCTTCGGGCTTTGCTTTTTTTTTTTCCTTTTTCCTGGGACGGGAAAAGAGCAGGAGGGTTATAATATACGGCTCGAGGACAGGGAATAAGAACGCTAAATTGCGAATATACATAATTCGATCGATAACAGCAATGCCTTGAGGATCATAGAAGAACAATATCTTGAAAAAATCGACATACTAAATATTGAAAGAAAACCTATTTCAATAATCATTTGTCTCAAGATTTCGGCCCGGTCAACAAAATTGGTTCACATCTACATGCCCACTTATGTCTACACTCTAGATGCAACTCGTTGCGTCGGGGCCAACCGCTACCGTACAATGGTGAACGAGGGTAAGTACTAGTTAAGAGGAAAGCGTTTGGGAAAATCAAGCGGTGGTTGTGCGGTGTCTAACCATGTCGTATTGACCCTAGACACGAGACAATGTATCATCTATGACTCTCCTAAGCCTGGAACCCGTCTTGCCGACATCGAGTATTTTCATTTAACCAAAGCTCTTCGAAAAGCTGCCGGAGCACGAACAAATCCTCTGGAAAGTAGAGGGAAAACGAAATTGAAGGAAAACTATAAATAGAAATTTGGGGACAATCTCGATGAGAACTTGGAGGAGAGGAAGGATTTTAGTAAAGGCTTTTATATTTTATCCGAGTATGTTTTTCTTCCGACACCGCTCTCTCGCTTCCTGAACTTAGATTCGTTGCTTGTTCTTGGATAGCAGTTAAACCTGACCGTTTTCATGCGTTTAGATGCCAATTCAAAGGTGAAGATATAATGCCGCAACATAGCATCTCAAGGCAGCCAAACGATAGTTATGTTGATCTCACCAACAGACCTTTACTTAGAGATAATCAGACAAAGAGAGAATGCTTGCCATTCAATTCAAGGCTTTCTGGAACTGGAAAATAATGACAGCATCGAATAAAAGAATGATAGAAAAACATGTATTTGTCTTGATCAAAAAGGAATGTCTCCCACCCACACCTCTTGAACCTTCTCACCATCCATACTGAAATGGATCAGAAGTTAAGATAGATGTTCGGGGATATCTCAGCCATTCTTCATAGCATGTAAAGGAGACGTATAGTTATGATTTTGCTTCACTGTCCACACTCACTCGTCTAAGGTTGGAAACGGCAAGCTCTAGCATTTTTAGAAGCGTTCTTGGATCACGGGAGGGACAATTATTCAAGTGGCTAAAACTCATTGTTAAGAGTTTTTAAAGGGTCTAATTCCTTTAGATCAGGCAGTGAATAGTTGATACTGGGAGGAAAATCACCCCTAATTATATGGCATTCAATACGAGTATGCAGCTCCAAGGCTACTAAGGGTATGACTTAGAGGAATTGTCGGCCGGTATGAGAAATGGTGTGAAATTGTTGTCATTTTATCTCGATTCTGGCATATATATGTGAATCAGTGTTCATATAAATGCGACATGGACTTGGAATTAGCTTCAATCGCGGGTTGTTTTCACGAGAACTAAAAGCAAAAAGAAGCAGAAGCAAGAACAAATGCAAGAAAATTTCTAAATTGAATTTTGGTTCTAAATGTTGTGCGGAAAAGGAAAAAGCATTTACCCACCAATTATCACGTGATTAACTCCATCAACCTTGGAAAGCTTTCCGGCTTCGAGTGTTCATTTCAACAACTTAGGACGCGAGCAAGCCACCAAAGAACGCCCTGATGAATGGCCGCACACTGACCGCCCTGAAACAGCGGACGGTCCCTACCGTCCTAGCTGCGGTGGCTATCACCGGCGGCTGGAAACTCTTCAATGAGCACTGCTATTCATACCAGGCGTGCTCCGGCCCCTCCATGTACCCATCCATAAATTTCCGGGGTGAATGGCTCCTCGTGTCCAAGTTCCACAAGCACGGGAAAGGGGTCGAGGTGGGGGATCTCGTCATGTTCAAGAATCCACTTTTTCGAGGACGGACGGCGACCAAGCGGGTTCTGGGAATGCCTGGTGATTTTGTGCTGAAGAATGCGCCATCAGTCGGCGATGATGCGACTGGGGATGAGGATGCGGAGATGATAAGGGTTAGAAGCTGTTTCTTTCTCCTTTACCTTTCCCCATCTTATCCAAAACATCGTTTCTTGGATAAACTGAACTCTTCTTCACTGACTTGACAGTGTACTTTACTGTAGGTGCCAGAAGGCCATATCTGGGTTATTGGCGATAATTTGCCCTGGTCAAGGGACTCGAGATTCCACGGACCACTCCCATTGGGGCTAGTAATGGGTAAAGTCATTGCAAAGGGAAAAGCCACTTCGTTTCCTAGGTGGGTGCGGAATACATTAGAGCCTGCCAAATTTTCCGACGACTGAGAGAAAGTACGTGTATAAATCTGGAGTTATTGTGATTTGGTTCCCAAGCCTCCCAGAAATGGAGTTGGCACTATGGCCGGCTTGTTTTCCCCCTATTTTGTGTGTATGAATAAAACTTAACTATACTGTAAAGCTCTAATGTACAATATATTGTAACAATTCCTATGAAATATGCCAGAAATGGAAACGAAGGCCGCCCGAGTCTATCTAAATGAGGAAGGGTTCCTCCTCTTGTACGGTAGTGGCTCAATTCTCTTTCTGCGGAACTCAATCTCGGCTCCTGGAATACCAAACTCCTTCATGACGGATTCTGTGTTTTCATCCCATTTGCTTCTGAAAAGATGCACCCCAATTGGTTTGAGCTGGTGTCGCGTCTGGAGGCTTCGTAGACGGAAGTCGTCCCGTTGCACTTTCTCTGCCACCTGTTTCAAGTCCAGGGCGGCTTGATCTTTTTGCTCTAGAATAACGATAGAGAGCCGATGGTACGGACTTCCTTTCTGAGCATACGGTGGAAGCCAAGGGAAGATAACTTGGTTGTCCGTTGACAGTTTGTCCAAGGAAATCCTTGACTCAGTCGGGGAGATAGGCACGTTAATTGCCAGGAAATGACAACGGAAACCGAAAGAGTCGTGTTCAGGATCAGGAACATCCAAATCCACAACGGCGACGGTCAACAGTTTCTCACCATGCTCAAAGGTCTGGACGTTTAGTTTCGCCGGCATCGAACTGACTCGAGAATCTACAAATTCCCCAGGAGGTATTGCTCGTCTTCCGAAAGCCAATTTCACATCGACAATGGGATCCAGGTGGGGGAGGACATCTGGGATCACTTTCATCTGGGTTATACGCTGAACGATGATCTTCCGTCTATATTCCCTCCATTTTTGATCAGCAAGGTATCGATAAATCGGCCGATTCATGTTACCTGGTTGATCGATCATTAGTTTCCGTTGTAGAATTACAGGACTTCCACCGTTCAAACATACCTAGGCCATCTTCAAATCGTTTTTTAATCACGGGGTCATTAATATCTGCCAGGATTTTCAGGTGCTCCAAGTGCTTCTCCATGCTCCTCAAGCGATTATTCTTTCGAAGTTCACCTCCCACAGTTGAAGGGTCGGCAGCACGTAGTCTCGCTATCCGACCGCGCTCCGTTTCTATTTGTTTGAGTTTTTCCTCCCTGTCCTCTAACAAAACCTTGCGGGCCTCCTGGAAACATTGGTATGGCAAGAGTTCGAAGGGGATATTGGGAGAGTCTTGGAGGGCTGCACGACGTCGACGGGACCCAATTGGGTGATTACCGGCTCGTACAAGCCTTCTCTCCAATCGGGGACTAGTTACCAGCGCCGGATCAGGAGCTCTGTAGAAGGGCTGGCTTCGAGGAGTTTCTGATTGAGCCTCATCTTTCGTGATGGGTGTGGATGAGAAGGCACGGACAGCGGTGAAGTGGGTTACGAGAAGTGCTTTGCCGTATGTGTGTCGTAGACATTGGAGCAGCGGCCTCGATGCAAGCTCGCAATGCGTCATTATGAGGTTCTGTTTGTAGCGCTTAACTTGGTCGTTGTGATGGCGACGGAGGTGTTCTTCGTTTTGTTGTTGAGTGAGCGGCCAAACTTTTTCTCATAAATATTTAACTGGGGCCACTAGCGCCAAATCGGGCTGATCCAAAAATCTGCAAAGGCCATTCACATCCAACCCCGTTTCTTCCGCCTTCAGTCATCCAAGTTACCCCCAACAGGAACTCCACTGTTCGAGCTGCGTGGGATACCGTTCTTGTGATGTCTGGGAGCAAGTCGCTGGGAACATTGAGGTGGCTCAGGCGCAACTACAATGGGTTCGTCGGCAGCCTCGCCCCGCCAATTGTATGATTAAATCTAAAGCCCCATTCATATTTCTGTTAATCAGGCTAATCTAGTGAGCAGCAGCGCGTCCCCCAAAGCATATCACGGTCTGTGACTACAGAGACGGAGATTCCAGATGTTTCTCCCTTGACTACTTTCGCAGATGCGCATGTTGCCGGCCAATCCTTGAATCCCGATCATTTTCCAAGCCCGGTATGGAATCCCGCGCCTGCAGTTGCGACCCTCTACGACTTCCCGACCTTGGAGCCCCTTAAATTCCTCGAATACAGCCATCAACACCTTCTTCTACCATTGCGGCGGGACATACTACATCGTGCGATTGTCTACGAAGGCGATAAAACTCGACAGGGGACTGCTAGTACAAAGTGGAGAGACGACGTCCACGGTAGTGGTCGGAAAATACGGCCGCAGAAGGGCACTGGAAGAGCCCGGCTGGGAGATAAAAAGTCACCAATGTTGAGAGGTGGTGGTGTTGCTCATGGCCCTCATCCCCGAGACTTCTCGACGGGACTGCCCAAGAAAGTCTACGATCTGGCATGGCGGACAGCTCTGAGTTACCGGTATCGACGTGGGCAACTTATTATAGTCAATGACAACATCACCTTTCCACAAGAGGTCAGTCCACACTGGCTCACCGACGTTTTCGAGAAAAACCAATGGGGCAAGTGTTTTGGACGGTCGTTGATGATCACGGAGGTGAAGAAAGAAAGACTGTTTAAAGCTGTGGCACAAATTGGGCAACACGCACGAGTATTGGACCGGGAAGATGTTGATGTGAAAGACCTCCTCGAAACTGGCCGGTTAATTGTTGAGAAAACGGCATTGGACAGAATGTTATTCCGTCATTCTAGGGACCTGAAGACCAGACCTGCGCGGGCGTGATGACATATTGGGCATTAAACATATCTGACTCTGTAAGATAGTTTGGCGACGGGATTGTCTTTTACTATTATTTCATTTTGGCCCTGTGTTGTTTGTATTTTAGAGCTTGGTCAAATCTTAAATAGGATATAGATTTACCCCCAGAGTAATTGCTTTAGGCTCCATTCTGAATGCACATTTAAAAATAATAAACTCGTGTTTTGATATAATCCACTAATTTGCTACTATCCTAACGAGATCTTGTTGTAACCGCGGGTCAAATGGTGGCTGCAGCACAGAAAGGGCTCCGGATTCCCTCGCCGACGTCAACCGAAACGGAGCAAGTACCGCCGAGTCGCAGCAGTTTTTCCAGTGTCATCAATTGACCATGCGACAACAATCTTTGCCTTAATCAACCCAAATATTTAACACAACAATCTGCTAGACCTTATTAGACTGCCCTACAACAATCAATCGCCATTGATGTTCCTTCGTCCTTATTTTCCCCGGTCCCCCACACCGTTAAGCTGGTGCTCTACCCGTCCTGCAGCGAGAATGCCTTTGAAAGCCAAAGTTGCGGTCCCAGTATGGTCTGGATTATCGAAGGTATGAGTGCAGATTCCATTTTTATTTTCACAGTTGCTAATCCTCCGTGGTTTTCATACAGATATCTACAGCCGCAGCAGAAATCCCCAGAGAACTTCCCGGAGATGAACCAGATGATGTGCTATTCAGCAGTCTTTTCGGAGTGCGCACCATCGAGCTCAATCGACCCAAGAAACTGAACGCTTTGAATGGCTCGATGGTAAGGAAGATTACACCCAGGCTAAAGGTATGCGGCGTGCTGTGTATTCTACGAAGCGCTGAAGCTTTTCTGGGGTGAGTTGAATAACTGGTTATTTTCATTAGGAATGGGAAAAATCCCAACTTGCAAACGTTATCATCGTCTCCGGTGCCGGATCGAAAGCATTTTGTGCCGGCGGTGATATTGCAGCTCTTGCTGAAAAATGTGCTGAAGGCCCAGAGGGCCAGAAACAGGCCACTGAATATTTTTCTCTGGAATACAAGCTGGATCACCTCATAGCTACATACAGCAAACCATTCATTTCCGTTATGGATGGATTCACTATGGGTGGTGGCGTCGGGCTCAGTGTACATGCGCCCTTCCGGATTGCTACTGAGCGAACTGTTTTTGCCATGCCTGAAACTACAATTGGGTTCTTCCCAGATGTTGGCGGATCGTTCTTCTTGCCACGTCTAGACGGCGAATTAGGAACGTACCTAGCTCTGACCTCCGAAAGACTATCCGGAGTACAAACTCTTTACGCTGGCATAGCAACCCACTATCTTCATTCAAGCATTCTTGCCAACCTAACTGGACGAATATCTGAACTGGTTTTTAAGGACACTGCTAGCCTGGGCGAACGCCTGGACCTTGTCAACAGCACTATTTCCGAATTCTCCACCGGCCTGCCCTCACAGGAAGAAGAGCCGATTTCTCCCTCGGGTACCATACGCGAATCAATTGACCGGTGCTTCTCCGCAGATACCATGGAGGAAATACTTATCAGACTCCAAAGCGAGAAAGTCAACAAGGAATGGGCTGAGAAAACATTGAAAACACTTGCCTCCCGCTCACCAACCTCTCTAAAAGTAACCCTCCGCCAACTTCGCATTGGTCGTACATGGTCAATCACGGAAACCTTTCAGCGTGAACAAAAAATCGCAGCAAAATTCATGGCCCATCCAGATTTTGTTGAAGGTGTCACCGCTCGTCTGGTCAATAAGCCACCGACTCAGGCGGCGTGGAAGCCTGGTAAACTAGAGGAGGTCACTGATGAGGCTGTCAATAAATTCTTCCGCATTGAGCCCGGAGAATCAAGAATGCCGCTCCTGAAGGTCGATGCGGACTATCATGAATACCCACATAAGAGGTTCACCCTTCCAAGTGAGAAGGAGATTCTCGAATTTGCACGCAACCATCAAGGATCAGCTAACGCTATGGACGAATTTGTAAGCCAGCGAGGGCATAAAGATGGGGTGCGGGAGAAATATTTGGAAGTGGTGAAGAGAAAGCTTGGTGGAGCGTAAGGTGGAGAGTAGATGGGTGGTTATGTGGCAGGGTAAGTGACATTAATTGGACACTTGTATGTTCTTTTTTTTTTTTTTTTTTGATTGCGCCGTTCCTTATACCATTTTTCGTTGTAGTTTGAGTGTATTTTAAGCTATTTATCTTCCACAGATTTCATCAGTTCGGTAGAAATGATCTACAAAAATAAGACGATTTAAAAAATCTACAGAACATAGATAGGAGCGTGGCCAACACAAAATTGCTTCTTAGCTCTAGGCCCATTGAGTACACAGCAGCGACATATTTGAAAAATAGGGATAAATGATATTTAAAGCCGAATCGCATAACTTTAAGCTACGCAAAAACAAAGAATCCCACTTAGCAAAGGCCCCAAGAAGAGATGATGCCGTGCACATCCATGCCACCGGTGTCCTATCCATCGATTATCACCATATTTCTCCCATGGGCGAGCACAACGCATACACCGTAACGCCGTATACTCGCCATAAGTTCCGTCCAGCTCCCTTTCCTTCCCCTACGTTCATCCCACATCCCAACCGACCAACCAACCTTTTTATTCTTCCCTAAACTATGGCAACAGCATACCGTTTCGATACCTTGACTTATTTGTAAGGAAATTTATCACATTGCGTCTTCGCCTGGATGCAACATCGGCTTGATAGTCCTCAATCTTTCCCTACGCCTATCCAGCAGTGCTACACCCTCTTCATTTCTTTGTCTAGAGCGGCGACTTCACCATGTGAACCACGAAAAGTGGAGATATCAAAGGGAGGAAAAGAGAACAAGAGAGGTGCCTTGAGTTGGGGAACTAAATCCATAACCAAAAACAATAAAAATTATGGGCTTTGAACCGAATGAAAGGGGACGGACATGTTACAAAAGGGCTGATACCACAATTCCATGTACGGCAACATTTTAATTTCAATTTCCCCTCAATCTCTAGCATGGAGAGCTATTTGGGATGCTTGACACGCCGGTAGATGAATCTAGAAGGACTGCATGGCCATTTCGCCGGATCTGGTCCTCGATGGCCTGCTAAACACACGCAGTAGATGACTGTGGAAAGAGACCTCTTGCCAAAAAGGAAATTCGTTGATATTTGCTTACGCCAGTCCTTATCATGGCACTCGCCGTCACACGATCAAGAGTGGTTTTTGCGGTTTGCAATCTTGACGATTGGGAGATCTGTTTCTTAGCCCATTTCAATCCCAAGCCCTAACCCTAACTAACAACCCTAACTCAGCGACTGCAAACCCCGCCGAATCTCTTACAGATCTTCTGTTATTCATGAAGACACAATTCCCCCATTCTCTCACCACGAGGTGTACTTCATTAGAGCGCTTCAGCAAGGGAAACGCTCTCCATGGTCTTGGGCTTCTTGAACCAAACGTCTTACTTCTTTGGGGGGAAATGCTCTCAATGACTACAGGACGTCACTAAGACGAGAACATTTGTGAACACACATATATCATCCATGGCTTTTTTTGTTCTTTCGAATTCAATGTTTTACTCTTCAGCTAGGTCCTGCAAATCTACTCCTCCAAAGCAGTGGATGGTTTGTTGTCATCTGATTTTGACGAGTGATTCTAGAGCTAAGCGTTGGCCGTGGCAATGAAGTCTAGGGACCTCCCGACCCTGGTCCATACAAACCTTGTGGAAGAGTTCAGCGATGCATACCGATATTAATAATAACTGTGATTGGACTCATTACTTGTCTTTTGTTCATGCAGCTCAAGACAGTTCACCATGAATGAGGCCCTCCAGAAACTAACCAATATATGCATCCAACGTGTTCGTCAGCCTTGACCTCTGCTGGCGATACCAATGTTCGGATATATATAGATACTCCACCGAATGCCCAACAATCTCTTCGCCATTTTCATTACACTGGGGACTTGCATGAGAAGAATCTCCGCAAATGGCTGGAAAACGTAAAAAACCTCCTAGGAAGAGGAGTGCGTCGACTTCCACTGAAATATCTCGTCGGTACCCCAACAAACGCGAACGCCTCCTTCGTCGCTTTTATGAACCCCTCGTTCTTTTGCATACCCTAGGTTCTACTAGAGGTGGCCACACAAATCGCTTGCCGGTATCGCCTTCAGACAGTTCCCTTGTCCAAGACTGCAGACGAAGTTTCTTGAACGAACTGGCATATGTCTGCGACTATGAGAAGGGCGGTGACACGGTCACTGCTATCGGCTTGGAGTCAACTCCGCAGGGCTGCACCTTCTGGGTTGCCTCAAATACCTCACCCACTGCAAAGATCATCCCTTTTCTTAAGCTTCTCTTGCAAACACTGGAACGAATTGCAAACTCCAAAGCTCCAGAACAAGGGGATAAGGAAGACATCGCTAAATTATGCATTTCTTTTGGTTCCAGGAGGATTAAGAAGTACCGATCACTCTTCTCTCGGGAGTTGGCGGGATGCAGGAAGTTTATAGCAGCAAACAAGGAAGCCTGTATGTTGTCGAAATGTGTCCCCAGATGAGAACTCCCCAAGCTTCTTTGAGTAGTTCGAGCTTTAAGCTAACAAATAAGCAGTGGGTGGCCTCGAGTTGTGGCTACAACGATTTTGCAACTCTGACCCAAACGACCTAGTTTACCTATGCAACCTCGCCTTTGAGAATCGAAAGTCACCAGATATGCGACACCTGAAAGAGTTGTGTGACGAACCCCCTTACAAAGCCAGCAAGGATGCGATCCATAACAAATTCGGCCGACTCCGTCACTACATCGGACGCCTTGCCCATCACATTCGAGCAGCTAACTCTCTCGTATCAAACGCATCTAAGCTCAGACATTTGCTTAACGGATTCAGCATTCGTGCCATAACTACTCCAGCAAGGGCAGAGTGGCTCCCACCAATCGATGAAGCAGCCGTCCGCGGAAAGACCCTACTAGACAAAGTGCTTGTTCGTATGCTCCCTGCCAAATCTCCGCAGCTGGGATTTTACCAACAGGAGCTGCGGAAGATGGATGAAGCGACCCAGGTATCCTATCGATTCTTAATACCTTATACAGACCCAACCGTTCGCCCACGAGTTCACGCAGAGGTACAAGTGCTGGAGCATTTCCACGAAAAAGCACTTGAATTCGAAGACTCAGATCGATATATTGCATGTAGCAAACCATCTTGTTACTGCTGCAAGCTATACTTCCGGTACCATCCGGGTAACTTCGAAGAGCCTACGTCCCATTGCAAGATCTACCTGAACTGGCGTCCTCCTGATGTTAGCTTGAAGAGCGGCGCTGGTGCTGCAAATGGCGAAGAAGAAAGTGAGAGTCAAATCCTCCAGAGGGATATATTAAACGCGATGATTCGGGAAATCAGGAAGGATGCGCTGCATCAAATCGCTGGAAAGCAAAAGCCATCTAACTGGCATCCGGACTCGCATACCGGGATTACCTCCACTGTGGCAATAAACGGGCAGTCGACGGTAGTAGGGAGTGAATGGGGTGAAGAAATCGGAGGATATGATGGCGGCCTAAGTATATGCTTCCATTTACCTCTTCGGCTCTTTCTACTCTGGTAAGTGGTGTAAAGCGCTGACAATTCAATAATATTTTAGGCATTGAAGATAACGCCTCCAGCGCAAGCGTTACATCGCTCGTTACAACACAGAAAATACCGGAATCGCTGATAGAAGATGATTGTGCGTGGGACGGGGTAGAAGAAGGGTTAGGTATGGAAAAAAAGAAAAGGAAGAGAGAGAAATGATTTTCAAATGATATCCCCTCTTATCTCTTAATAACCGAGTGATCTTGACAGGTATTCGCCAATTTCCGACTCCGATATATACCGATAATATCACTGGCACTATCGAGAACACGCCTCAGTTAATCAGGCGTGCCAGTTATTCCACCACTATTGGACACAGCAGTTTGGGTAGCATAAGCTCACCATTGGGCTCTTTTCTCGAGTCTTCTAACTCAAATGATGAAGAAGATTTTGACGATGATGGGGGTGTCCGTCTATATGACTAATTGTTTGTGGGGAAGGCTGGCGCATTCATTGAGCTTTTTCGAAATATCTGACTCACGATTTTGTTAATGACATATCTATGAAAGCAAAGGAGAGATGTCCGAAAATTTTAATAAATTGGTTGATTGAATAAATGAGATTTTTTTTCCTTAGCTTGCGGCGATGTCGTCTCTCTATCTCTGTTCCTTACATTCATTTATTGGATAAATTTGCGCAACCGATAGGTTATAAGTGTTCATGGATTAATTTATTATTTTGAAAAGAGGAATACTTCAGACCGTTTCCAAAAGAGCTGGTATTTGTTGACAGACAAATCTTCAGAGCTCCATTTGGTCTCAATCCAGAGATCTTATATAACTAATAGTCTCTGTTCTGCTTCTACTAACTACTTAAATTCATATAACAAGGTCAGAAAAGAAAAATCACCCAGAAGTATGCAATATCACATCCAGCGAACACAACGAGACTAGCCATCAATCATGGAGTTAGGACATCACCGTTACCACCCTGCTAGTTCTGATAATGGCCATATATTGCAATCCAATGTGGTGACCCAATTGGACCAACTGTCGTAAACGTAAAAAAATACCTAAGAATAACTCTGGGTCATTTTGTTTTGCTAACGGCGTAGTTAAACGCCGATTCTCAGAGTAAAGGAACAATGCGGCCAAAAATAACCTAAACCAAACCAAACAATATAATGGCAACGTGAACTAAAACCCCTCCATCCATGTCAACTGCATATAAATATCTTTCCAGTGATCAATGATCATTTTCACCAGACCTTCATAACAGATTCTAGTGTCCTTAAGGTTAGAGTCTCCATCAGGAATCAATGTAATGGATCTGGGGTCCACAAGAACAAAGCTGAAAATCCTATCCAACGACTGGGAATCTGGAAGTATGGAGCAGCTGTTGTTTTTATAATCGGGTGCATTGCATAATTTGGCATTTTCGTCAACTGTAAACGAAAGGAGGCCGAAGACAGCACATATAAGGTTTAACTGCAAGTCATTCGTCAAGCCAGCGAGGGCAAGCGCGATTAACCGGATTTTGGCAGCGGTAGGAAGCGGAAGATCGAGGCGATACTCGCTTCGGTATGGATCTTTAATCACTAAGGACGTCTTAAATTCGTGTTGTTGAATTCGTTGTAATACTTCACCTAAGTATACGGATCCCAGAATGCCACCAGGTATACCACACAATAAGTGTCTGAATACCATGGAAACATCATGCATAAAGCCCGTGTTTCTTCCAGAGGGATTACCAAGCTGTGGAACGAATGCAGTTGGCGGTCTGACTGCTCTCGTAGTTTTGTCAATTGTATCTGTTTTCAGAGCAGCAGAGAGCACATGGTTGGCGTATTCACTATATAGCGATAAAACAACATCGTTATTGTCATGAGAGTCATGTAGGTCATAAACACCGATGCCTATTATCAAAATTATCTACTTAGCTTGAGACTTTCTTCTAGCCAAATAACAGTAAACCATACCATTTTCTAGAAGGTAGCCCATTGTTGAAGCGAAACATGTCGGCAATGCTAGGTTACGAGGGCCGTACCCCTCCGGCAAATTCAAATAACTCAACCCTCCAAGGCGGGCTAGATCTTGCAATCTTTTACCCCTCAATTCGCCTATATGGTATTGTACTGGTAGGTTGGCAAAGGTTTGGATACGACGCAATGCTCTCCTACCACTGTTGTTGCGGTTGAGACCCAAATTTGACTTGACGCTGCGAATACGACCGAGAAAAGAACCAGAACGTCTGGGCGAGCCCGCTGCTTCTTCCACTGAGAAAATTGCAAATGGTTAGTTTAAGCGCTTAGCCTAATAATTTCTTGATTTCTCTTCCCTCTCACCTGGATTTGAAATATTTTCTTGAGATTTAGTGGGTAGCACAATTTCCAAGACATCAATAGAGATACGGAGACGATTCAAGACCATCGAACGAAGGGTGTGCCTCTGTGGAATAGTTGTGTCAGACACTATTCTGTTGGATATGTTTTCTGAAGAGCGCGTGGATATTCTGGATGGAACCTGCGCACAGGTCGACTGTGCACTCCCATCGCATGAACGATGCGATTCGTTACGTGAGCAAGAGTTTGGGTCACGCTCTGAAAATGCGAACAGTCCACTAGGTTTTAATATGTCGTCCGGACTGATCATGCAGGACCCCCGTATGGATTGGATATCTGAGAATTGGCTGTCGTTCTCGGATAGAATCTTAGAGTCCATGGTTGCAATTGGACTTCGGCAACGTTTCGACGGGCTACGCTGGACAGTGTCGGAAGATTCATCCGACAACAGCGTCTGATTGCTGAATTGTCTCTTTGACTTGCTAGAGTTACGTCCAGGGTTAGATCCAACACAATCATCCTTACTTGGAGCTGGACCTGCAGTGCCCTGATGATTTTCATCTCCAATAGCGCCCCTCAGCCCGTCCGATAAGATTTTGTCTTCGCTATGGTCTGAAACTCGAGATTTACAGACGGGCGAGCCTCGGATACGACCACTCGATTTTTCAATCTGGAGGTTTTCAAAATGTGATTTTGGCGGTGTCCTAGCCTTTTTAACTGTCTCGATGGGGATTTTACTTTCCCGAACAACCTGGCGAGATTCGACTAGAGCTCGGCTTGGTTGAATCCCATCTATCTGTTGATCTGATGGGATCCTAGGTAGGTGGTTGTCCGCTACCTTCCGGCCCTCCTGCCTCGGTTCAATGACGGTGACGAAAGGACATGTTTGCGTATATTTTGGATCATTGGTAGGAGGTTTTGTTTGTACGGATGGAGCAGTAATATTCGATCGATTAATTTTGGAGCTTCTGCGATACAACCGCGAAAGGTAACGCAAAGCTTCTGAGAAGCCCATTTTCTTCAGACTCGGATGCTCTACCCTTGCATGGTATAGAGAACGATTGTCGATGAGGCCGGTGGAATCCAGAAAGGCAAAGCGTAAGAATGCAAATATGATTGACAGGGTTTAGGAGGAGATATGCAGCAACAATATAAATGCAAACGCGTCTGTTAACAGCCTTGGGGCGGGGGCAAGAGCGACCATAGGGAGGGAAGGAACAACCGTCCACGCCAGTAGCATTATTTGAAGCGACCCAATAGAGACTCAGCAAAGAAGTATTTGTGCGTGGAAATCCGTTTGGTGAGTGGTCGGTCTGATAACCATGGAAGACGGAGTTTGGTTGAACGTGAAAACAATCAAAGGGTAGCGTGAAAAATCATACCGATTATCACTTCACAAAGTAAAGAAAAGAAGATAAAACACAAGCAACATGAATAAAAACAAGATGCCAGATTTAGGCGACTGCTGTCATTTCTCTGCATTCATCAGCCATAATAAAATCATTGAGCAATGGGAAGAATGAAAATTAACTTGGGGGGGTGGGTGGAGGTAAATCGACATAGCTAAAGGGGCTGCCATTCACTGTATAAACGATGATCGAGCTGACATAGGGAAGATGTATCGACCGCTCTATTCCAGAAATAAACGCCGATGCTTCCAATAGAAACCCAAAACAAAGAACGCAAAAGTGAGATGCCAAAATAGCCAGGAATCGTTAATAAATCCATATCTAGGCCGGTTATGCACCCTAAGGAGAGCTGGAGTAATAGCGAATAGCGAAGCTATAAGCCAACGACTAGATCCTAGGCAACGCATGGGTTTATTTTTGCCTTCCAAACTCCATCCCAGTGTTAAAAAAAAAAGAACGAAAGCCCAAGGGGTAAAAAGGATATAACGCTAGCGCCCATGCATATTTGAAGGGATTTGTTCTTTTTCTAGTTTGATTGTTTCTTCAATCATGCTTCGTCTGGTTCGCCTTCTAGAAGGATATAGCGTAATATGTCGCTCAATGTGAGAACGCCTTTGAGGCGGAAATTTTCATCCACGACGATCAAACGATGTACTCGTGACCGACGAATTGTGTCAAGTATGGTGTCGAGACCATCATCTGGTGAGCATGTGTAGATTCCGGGGAAACCCTAACAAAGAAAAATGTAAGTTGGCTGCTTCAAGGAAAATCCAATGACGAGCGGTGTGGACCTACAACTGGACGCTTTTTCAAAGCCTCGCCGACTCCAAGATTAAGGTTATCGTAAACACCCCCCTTGATCAGTGTTATGACGTCAACCGCTTCGAAAACATTGTATACAACGCCTGACAAACGAGAAGCAATTTAAGTCAATTAATTATTGAATATCAGAGAACGAGGTATGTATATATAGAGGCCCTCACCTTCAGAGTTAATGATTGGAACGCTGGATATGCTACGCTCAACCAATTTGTGGATCACGTCAATGACAGGTGTGTCCATGGTGGCAGTAACAATGTCATTATATGTCCCGAGATTTATTTCTCTCAAAGGTTTTCGTAACTTTTGCGTTTCACTAACGTTCACAGCTACAAACTTTAGAATGCGGTATTGCGTTATTACGCTAACTACCAGGGGTCTTTCGGTTTGAGAATCGTACGACACCAAAGGTATTCTGCGTGCTCTGGAAGAGAGCATACGCCGGCACGCTTCATACAGGGGTCGTTCGGGGTCAATAGAAACAGTTTCTGGTGGAGCAACGCCCAACGCTCTCTCAACTTCTATTACAACGAGTTAGCATACAAAAATACGAAGCGGAGGCCAATACTGAAGTAAGACAACATACCACGCAGGCTGTTCAGGCGGAACTGGTCTATTTTCGCTAACGCAGCTGGATACTGGAAGTAGTACTGAATGACGTTGATGTAGTCCGATGTGGTGAGTAACCCAGCAAACGTTGAGGTCGTGGAATCCCATAATGGAGCAGATACAATTCCTATACCGTTTGGATGGTTATCAGAGGCACATATTTTCTATGCGTTGCCCTGAGCGGTGGTGCAACCCTCGACCGCATTGTAGCTTACCATTCTGCGTCAAAATGTTGAGACTCTCCTTCACTGAGAGGGCGGTGTCAAAGACAATTAGGCGGAAGCTAAGAGGCAGGACGTCATAGCTGGTACGGACTTTGAGGAATTTTCGGATTTCACGCTGTCACAGGGAATCATGTCAGCACTGGTGCTCAAGGAAAGCAGAAAATTTTATATATTTTGTCTTCTCTCTGTTATCTCCATTGAAATGAATCGGGCAATAAGTGTAAAAAGCTCATCCACGTTTATAGATCAATCAATGGTTTCCCCCATCCCGATGCGGGTCCGCGTAGCTCCCAGCCCCGCATTAGTCCAAAACCTGGGGAAGGGCGGTAGAGGGAAAAAGACTAGACAAATAAAGCTAAAACCGAACATGGGGAGGAAAATCGCTGATATTCTTACCAGCGCCAATCTTTCATCGCGGTCGACAGCTCGCTCTGGTTGAGCGGGAGACATTGGACGAGACACAGCGCGGGGTCGGAGATAGGAAGATGGCTGTACGAAGCCCGCCTCGTGACCACCCCTCGAACCCGTTCCTGCCGATGGACTAGCGGAGGACGTAATGCCGGGAAGCCTAGGCGACGCAGTATGTGGTCGGTCTAGGGCATCATCGGTCATGTTGTGGTGTAAGGGTAGAACAAGTCTGTTCTGCACGGGATAGCCGCAAGTAGAGAGAGTGGGCCAACAGGTACCGCTTAGCTGGCTTGGTTCACTCCAGAAATAACTGCTGCAATCGACGTAGTAGGATTGGGAGTCAGCGGGTATAGCCCAACAAGCCAATGCAGGGCAAGGGATGGACTTGGGGCAAAGGAAAGTATGGAAGCCGAGGGGTCATGTAATTCAAATCCGACTTCAGCGGTTGATGGAGACTATACACAAGGGCTACAGACATAGGTTAAACTCTCAACCCAGATATTAATTTTGAGGGGGTTTGGATATAGCATCAGCATTAAGCACGGAGTGCAAGGCAATGAATAGGAATAGTAATAGTTAATAGCTTAATGATACTAAGTTCATGGAGAGTTGGATGCTGTACCCCGGACCATTAGATGTTCCGATGCCGCATTCCGACCTGAAAGGAATAAAACGATAGATAGCAGCCTTTGGTTATACGTTTCTCGGCGGGATGGAATAATGGATGTGTGGAGGTATCTGGAACTAATTAAATTTCTTCCATATCTGAGCCGGAATGCGGGGGTTCGAGTTCTCGTGAGCTTATATGATACTACCGTATAGTTATTGTGAATTGATTCCCCAGACAACGACCAGCGCGCTTATAGTAGTAGTCTTAAAAATCCGCAAGTGTAACCCCAACGCTTCTCAAAAGACAGCCGATATCTATTCAAAGAACCCCGGAGAGAACGTTCTAGCACGGATTTCATCAAACAATGCATCTATGCCGGCCAAACATGATTAAGCTTAAAATTTTGATCAAATGAAATTCATAAAAAAAAGAGCCCGAAATATGACGCGCTAGTCGTATTTAAAATGACCGTGGAGTTGAAATAGACGATGAAACTCCCTCTACTATGCTGGCGTGATTGCGTCGCTGGATTGCTCGTTGTTGGCTTGGGGGAGGTTGACCTCCAAGCGTTCCGTCTTTCCCTCAACCGTTGGAACCGCTGCCTGGCTTGCATTGCGGCCCTTGTCGGGTCCGCCTTTCAGATAGGTTTCATGCTCTCCGATGACCTTGCCGCCTTGGACCCATCTCTCAAAGTACTCCTTTCGTCGCTGTTCACACAGCTTGTTCAGTTCTGGCCAGTACGTCGAGTGATCATACTCGAATTCTACTTCTCCGCCTACGGTTTTGAGTAGCTGCGCAGGTGGAACGTGGTTACGGAGGTCCTCGTTAAACTTGAGCTTTGTCCTCGTCAGCGGGTCGATAAATGGCGAAAGAAGCTTGAAGAATCCGTGAACCAGGAAAGGTACTGGTTAGAAGTTAGCGAAGATTGCTCTAGTTTTCGTCCCCAGTGCGGTTGAAAAACTTACTATTGACGACGAGAGCCCGACCAAGGCGTTCTGGGTAGTGGTTTTGGAGAATGCTCAGCGTTTGTCTGCCCTGACCAATTGTTGAGCCTTGCCCTGATCGCATATCACTGAAATTCACCAGCAATGCTAAAGATTCTTGATAAGGTCCCATGAGGTCGATAACACGCTCCACCATAAAGACAAGGTGCTCCAGTTGTCGCTCACTGTACTCAGTGTTCTGTCTGGCTGGGATCAGATACAAGCATGGTCGAGCATTCACATCGTATCCAAGAATGACTTGCTTGCCTGTTTCGTTCTCAACCGAGATATAGTCGGGTGTAAGTTTGTCAAGGCCATACTCACGGCGCCAGGTCAGAGTTCCCCTGACTCGATTGCTGGCAGCACTCAAGTCCCACTTGGTAGCACGGAGATATCGAAGCAGACATTCGCGTGTCAGGAACATACGGTCATCGTCTGTGATAGGCTCCGTAGGCGCATTCTTTGCCGTCGTAGTAGGAACTGTCGTCCATTCGGAAACAGTCGTAAGAAGCTGCTCGTATTTCGATTGTTGTTCAGAGGTTAACTCTGCAGGAGGCTCTGGCTTGCAGGTTTCTAAAGGCGACGCAAACGGCGTTTTGATGACTCCATCTGCAGCCGCAGTTGGGGATGAGGGAGTTTCAGTTTTTGGAGCTTTCTCTGAGTCCTTGGGAGTATCCTGGTTTGTTTCAACCTTATCGACGGGGTCAGTAGGCGTTTCCGCAGCTGGTGTTGGAGCACCGTTTGTCTCTGCAACCATTTCCGCGGTATCGGAATGCGCAATTGAAGATCTGAACAGGGAAAATAATCGAAATCAAGTTTGTTCACATCATAGAGCAGAAGCTAGGAGCAAAATTGTGCTGAAGCTGAAGCTATTTAAAGTTGGGCCGGCGACTTTTGATTGGTGAGCGGATTGGCTAATCAGAAGGCAGAATAATGCCAAGATGAAAGCGCGTGACAAACGCGTTTTCCAACACGTCGAAATTTCCCTGAAGCTGTTTTGGGCATTCTCGGTATAGGGAAGCTTTGAACAAAAGACCCAATCTCGACGTGGAGGAGCGGAGCTATCAATGGAGGTTACAGGAGGCGAACTCGATGATGCCTTTTCGGGATCTTGCCCGTCTGGAGTTCCGCAAGATGTCGCGACAGAACTACGATCGATCATGCGGCTTCACTCGATGTCTGCTCAAGACTTATCCTACAAATGGGATGCATACTGCCTGAAGATGGGAGCAGAGGAAACGGCCCTAAATTTGGATACCGTTCGAGGCCTGAAGAGAGATATCCAGGATGTCTTGGAGCGCGAGAGTCGAGGGAAAGCCCATATGCGTGGAACTGATAAAAGAAATGCTGTATCAGCAACCCCCCGAGCTGCAACTAATAATCGGGATGTCTTCGAGATGTAGGTTTCAGAAACTGATTTTGAATTCTCAATTAATTGGTTGGGGGACGAAAGGCTAATATTTCATAGACTCGATGATTTCGCCGCATCACCGCACAGCCGAACTAACAATGGAGCGAGCGTTGGCGCTGGGAAAAGAAAAGCCGCTTTTGGGACTCCTTCAACATCGAAGGTTGGCAGGGTCGAAAAGAGTGCTGGATCTCTAGGGAATCCCCAAACTCCTTTACGGCCATCGAATGGCGATCTCGCTGGATTACAGTAATTCATTTCCCATTCCTCTAAATGTGTTAGAGAAAGAAAATGTTAGTTAATAGTCGAACAGGCCAACCCCTTTCGCTGAACGACAAAATAGTGGACAAGTATTGGAAACGATAAACACCCATCTTTCGATGTCACAACCGCCGATAGCCCCGTACCCAATGGAACGTGTTAAGCCGACCGCGAACACCGATATGAAGAAATTTGCCTATAAACCGATGTCCATGCATTTAAATGAGGCGTCTGAAGTGCTAGATAACATGATAGATGAATTTATGGCTATCATTCAAAAACATCATGGTTTGGATGACACCGTCTTTGGCAGTGCGGCCAATCAAAGTACCAAAGAGATAATTGCAGTGGGAAGAATTGCTTCGGACAGTTTAGAGGGAAAATTGAACACAGCATCTTTGGTTTTGGAAACATCTAGACGAAGTGGTGCAGGTTTACGAATTCCCCTGAAAATTGACTCGTTACCTTCGGTTCAATTTTTCCCTGGGCAAATTGTTGCCCTTCGAGGAATAAATGCTTCTCGAGAGTATTTCACAGTGTTCGAGGTGCTTTCCACACCGCTGCTACCGCCAGCTGCATCGCCTCCCGCAATAATACAATCGATCAATGATCGACTTGGGGATAGTGATGCGGAACGGGCATTAAATATTCTCATAGCTTCAGGGCCTTTCACCGCGGATGATAATCTGGATTTCGAACCACTTAGAACTTTATGCGCAAAGGCTGCCGATGAATATGCTGATGCTTTGATTCTAACGGGGCCATTCCTGGATCTAGAACATCCCCTTGTCGCATCTGGTGATTTTGACCTTCCGGATGAAAAAGGATTGGATCCAGACAATGCGACACTATCATCCCTGTTCCAATGTTATATAACCCCACTCCTAAAACAACTCGCATCCGCGGTTCCAAGCATTTGTATTTTCCTCGTCCCCTCAGTTCGCGATGCAATCAGCAAACACGTCTCCTTTCCGCAAGAGAAACTACTTAAAAGGGATCTGGACTTATTCCAGACGAAGCAGGTTCGAACCGTTCCCAATCCCGTAACTCTCTCGCTCAATGAAAACGTGTTTGGGATGTGTTCCCATGATGTTCTTTACGAACTAAGACAAGAGGAGGTGCTAGGAGGCAGACCTTCAGAGGGCGGCTTGTTAACCAGACTATCACGATATTTGATTGAACAACGGCATTTCTTACCTGTCTTCCCTCCGACGGCTAGAGGTAATCTGCCAAAGTCTGGGGTCGAGGGTGGGCTAGCCACTGGTGCAATGCTCGATACTAGCTACTTGAAATTGGGAGAGTGGTGGAATGTGCGACCAGACGTGCTGATTACACCTAGTATTTTACCTCCGTTTGTCAAGGTTAGTCCTGGCAATTTGTGTTGCGGATTGGATTTTCTTGATAACGTTGTGGAACCTTGCTAACCAATGCACCAATTTCTTAGGTAGTTGAGGGCGTCCTGGTTATTAACCCTGGGACACTGTCAAAACGGAAAGCAGCAGGATCATTTGCGCAAATGACATTGCACCCAAGGACCCTCACTGAAGAAGAAATGAATGTGAAACAGGTAGGGCACAAAGTCTATGAACGGGCAAGAGTTGATGTGATTAGGATCTAAGAAATATTTGAAAATGACATGACGAATGGGTCTCATGGATTGCAGTTTTGGGAGAATGGGCGTTATGGATAGGGGCGCATTCGGTGTCAATTATATCTCTATATATTCATATGCACTGTACTGTACTATGATGTTCAACATTTCGCTTCAACAATTGACTACTTTATATGCACAAAAGCTCCTCCCGACAAGAGCTTAACAATAAAATATAGAAAAAGAAACCATGCCTTGCCGAGTCTATATCTTCCTCCATCCATTAACTCCAAAAAACAAAGCTATGCAAACAAAGCAAAATGTTGACATAAAAATAACCAGAATACCCACCTCAACCTAAGAAACACACTACAATCACATTTTTTTCCCCCGCCTCATTTCTAACCGCACTGCTCACCGCACGTCACCTCAAACACATGACCCTCCTTACCACGCCGGTGCCGCCACCGACCCCTCCAGCACCTCTTCCACCTCTTCTAATCCCCCCAGTACCAGCACCACCCACTCCACCACCACCGCCACCCACAATAACCCCAACCCCTCCGCTCCTCTCCGCCAACCTCGCCCCGCGCATAAGCTCCTCAAGTGCTAAGTCCCTCCAAACAACCTCCCGTCTTGCCTCCATGGCGCGCGTAATGCCAAAAACAGCATGTTGGTCGGGGACAACATCGTCCTCATCCTCAGGATTCACGGGTTGGTATTGCGGGGCGACGTAGATGTCTTCGACGGGGAGGAAGGAGTTGATGGTTGCTGGTGTTGTCGAAGAAGGGTTTGAGGAAGGGTTGTTGACTGTTGATGTGGTGGCCGCTGTTGCTGCTGCTGCTGGATTGGGACCGTTGGACGAAGAGGTGCCCGTGCCTGTGTTGCTGGTGAAAATTGATGTGTATGGGCGGCTGAAGTCCTCGAAGAGGTCGGCGAGGCGGGGATGGTGGAAGTGGATGTGGTTTGGGGAGGAGTCTTTGGACTGGTTGTGGATGATTTGTGTTAGCTGATTGGCTTGGTTATGTTCTTAACGTTTGTGACGTACCATCTTGATTTGTTTATTGTCTTATTTTGAGGAGCGGGAGTCTTCAGTTATTTCCCCTCCATCGATTGGAATTTATTTCTGACATTTGTTGTTGTCAACATTGCACCAGCTCGACGTCATCGATCCAGAATTTAAGTCACGTGATTTTATACGCTTAGAAAATGAGAACGAATATGTGGATTATCTCAGCGAGCTCAGACCCTCTATTGGCTCGGTTGCAGCAGCATGACACTAAACTACTTTAGTTACAAGTCATGTGCTCAGAGCAATCCTCGCCAGAGGGTCTGAGAAGTAACGGTTCATGCTCCTGTGGAGATTCTTGAGATTTTCATAGATTCTTCAAATTTCTCAACTTTGACTTTCAATTACACAACAATCATATATCTTTGAGATTTGTAAACCACCTTAGGTTATAGCTAAAGAGAAGAAGAATATAAATATATAATTTTTATATTAAGAAAATCAATATTTAATATAGATGTATCTTGTTGAAAATGGTCACTTTATTTCTTGTTGAAATCAAGTAAATAGCAAATCCTTCCCGTGTTCAAAAAAAAATGAGTCAACTTTGAGGTGATACTTCATATCTAAGAAATGGGAATATGAAAATAAAAATTGATACCATCGCGAGAACATTGATTTCCCTAGGTCCTAAGGTGGTACAGAGATGCTGAATAGATGGAGTTGGTTTGCTTTCCTCACCCATACACAAGGTATAGAGCAAATCGTTCCCGTGTTGCTAACAAACTGGAACCGTTTTTTCTCAGATGCTTCACAGGATAATTGCACATCATGTGATAATGACTATTTTGGGTTAGTTGATTACTTATTTTAGATTAGTTTCTATTAGGCCACTAGGGCAAAAGAGCTCAATCACCACCAGCGCCATGGTGGTATAGAGGGTACGAATCACCCAACCCAATCCCCCCAACACCCCCCCTCGGACCCACTCTACCATCCGGCCAGCTGGGGGAACCTGGCTCTTCCTAAGTTCCACTACCCTACTGCCATTGGTCCTTGGTGGCCTGGGGTCTTCCTGGGTGCCTAACCACCAATCTCCCCCATCTTGGCAAGAGAATGTGCATTAGTAAGGGATATTCCTCTGGCCTTGGTCTGATTCGAACCTGTGATAGCATGTTGGCACACCCTGTAGCAGTCGCGCTTACACGGGCTCATAACCTATTAGGCCACTAGGGCAAAAGAGCTCAATCACCACCAGCGCCATGGTGGTATAGAGGGTACGAATCACCCAACCCAATCCCCCCAACAGTTTCTTTAAAAAGTGACTAATCATCAAATCAGTGTTAAAACAGCAATTATCCTGTGAAGCGTCTGAGCTTGCTGAGATAATATGTGGAAAAAGATATGAAAGCCAGTTGGACCTCCGTGATCCCAGTAAGTCACGTAAGTAGCTAGAATAGGTATACATAATGAAAAAAGGAGGCTGTTCAGATTCAGCTAGAATGAAAAAATCAAGGTAAAATAAGAGGAAATATATAGCCCTTGCTAAAACTGGGACATATACGGAGGGGTAAGTCGCTTGACAGATGATGCGGAATACACGTAAATGGAATCCAAAACAGGAGAGAAAAAAGATTTAGACAAGAATAAAAGGGAGTGCCTAAATATATTAGCTCAGTCATACTCCGGGCCCCGAAAGTGAAGTAGAAGGAATCAAAAACCGAGAGGATAGAAAAACAGAATCGCGAAAATCCTGCTGCTCCATTGCAATGCTCCTGATATCACAAATCCCTGCTTTTCCATTATTTCCACGCCTTCCTTTTCCGTCCAACCTCATCGCAACACAATTGCATTGTACTGACCGTTGTGCCTGATGTACCCTTTTTCTATCCCATAACATGTGCAGTAAAAACCGAAGATCAGAGAATAATAGGAACAGAAGGAAATATACTTAAAAAGGAAGAAAGTAGAAACATAAAATAGAAATAAAGAAAGCAAGTGAGGAGAGGAAATCGAAATTCATAGAAAAAGAAAACAAATACAAGATAAGAACTCAAGGGAACAAGACAAAAAGCATGAAATTATTAAACAAACAGGTACGACCGAGATCAGGAATTCGTACTCATCCGGTGAACGATCGGTACAGCACTGGGAGGTAAACTCCCCATCTCCGTAATGACCATATCGATATACTCAGCGGGCGTGACGTCGTACATGATATTCAACAGCTGTAAGCCTGGTTTCTCCTTCCAGTGTTGGAGAGGATTGTTCGGATCAATGACAGTGTGGGAAGATGGATCAGCCGTCGAAGCAGAGCCTTGGTTAGCCGCAGAGCCCGGCTTGGTGCTTTTTGTCAGTAGTGGTGGCTGAGTTAGCTGATGTGAGGGTTCGCTAGCGGCCAACTCGTCCGCATCGGCCATTTCGTTGAGAACAATGCTGTCAAGAGCTACCTTGTCGGTGAACTTAACTGTCTCGCAACAGACAATCACAGGAATATTTATGCCGCCAACCGGTTCCTTTGCAGACATTGCGACGAGGGCGGTGCCAACGCGACTGAAAAGGCGGCCATTGCTCGTCATGGAGTGGGCGCCTAGGAATACCTTGGTTGCTTCCTTTACCGCATGACTGATGGCATGCACAAGCGTATATTGCACTCGTAGTCCAGCATTGGCAAGGGTACGGGCAAGTTTTTTGCCTTCGAAAAAGGGACGGGAATCAATTACTGAGACGCGAAACTTTTTGCCCTGACGGTGGGCCGTAAGGAGGGTCTGCTGGACAATGTTGCTCCCGCCGTAGCAGAGGATGACATCACCATCATTGACTTTTTGAGCTGCGCTGTTTGCAATCACCTGGTCCGCAACTGTTATTTTTTCACGGATAAACCCGTCGATGAACTCACATAGTGCCTCTTTGGCTTCGTCCTCAGGACAGGATGGGTCTACAGCTGAAATGGCAAGTTTTATAGCACGAATCGCATTGCCCTGGCTTATGGAAAGTGGTCGACAGGATGAAAGATATGAGATTTGGTGTGAGAGATGTGTTGTCAAGTTGCGTGCTAGCGATGTCCCAACGGGTGTAGTGTAAGACTCGATCACCTAGGACCAAAATTGTGAGTTAGCAATGTCTTGATAGAAATACTCTCTGGTCCTCGCTTGTAACAAAAAATGTAATTGGGATAAACGAAGAGGGGCATAACGTACCCTTTTAAAAGCCAGTAACATGGCCACACACCTCGCACTACTCCCACAAATCACATAATCCCTCATCTGTAACCCCAGTGCCAAAATAGCAGGATGAATCTCCTTTCCCGCTCCTGAGATTGTCCCTCGGTGGTTCTGCAACGACAAATGACTGAACATCGCAACCGTCTTACTATCAGCCATATTTTCCTCCTCCCACTTCTTCTTCCTCGACAATTCCGTAGTGTTAAGATATGAAACCGAGGCACGCCGCCCAGCAGCAGCAGCGGCAGCGGCAGAGGCAGCAGTTCCTCCTCCTCCTCCTCCTCCTCCTCCTCCCCCACCACTCCCAAATTGTTTCTGTCCTTTCCCGCCCGAGCCACCGGTCTCAACAATTTTTTGCGCCTGAGGCCCAGGAGGCCCCTTCTTCGACAATGGCTGGTTTAATTGCTGTTTCGCATTTCCGCTGGCGCTGCCACCGCCACTAGCAGCAGTGCCGCTTCCAGAAGCTTGCTCGCGCTCTTCTTTTTCCTTCGCTCGCCTCGCAGCTTTCTCGGCCTTGGCCCTCTTCTTCAGCTCGGCGCCGGAGAGCTTTGGGGTTGAATCGGAAGGCGTATTATTAGTGTTGACTTGTGTTGGCACGGCAGGAGTATCAGCAGGAGTTGTAGTGGTGGTAATAGGTGTTGAAGCAGCTGGTTGTGGGGTTCCATTCGCTTTCACGGAGGTAGTGGTAGTGGTAATTTTCGCCTGTGGAGAATCAGAAGTCGGTCGATTAAGTTTACTTGTCCCGTCAGGCGTATTGGTATTCTGCTTTGAATGGTCTGCATCTTTGGCAGGGTTTGGTGGAGGACCCATGATTGTAGAAATGATTGCGGGTTGTTGTTGTTGTTGTGAGGGGAGGTGTTGCGGAAGAAGACAAGGGTTGGAAGTGGATTTTTTGGAAAATGATTGAGTCATGACGGAGGTCGATGCGTGCGGGCGGCGGCTTAGTTTCTTCTGCACCCAACCTCGACAGTGCGAATACCAGGCTGGCGTCGGAACCATTTTGAATGATTTTGACTCAACACGGCACGCAGGCGATTCATTGCAGGTAACTGAAGAGGAAAGAAGTGCGATAGGGACATATTTATTTAGGAGTCTTTGTTTTGTTATTTCTTTCATCCGCCACACAGCCTGTTTCACTCGGTCTCGTCTATGCCCAACCAACGACCATTTGCATTCATATTCAGGAACATATGCTGGCCATACACAGGCCGCATATAAATAAATCTTCTGCAGCCTTCTGGTTACGCATGAATACGTCACTGACAGCTTCGTTCTCTTGTGACTCATTCATCTCTCATTTCATTTCTCATTTCAACTATAATAGGTAAGAAAGAAAAGCACACCAGGAGGCCGAAACGAGCATACAAAATATTTCCCAATCCCAATGATGATCTAACGCACGAAAAAGGAAGATGGCAAAGAGGAAACAAAACGACAGAAAAAGATGGTCAATCGACCATTCTCCGGTGATCCTTCCCAATACCTTATCCTACAGGGCAAAGGAAAAATAAAAGGAAAGAAGAAAAGGCGCAAACGAAGCCTCAAAAAGTGGAAACAATAAAAAGGAATTTCCGAGACAAAAATAGGTGCACCATTATTCATTCAACTGAACGTCCCCGGGAACCTGCCTCTCTCCACCATTCGCAATTTTGATCCCGAATCGCTCATGGTCGTCCGCCACTTTCCTTCTGAAAAAATTGAGATCAAGCAGAAGGTCCTCCATCTGCGCCTGCATCTCCATGGCTTCCAGTTCACCGGCATCAGCAACGCTGGCATAATCGTCGCAATCCTCCCAGATCAGGTCGGGTTCTGTTGTAGGCATGTCATTCCCATACTCCTCTTCATCCATAATGCGCACACCGTCCGCAATGTTCTCTTTTCCTGGAACGGAGAATAGATCACTCTCTCTCGCCCGTTTGACTACCTCAACTGGCGGGATGGGGTTTTTTAAACTCTCCAGAGCAAGCTTCAAGTGACGACGCAGAGCATCATTCTCCGTCTGTAACTGGCGTATTTTGCATTCACTGACCATCTTGGTCTCTTCCATCAACCGTTGCAGCTTGACGACTTGACCTTGATACTCTTCTAGTTTTTCATTCTTCATCTCTGTTTCCCGTTTGCTGATAGCCTGCTGGTTCACACTAATCTGAAGCTCGCGGATGATCTCAGCCATTTCGGCAATCTGTGCATCACGTTCAGCAGCTGAAACATGATCCTGGTTGACGACAGCGCGTGTACGGATGTGCTTCGCTTGGTCTGCATAGCGCAGGGTGGAAAGAGTTTCCTCATAATCTGACGGGGCTATACATGCAATCATGGCCGTTTTCGAATTTCCTCCCAAGCTATCCTTCAGTAACCAGGTCAGGATAGAGTCACGGTAAGGGACAACTTCTTTGTTCTTGCGCGGTCGACCAGGTTTATTATCTGCTAAAGCGGCAATAACGCGACCAAGGGTAGTAAGAGATTTATTAATATTAGAGCCTTCCCTTAGTCTCTGTCCCGTTGCTTCTGTTGCTTTGGCTCGTTCTGACCCGGCAAGATCCACGAGTCTAATACGCGCTGTTCGTTCAGTCGTTTCATCCGTCGATAGGTCGTGATGGATTTGTTTTAGCATGATCGTGAAAACTGCATGAGACCGTGAGCTTGTATCGTTCATTTTCGTGCTAGCGGTAGTACGAGAAGCATCTCCTTTGCGCATGAGCCGCATAATCTCTGAATAGCTCCGTACTGGCACATCTGTTAGATCCTTTACATACGGCCCGTCTGTTGGTGACTCTCTAATCTTCAAGTAATATGGCGTGTCTGTGCGTGGTGCCAGCAGATCTCGTACATGCTCGTTGTATACCTCAAAATATGAGACGCGGACATTGTAACTGATATCAGGTGATTCCGAACTCTCAATACGCTGGAACAGGTCCTCACATGTCCGTGGAATCAAACCAGGTTGCTCTTCTGTACCCATCATCGTGTAGCTTTTACCTGACCCAGTCTGGCCGTATGCGAAGATACATGTGTGATATCCCTCGAAATTGTGATCCAAGAACTCCTCGCCGAGGCAATTATACACATCTTCTTGCGTGGCGTAGTGCTCATCATTCTTATCATGAGACCAAAACGAATTATCGAACGTGAAAGTTTTATTTTCGAGGACTTTCCCCCTGTTCTGTATCCTGACATTAGGCGGATCTTGTGCGCCAGAACGGGGCCTAGCCATGAGGGTGGTGGATTGAGTCTCGGGATTCATCGATATAAGACATTCCGCCCCTCGTTTGAATTCTGTAATCCGCCAAATTTGCGGGCTGGCCGTTAGAACAAGGAAGAGCAACCGAGAACAGTGGACTCAAGGAAAACATTTCGCGCCTCAAACAAACCTCTAGGTAAAAACCCCCTAACCCTCACCACAACCCTGACATTGCCTCCTCCCCCTGCCCCAACCCCATTAACGGGCGTCCCTGCCCGACTCGGCTCAACCACAACACTTTCCCTTGCTCTCAACGACGGACTCGAAGCTGTCGATCGAAACGCTCCGGACGATGCCATGGATAACGCTCCTGCGTTTGGCCCGATATTGGCTGCAGCACTGGAGTAAACGGACATCGGGGCTGACGGTACCGGCGACGCGTGGGAAACGATCATACCTTCTCCGTTCATCGAGACCATCGAGGCCCTGGAGCCCAGTTGTGATGGTGATGGTGATGGTGATGGTAATGATGGTGGGCCTCCAATGCTGTTGTAGAAGCGCGGATCCAGCGCCATATTCCTGTTGTTTCTCAATATATGCACGATCTGGCTGAGGAGGTCGTGATGGCGGGATTGGTAATTTAAGTACATGTAGGGACAAGGGAAGGGAAAGAAAGTGTAAATGTAGTGAAAGGGTTAGGGGGGATTGTAAAAGAGAATAGTGAGACGGGAAATAGAGAGACAAAAAGGGGATTGGTGATAAAAATTTTGTTCAAATGATTATCTTTTCTCCGTCATATGGACAAGTTATGTATTTATTAAACGTTCGTCACGGTACCTTTCTCTGATTTCCAGCGTCGCGTCTTTTTTCAGCAGATGTGCCTTGTTGTGTTGTGACCGCTCCTGTGTGTATGTTGTTGATATCCCGAAAATATCAAGGCTATTATTTCATATCCTGGTATGTTATGGTTTTATCCCGTTTCTTTGTTCGTAAACAAGCCGTGTTTCTCGGGGAGCCTGATATATGGGGAGGAATGCGGCAGGGAAGGTGTGATGATATGGAAACGCGAAATGGCAGCCGGTTTCACCTGCGGCGTATAATTTCCATGTTAGCGACTTATCCCTATATCAGAAATAAACATACATAACTAAATGTATGTACATGTGTAGTATCCAGTCGGTTCATTTCTTGCCCTGCGATATTCACATCGACATGAAATGTAAGGAGGGACAGCGGGAATCGCACTCCATACCTCAATCGTAAAACACCTTGACAAATAGTCGTGGGAGAAAGGATATATGTAGGTAACTATATGAATAACTATCGTCTTATCAAACTTGGATAGTTAGTAATATATTCATCTCTTCTCCAACGCTTTTCTCCATGTAATTCCCACGAAGCGGATCTAGATTTTGCTATTGATGCCCGGTTCGTTGCCATGGCGACGGATAATTGGGAAGATCCGTGGATGTAGGAGGATAAACGTTGTTGTAACTAGGGGTGGCGCATGCCTGTTTCTCTGGGGCATCGCGCCAAACCCTGATTCAATCGTTCCACAAGCGAGTCTGAGCTTTCTCGCTCTCAAAAACGCCCCGTTTGCGAAGTTGGGATCCACAGCCCCATACGCAGCTGGGATTCAGTGAAATCTGCTTCTCACTCAAATTCTCCAAAACTGTAATAATAATTCTGTTACTGACCTACAACAGATGTATCACTATCCTCTTTCAATTTACAAAAACATCTGATAATTGGGCCACATCATCAAGCTGAAAGAGATTATAATGAAGAATACAGAGTAGAAGTATTTATATCTAGAGTATACAATTTTGAAAACCTGTTCTAGAAGAGTGTTGTCTGCTCGTATGAATAAATGATAATGGGATTAATTACACTAAAAAGTTATTGTGGAGCTTGGCTAACATACATAGTAACATGGGTTATAACACCAACCTATAGCAATAAACAGTGCATAAAAGTTTCAAACTTTTTGCGTAGCACTGTATGTATTCAAGGATCGCACCGTCTCCTGAAGCTCTCTCTCGAATTTAGCGTCAATCCGCTTTTGTCTCACAGCCAGCTTTGTTTCTCCATCCATACTCTTGGACACCCTCTTTCTCTTCTGGTTCGGTGATGTGTTTCCTAAAGGCGCTCGTTCACGGCGAAGAATCTTTGCTCTTTCAAAATCAATTACCAGCACATTCTCACCTTCCTCACTCCAAAACATATTTCTTTCTTCCGCATCACGGTGGAGTACACCCAGCGCATGAACGGCCTGCAATGCCTCCGATACTGCAGACACAATTTGAGTCTCTGCAACATTACATTTTGAAATTTCAGTGCCTGCGTGGGCGAGAAGTAAAAGGTGGGGAATGTCTGCAATTCCATCGTAGAACATGGGCCGCTTAGAAACATCGATTGTGCCAAGACATACAGGAATATGTACACCTTGGATCGGCTGCAAGTGGTCGTAGAGTGCCTTTTCATGCCTGAGGTAGGGACCAAACTCTAGAGGAAAGCCTTTTCCTACCAGAGTGTACCCGTATTGAAAAAGAATAACTTCAAACAGTGCACCACGAGAACCGTGCCTATGCAGCGATTCGCAACCCAGAGGCTGGGACCAAGGATCTTTTATTTCCTGTAGTATCTGTGCCATGAGGAGGGAGAGGAAAGTGGTATGGTCGATCTTATGGACTTCTGTCCCATGTTCTTGGGCATTTGGACAGGCCCTATCTAGCGGCCCACCATTCAAGAGACCAAGCAAGCACTTTTGAGTGCAATATCGCCGAGTTCCATCCTTACAGACGGGCCCCTTGTAAGATGATACCCGGTTAGGTGGCGGAGGTGCCGCAACCATGACATCCGCAGAACGTCGAGGTCTTTTCCTAGAAGAATTAGGGTCAGACTCGCTATCATTGTCATCTTCCCCACTGCTATTCTGCAATAAAGATGTTGGTTTGCAGGTTGATCGCGCGGTCTTCGATCGGGTGCGGACAGGGCTTTTCCTGACAAATTCCCGAGCACTTTTCAGTGGCCTGTAAGGTGTTGGGGGCTTCTCATCATTTTCCGGCGTTGGCGAATGTAAATCTTCTTCTGTAACCACCCACATATTCAACTGACTCGCGGCCCAGTCTTTCCATCTTTGATCATGGGGGATGGTCCTTATTGCTCGAAGTGCAAAAGCAAGAACCTGCCCAACTGCTGTCATATGCAACCTGTTTTCATGATCTTCGGCCTCCCCTGTAAATCCAGTTTCCTTGCCCACATCATTCCCGGGGACTGAAAGATAATAATAAACCGTCCCTGGTTCATCGGCTTTGAAGTGAAGGAAAATAAATGCTTCGCCAGTGCTCACATACCCGTATTCAACACCGGCTTTGATCATGTAGGAGAATGCCTGGGTGATGACTGCAGCGACCAAACGACAATGCCGAATTTCTTCAGTCTCATCATCACCACGCTCAACAATCTCGGCAAGCTCCATTTCTTTAAGTCCATTTTGAATAATTTCCAGTGAGAGCTTGTGCGGTGGCTTGAGTTCACCAATAAATGCAGGAATTTTGACATTCTCACCTTTATTGTAAATACAAAACTCATCTGCCAGAGGTCGGGAGGAAGTTGGAGTGGTGGTAAGTGTGTTTGCGTGGTTTTCAAAGGTAATTTGTCCCTGAAGCCCGAATAACTGTTGGAGTTGCTCATTCTCAAAGAAGGCCTCTATTACGGACACTACGGGCGTTGTGACGGCATCCCGTTGAAAATAGCGAAGGTCGATTTCCGAGTGAATTTTTTTTCTTGTCTTCTTTCCCATAGCGATAATTGCATGTAAGGAGTCAAATTTGCGCTGCATAATGAAGCCTTCATTCTCTTCATTCAGCAACTGGGACCATATTTTCGTCTGTTCATCCGCAAACGAAAGCCATTCGCAGATGCGATGAGGACGGAGTTTGCCATCAGCATTTTCGGCATTCCCTTTGGTTGAATGGCCGAGTGTGCCAGGGACAAGACCCGAAAAGAGATAAGTATGGCAGGCATCAAGATATTCAAAGAGCGTTAAGGGCCGTATCTGTTCTTCTAATGCCCGCTCCGCTTCCAGTTGAGCCTGCTCTGCTTCCAGTTGAGCCTGCTCTGCTTCCAGTTGAGCCTGCTCTGCTTCCTGCCGACGTCGTTTTTCGTCCTCCAAAAGCTGGCGCAACCTCTGAATCTCGTCATCGGCCATTATAGGTAGAGATATTCAGCGTAATAGGCAAAGTAATGAAGATGTGCAGAAGATCTCCAGAGGATACTGGCGAGGTTGTTAACTAAAGAGGGGAAGAAGAGCATGTGCTGGTTAGAGTGGCCGGTGGGACTGAATTACACATTTGGTTTGGTTTGATTTGATTTCAGTCCATTTCTTGACATGATTTCAGTGGGATCAGAACCAGAATAGGAGTGTAAAGTGACTAGAATTATTAAAACATGAGTGAAATGAGACTAATAAATCTTTGATATTCCATGTAAAGTGACTAACTATCAAAATAAGAACATGATCTGGGACTGATCATGATTTTGACTGAAATTTGGTCCCATTCTGATGATTATATAATACATCAATATGATGATATGATTGGTGGAGATATTACCCCTCTCTTGCTTAGTGCTCCATGCCCTGAAGGCCCCTATCGCTGCCAACCTATCTATCGCTGCCAATCTATCGCCGTTGCGAATCTATCACTGCTGCCAATCTTGATAGGGTAAATCAGGTCCCATTTTGTAAAGATGAGACCAGATGGGACCAGAATCATTAATTTATAAGTAAAACATGATCTGGGACTAGATTTATAATATAAACAGTGTAAAGTGACTAATTTACTAAACACTATGGGACCAGGACTAAGATATTTGAGAATGGGACTGAGGAAAAATTTAGTCCCCGTCCCATGCATGGTCACACAGCCCAATATATGTGTGTGTGGGGCTAGCTATGGAAGACGCATTAGTAATGACGATACTTGGGCCTCACGAACGTCTATCACAGCTTCCAACGTTGTGCTGAGGCTCTCCTTTACTCCTTCCTCTCTCTCTCTCTTCACAATCCGGAATAGAACCCAATTTGTTGCACGACTGGCCCTGACCATAAGAATGGTAAGTCGAGGATGACAATACCAATTATGTCCTGTCCCTACACCACCTTTCCACCATGCCTCCTTCGTACAAAATGTTCACTCATCTTGACAAATACCTACTTTCCAAATCCCAAACCAATGAAAGGCAAATTCATTTTGCTTGACAAAAATCTCTCCATTCTGGTTTCTTAATGGCGGAGTGTTTGATTCGCCTCCTGGAACTTTCTACCTGGATATCGACACTTATAAGTTGCGTCATATATCTTCTCAGATTGCTGAGAACTTCCTCTAATGCATCTATGCTGTGTCATGGCGCTCATCCCAGTAGCAACCAGGTAGGATATGCCTGTCTACCTGGGTGGTTTTTTCTAACATCATCCTTGCCGCTTAATAAAATCGCCAGGCATATGTGCATCTCGGCTGAATCGAGCGTTGACGCCGATCATCAGATTTGTCCGTACATTCCTACTTGATAGTTCCAACGCCTCCATATTATCTCTCGGAGACCTTAGGTATGCCCAACTTCCAAACGGGACTGCAGTGGCTGTCTTAATGTTTGTCGATGCGCTAGATAATTTGTCTCTATCTTGGTCACTTCACCGAGTGCTCTCCAAACATCAGCTAGGAAATGATTTGTAAGATGAGTGAAAGGGAATATGAACATATTCACCACATTTAATACCGCATGAATCCTAGATTCTGGAGATCACGAGGAGCAGGAATGAGGAAACAAAAACCCACTTTTTAAAAGTGAGGCAACAAGCCGGCAAGTCGAAAATCCCGCAGTTGTAAAATCTCCAGGCTGGTATCATCTGCGCCACTACACATCTATGCCATGGCAATTAAATTACGAGTTTTTAACAGGGAATTCATATTATGTGAGATTCGATCATTTTGACATGCATTGCGATCAAAGACTATTAGGGTAGGCGGGGCAAGGCTGTGGCACCCTCGAATCCTTAAGCATGGCTTTGCTTTGTTATGACAAAAGGTTAAAGCAAGATGCGATAATACCCCGGAAGGCTTCAACCCCCATGCACTTTGAATGGTATTACGGCGGTATGTCCTATTTTGCGTACTATATCCCAAACGGCCGAGCCATCAAAAATATCAATTCCGAAATCCGCGGATAGATTCTATGTTGATCGACCACTTGCTGTTTGGAGTTTTGTTGCGCGCCTTCTTTGTAACCATACAACCAATTGGTCTTCAACTCTTATGTGAGAACAATGTAGCCAGTTGCATCCTGAACCCAGTCATAACCGGATTCCATCGATGCCACCACCTCATTTGCGAACCACAACCCGACTGGAAATCACCTCATTGGGAAATGAAGTAAAGGGGAAAGAGAAAACAAGCCGGTAACATACAAATATGATTCGACTCGGATATTTTCTGGGAGCTAGGGTTTGTCGTTGTGGCATTAAAATTCAAGCCCGTTACTTAGGTCATAAAATATATATAGTCGGATTGGAACGCCAACTTCTGTCGGTGCAGGTGATCATAATTTTGCGTGGCTTTTGATCGTTTTAATCCGCTAGATCATCCTACTAACTTGGTTAAAATTCCTGAAAATTTTCACGATTGCTTCGAAGCAAGAGGAAGGCTGCATTGCCCGGGACCAATCACTCGACCCATACGCTGCCAGTTCTTCCCCCCCCTCCCCAGCGTCCTCTTTAAAACCTGATGGTGCATGAACCTCAGCAACAAGCTCACTGGCCAAGCCACCTATTTGAGATATGAGACGGCCATTCAAAACTTCCTCTGTGTTCTAGAAAATTGTGCGAAACATAAAATATTGATGTGTCAACTCCTCCGCCCCCATTGTTCAGCCTTGCTCATTGAAAAGCACAAAAATTCTCGGGTTTGCAGTTTACATTCCGTAGAATGGTAGATCACGAGTCAACCTCGCGAAGGATGGGAGTGTTCTGGATGCCAAAATGCAAAATGTTGGATCTGGACGTTGTGAAGCCTCGCGCTCTAATGTTGAAGTAAACTCCCGATGAGGCTCAATTCCCACCCATCCCGGGCTCCACGGCTCACTAGCCCCTAGTCAACTTTATCCTCCACTATGATCGTCTGCAACTCATCGTTTCATAAATCTTCCCCAGCACACATGTCCCCATGTATCTCCACACCCACATAACAACGCCACCTGGTTCATGCAAGTGTCGACCATTTAACTGGCTAGGTTGATTGATTTCCTCTCGTGCCGCTTCCACTTTCACCGAGAAGCCGGTAAGAGGAGGCTTTTTAGCCCCACCCACACAAGCCGTGACGGAACTTAGGTTACCGCATTCTGACTTGAAGTATCCGTTTCATGGTTCATTTTTACGCGCTAATATGACTACCTATCGGAGCTTGTCATCTGATAAGAGCCCATCTCGTGACTCCAGAGCGCTTTTTTTTTTTAAGGTTTTCGCTGGGGGTATTCTTTGTGCCGGCGGAAATGATGCTTTCCTTCCGTCAAGATCATATACAATACAAGTGGGACTTATTACCAACTTCATAGCAATGCCAGTTGTGGAAGGGTAGCAGATTTATCAGTCTCTCCAAGAGTCAGGTGCCTGTTATGAATGAAAATGGTAGGACAAGGTCAAGGGTCCGCTGAGCTGTACTTTTGAATCTTTACCTTATGAGTAGATCAAATATTGGCCTATTAGCCGCTGTGGAAGAGATTTTGGTGTGACAAAGGAAAAGAATGGACTGAAAAGCCATAGACATCCTTTCAGGTTTATGGCAATATTTTCTCAGCCATGTTTGTTCGATGTATGAAACTATTTGTTTCCTTGTCAAAAACTGTGTGCATGGTATTATCTGCTATTGCTTTTGGAGACACAGAGTAAAACACAGTGAAACAGGTAGCTCTTTGGTAAGGCAGTAGAACAATATGTGCACATATATACCCCCCAAGAGTAAACAATAACTGAGCCTCTTGATGTTGGGTACAATTGGGCTTGTCTTCGAAGGCAGATAATGTATTTATCCAACTCTGATTGGCGGGAGCGGGTGGGCCCGCCTTTGGATCCGTGGATCCTAGAACTGTCCCCAATGCGGTTAGTGTGCGGCTCTAACAATGTCTTGTGTCAACCTTCAACATCTTGATTGACTTTGTAACTTGACCGTTAAGGAAGTGATTGGGGCTTTGATGTCCGTCTATCAAATGACTCCCACCTATGTATCGAGAATAATAGGACGATGGAGGGCACCGCCACTTGTGCGAAAAATTCCCTCCATTGTGGCTTGCGTCCAACAATGCGGGGGTCACCTGTGAAATCTGGGGCCGAGAACTACTAGGATCGGCTATTTGCAGCCATTGGGGAATCATGAGGAAAATTACCACTCACAAGGCTGGCCAGTTTGTATTTTTTTATTTTCTAGACAGATGTGCCAATTGAGTGCAAGTGCAGTCCCTAGGGATCACCTGCGAAATGCATTCTGACAGACAACTGTCTTGCATCTTTTGACCAAAAGAATTTTTCGGAGCACCAGCAATGATATTTCTGGGGCATATCCAGTGGAATATCTCGAGAGCAAGGGAAAACCGGAGATACGGCTTCGGATGGACAAGTTTCAGCCGCCTTTTCTCAAAACTTATCATTCTACTGGAGGGCATAATCGATCGGAGGGGTAGTGGAGTGGGGGTTCTCGAATTTCACGCTTGATTCTTTCTCTCTTTGACCACTCTGAACACCAGCAAGGCGCTCCCTTGCATGAGAGTCCTGCATTATGGCAGCCACCCAACCAATCGCGGAAGAGCTTGTCGTCTCATTTCTCGTTCAGTTTGCAGCTTCAGCAGCGGGGCGCTGTCCTTGGCTGCATGGGACGACTAAGTTTATGCATTCCGTAAGGCAACCATCGTTTATACCCTAAGGTCAGGGTGACAAACTCGGTCAGGCAAACTTGGTCGGAATCCTGACATCCCTGCTGGAATATATGACGCTTACGACAGTGAATTTGATTGTGTTGATACAAAAACAATTGAATGCCGCAATATCCCCACAGCCCACCTTGCCTCACTTTTGAATTTCAACTCTCAAGAGTTTCTACTTCGGTTACCTGCATATTTTTGCCTTTGCCGTGTGCATGGTGTAGAAATCACCTCTCCTCTTGGCTTCCGGAGTGTCCATCCAACCTCTTGGGAATAGAAATATATGAATACCACCAGTCCTGTTGCAGTCCTCTGGACATTTTGGATATTAAAGGTGTGATTGCCTTTTGTCGATACTCCTCCAATTGAAAATTTGTCTTTTTCTTCATCTCCCTCTTCTTAGGCCATCTATGTCACAATGATCTGATCCCTAGTGGGCTCAATCTCTCTTGACAGCCAATTGCCGACTGTGCCTATCTCGAAGACATTTCTAACCTGTCCAACAGCAGCCATGAATGCCAACAGCACTATTGTGGGTGCCTCACGGCCACCAGTCCCACCGCAGCATATACCACCTCATCACTTCCCCCACAGCCAAATGGAGGCTTCCCACACTGGCGCCGCAAACACGGGCCAACCGCTGAGAGCCAGAGATCATCATCAAGCCTCAGTGTTCCCGATGAATACAAACCATGAACTTGACACCATGGCTAGCCAATTGAATAATCTCACTCTGGACCCAGCTACATTGGGCACGATGCGAGAAGCACTCAACCGTGCCCCGCTTTCCAAAACCAATGAGATTTTCCCCGCCGTCCGAACAAGTTACGAAGGATGGATTCTATGCCGAGCGCGTCCAGACACCTCAGAGGTGATATCGACCTGGGATGAAGTTACTCGAGAAAGGATGCATCTCCCTCAAAATGAATTGGCCACGATGGTTTTGAAACGTAAAGGCAAAAGCGTGGCTGATAAGTACGACCGTTTGGGGAGCGGGAAGCGGAAACAAATTGACGCATTGATCCAGGACCGGAAAAAGTGCGATGGGGATAATCGATTTGAATGGAGTTGTGCTCACATTCAAGCCGAGATAAAAGTTGTCAATCGTCGCAACTTCACCACAGAATATGTTACGTCATCTCTCAAGTTAATCCTTATGAGACAAGTACGCCCTGGTATCGTGCTCCTTCTCA